TCTGATACTTTTAATCCTTTGAAGCATCAATCGATTTGTCTTTAGTTGTTCCAGGAGTATTGTCCCTTGTTAATGGCTTTGGTGTGTTTAGCACAGCTCTCCATCCTCATCTCCGTCAACTTTATGAAACCCTGAATCTATTGTAACTCTGCCTTTCAACTTTGCAAATGGTTCACATTGTACTGTTAGGTGCTGTGCCCGATGGGGAAGGCAGAGACTGGCCTGGGAAACCAGGCACAGCGAGGACAGAGGCTGCTGTGAAATCACCAAGGATGTTTGCACGGAGACCTCTTCAGAGGAGTGATTTTTGGTTATAAGGACTTTTGCTGTGCTGTGCAATCTCGTAGCAACAAAGATTGGGGTAACGACTAAGAGAACGAAAGTCCTTTGAGTTGTCACTCCCGTGTTATCAATGAGAAACTGGGGTTCAGAAAAATAAACCTGCCGAGGCCATCTGGTTTCCAGGTGGTGAGCCCCGATTTGGATCCTGGTTAACTAGTTAGTTATCTGTTACTGCACACAAACTACCACAAAACTTAGTGGCTTAACACAGCACACATTCGTTATCTCAGTTTCTGGGCATCAGGAATCCCGGCATGGCTTACCTGGGCCTCATGTTCAGGTTGCTCACAGAGGCTACCAAGAGCAGCTCCAGAGCGCCTTCCTGTGCCCATTTCCTCCCGCACTCTGCCCCCGCCTGGGCGGAAGAGGGCAGAGGAGGAGGGGGGAAGCTTGTAGGAGACTGAAGGTGTCTGCTGTAAGGGCATGTCCCAGACCCTTGACCCTGACTGGCTCATTTGCAAAGACAGCGAACCCTGCAGACAGAAGGCAGCTGTTGGCTCTGCCAGGGCTCCACCCTCTCCTGGGCCCCAGCTCGCTCCTGCAGGTCCTGGGGGGTTGGTGGGGTGGGGGCTGGGCAAGGAGCAGTGGAACGGGGAGATAGGAGAGAGGTAGGGGGAGAGAGGCAGAAAAGAAGTTAGGAGAGGGCACAGTGACAAAAAAGTGGGGTGAGCCGAAACCGGTGTAGCTAAGTGGATAGAGCGTCGGCCTGTGGACTGAAAGGTCTCTGGTTTGATTCCGGTCAAGGGCATGTACCTTGGTTGCGGGCACATCCCCAGTAGGGGGTGTGCAAGAGGCAGCTGATGGATGATTCTCTCGCATTGATGTTTCCAACTCTCTATCCTTCTCTCTTCCTCTCTGTAAAAAATCAATAATAATATATATATATATATATATATATATATATATATATATATATATTTTTTTTTTTTTTTTAAAGAAAGAAAAAAGAAAAAGAAAAAAGAAAAGTGGGGTGAACCACAGAGAAGGAAACCGCCCTGTCAGAGGAGGAAAAGCATCACTAGGGAGGCATGGAGAGCTGGAGATCCAGAACAGGCGAAGGGAGGACTGTCCAGCCACACAAACCTGGCTTCCACCCCTGGCATCAAGTTCAAGTTAAAGAGTAAATTGAAATATGCAAGAGGCCAAAAAGCATTTCCTCTTCTCAGGGGCAGGAACTTCCTGGATGCGTTTGGCTTTATAAATAAATGATTGTTCTCAAATCTCAGAAAGCGGCTCCCTGTGGTGGCTGCTGCTTTGCCTTCTTGATGGGCAAGGAAAAGCGAAGCTAGGCCAGGGGCCTGGCGTCTGCTGCCCCCCGCTGGCCAAAGCCCGGCCTGCTCCCTCCCTCTGATGGGAACCAGCTGAACCTGCGTTTTGGTGATTGGTTAAGGCTGAATTGTTGCCTCTGCTGGCTCTGTGGTCCCAGACTATTCGTGTGGAAAGGGAGGAAAGGGATTGAGGTCCCCAGGCCCGATCACTGCCCTAAGCTTTAGACTTGAACTTCGGTCAGCCTACTGGTTCTTCCACTTGGCCTCAAACTGGGCAGGTCCATGGCATGGTTCATCGTTCAGTGCTGCTGGCTCTGTGCACATGCTCCTGATGTGGGCGCCCAGCACTTGCCCACCCTGTCACCCACTCTGAGACCTCACAGCTGCTCCTCTTGCTCAGACTCTGCGCGCCATTCGTCACAGACCCTGCCAAGACCCCCTGGACCCTCGTTCACTCTTACGGGACCCTGGTCATCTCGCCAGTCAGCCCTCAACCTCTCTCATCTGCCCATGTCAACAGCTTCCCGAAGCTGTCCTGGCATGGGGCAGACTTGGTCTATATAGATCAGCAGTGGGAAATCTTTTTACTGCCCAAGGCCATTGGGATATTTACAACCTCATTTGCGGTCCATACATTACCAACCAGACGGCGGGGCTCAGTGGTTGAGCTTCCACCTGTGAATCAGGAGGTCACGGTTTGATTCCAGGTCAGGGCACATGCCTGGCTTGCAGTCTCAATCCCCAGTGTGGGGTGTGCAAGAGGCAGCCAATCAGTGGTTCTCTCTCATCATTAATGTTTCTGTCTTGCTCTCCCTCTCCCTTCCACTCTGAAATCAATTAAAATATGTTTAAAAAAATTATCCTGCTGTATTTAGTCTAATATTTAATGAACTCACCCCTAATGCCTTACCAGACCAACTGATTTCTCAGGCCTTACACGGCCCGCAGGTCGGTCCGACATTTCTGACAAAATACAGACAGCGATGTAAGGGAAACAGAGGCAGATGATAATGGGCATGGACAGGGAACTGTGTATATTTAAAGATCTTCTGCATAAAGTCCAAACTCTTCCCTTGGCCTAGCCTTCCCCTCTGCCTTGTTTCTCCAGAACCACCTTCTATCCTTTGCCTGTGATTCCAGCAGCAGAGCAATTGCTCGCCTCCGAAGCCAGTTCTGTCCATTCTCTAAACACTTGTGGGTTCTACGTGCCAGACTTGGAGACGGTTGCTGGGGTTCAGAGAGAAACCAGAGAGTGACGGCTCTCAGGGAGTGGAGTTGCAGAGACCAAACACACAAATGCAGCCCAGACACGATCTGATGAGTGAGTGGGGGTCACTGTGCTCTGCAAACACTGGTTGGGCTTGGCACAGATCCCCATTCCACACCGTTAGTTTTCCATGGCTGCCCAGCAGTTAGTGGCTTGTTAGCGACACACGTTTGTTTATTGTCTCTCGGTTTCCGTAGTTGGGAGTCTGGGCACAGCTTCTCCGAGGGCTCAGCGTGGGGTCTCACAGCGCAGTGTGGGGCTGGGTGAGGTTCCTTTCTACAGCTTGGGCCTTCTCCTCCAAGCACATCTGGTGGGTCGTGGGTCTCACTTACGTGCTAGCTGTCAGCTGGGGGCTTCTCTCGGGTCCTAGAAGCCACCACCGTTTCTTGCCTTGCCGCTCTCCAGCCCCTTCACAGCATAGCAGCTCACTCCAAGGCCAGCAGGGAATGCGCTCGCTCCATCCTGCTAAGATGGAGTCTTGCATAAAGAAGCATCGCTACAGGTGCATCTGTCTCATTGCCTTTGCTGCAGAACGAAACCTAACTGAGGGAGTGACCGCCCATCGTCTTTGCCTTGGCCTGTTGTTAGAAGCAAGTCAACAGTGCCACCTGCACCCACGGAGGGGGTGTGCCAGGGCATGGCTCCTGGAAGCAGCCTTGGGGCAGGCCCACTGCACACGTCTCGTGGGATCTCCCGAGGGTTACATACATTCTGTACGGAGCGGAGGTAGACTCTCTCTGAATTAGGTCAGCTGTGGGACGCCGAGCGCTTCTCTCTCCCCAGCCACGGGCTTCATTCAGCTCCATGTTCAATGCCAACTCAAGACAAAGCCACTCCCACAGGCTGGGGCCGACGGGCTGGTTGAGGACCACAAACCTAACATTTTAGATGTTCTTGTTCTTAAAAACCCTACAGCACGTGAGGAGGCATGTCCTCTCTCATCATTCCCAGCCCGGAACCAACTCCCACCTCCAATTTCTTTTTTTTTTTTTATTGATTTGAGAGAGAGAAACATTGATTTGTGTTCCACTTATACATTCATTGGTTGCTCCTTGTATGTGCCTCGACCAGGTATCGAACCTGCAACCTTGGTGCATCAGGACAACACTAACCGCCTGAGCCCCTCCTCCAGTTTCTCCATTTGTGTGGCTGAACAGGTTAGCAGTCTCATGTCATTGGGGTTGCAACTTCCACTTCACCTGGCTCCGTACATGGTTTCACTAGACAACAGGGTCCCGCCCTGCAAGGAACTCTGATGCCAGGTGTTGGGATTGCGTCCTGCCTCACTCAGAGTGGCGGCTTCTGTTTGTCCAGCCCCGTGGTTGGCAAACTGCGGCTCATGAGCCACATGCGGCTCTTTGGTCTCTTGAGTGTGGCTCCTTCACAAAATACCACGGCCTTGGGTGAGTCTATGTTGAAGAAGTGGTGTTAGAACACTCAAGGGGCCAAAGAGCTGCATGTGGCTCGCGAGCCACGGTTTGCCGACCACGGGTCTAGCAGGAAGACTCCTCGGCAGCCTCACAAACTATTCTGAAGATCCCCAATGAAAGAGGTTACTTCCCTGAGCACCTACTGACTGAAAAGCAAAACACACGGAAAGGAAACTGTGTAAGATGGGGTGATGGAGGCCTTCTCAGGGTGCATCACGTTCTGGAAGGAGCTTGTGCTTTCCTTACCCTGAGAACTTGTTCATACATTTTAACGCCATAGTCCTGTATGAGCAGGACGTGTCATTCATGTGTTCTCATTCCTGATGGTTCACTAAAGCGTATGAAGATCTTTGTCTTCGGGGGTGAGGGGTGGGGAGGGCGGGGTAGAGATCTGCAGCCCGCAGAGTTGGGACCACGTGATCTAGTGTGAGTTCCAACTAACTAACTGAATAACTCACCGATGCCACTAACGAGCTGGTAAAGCAGAAGTAGGCACAGCCTTGCCTTCTTTAACCGGAATATTAACCCTACCCGCCTTACAGTGTGTTACCAGGTTAAACGGAATGACACGACACATGCCCGTGCCCGATGGAGGTTGTGGGGTCATCCCACTGTCTGTCCCCTTGCCCCGTCCAGCCTCGGAGCAAGCCGGGACGCGGCGCTGCCTGAGACTCCGTCTTCTCTCCCTCCCAGGTTCCTGATCGTCCTGGGGTGCTTGATCCTGGCCGTGCTGACCACGTTCAAGGAGTACGAGACGGTCTCGGGGGACTGGCTTCTGCTGCTGGTGAGATCACTGACCCGCCGCAGCACCGCGTTTCTGGTTGGGCTTCCACGGCCAAGGCCAGGAGGCTGACCCTGGGTGCAGTGTGCCCAGCTGGTTTGGGCTTCCCGGGATCTCTGGCCAAGCCCAGGCCCGTGAGAAAGCAGTGCTTGGAACACATGGTCAGGGCTGCCGGGGCACGGGCGGGTTGGGGAGTGCCATTTGTTATTCTAGATCAGATATAATCAATGCACCATTAAATTCTAAGCTACCGCTCCCTGTCCCTTGAAAGTTAGCACAGGCCTACTCCATTCCGAATAAAATAACCCACCTGCCTCTGCTGTCCTTCCTAAACCTGAGCATCGCTGACTCTGCTCAAGGCCAAGTACTGAACCCCATTCCCACCTAAGCTTACCTCCCCCCACGGCCTCTGCCTACTTTCCTTTCGGTTGCTGTCAGGGAGAGGGGGAGAGAGAGGGGCCTAGCGTTCTTCGGCAAGTCGCCTAATGCCCTGACTCAGATTCTGGCCTGAACTACGTGCAAAGAGCAGGTGGGCAGCTGTGCGGACAGGCTGGGAGCAGCCTCCTGTGCTCCGGGCAGAGGCCCCAGGAGGGCCTGGCCCTTGGAGTGACCACACTTTGCTGGGTGCGGGCTCCGCCCACCTCTTCAGGGAGCGAGTGCCAGTCCCCCATTAGAGTTCACAAAGTAGCCTTGAGAAGCTTGCCTCCCTATTCCTTGTCTTGGTTTTTCCAAGTGTAAAATGAAGATAATATTACGGAACCCTGTCTGGATGGTGCCTGGCGCAGGAGCCAGGCCCAGTGACACTGACACAATTAGCAACCAGGGACCTGGCATTAAGTGTGATTCGTAGACGGGTTCATTGACACTTCTCTTCAACACAACTGTACTTATTAGGGGCACTGAATAGATTAGATGGATTTAAAAAAATAATAATCCATGGGAGCAGAAATATAGAAAAAGGACTGGCAGGCATGGCTTAGGGGTTGAGCTTTGACCTATGATCCAAGAGGTCTTTGGCTCGGTTTCCAGTCAGGGCGTATTCCGGGGTTGCAGGCTCAGTCTCCGGTAGGGACCCGTTCTCTCTCCTCCACCACAAGCAGCGACCGCTGGCGCCACTGCAGGTTCCCGAGGCCTGGGCCCTGGTCAATCCGTGTCTCCGCTTATTTCTTCAACACAGGAAACCTTCGCGATTTTCGTCTTTGGAGCCGAGTTTGCTCTGAGGATCTGGGCTGCTGGCTGTTGCTGCCGTTACAAAGGCTGGCGGGGGCGGCTGAAGTTTGCCAGGAAGCCCCTGTGCATGTTGGGTAAGCCCACCAGGAAGCCCCTGTGCATGTTGGGTAAGCCCAGCGCTGAGCCACCCGGCCAAGACCCCTTCCAACACTCTTCTCCTGGGGATGCCCCCTCTGTGCCTCCTCCTCCTCATGATTCCATAGAGCAGTGATGTTTCCTGGGCATGGGGGCACTCCTGGCATTTGGACTTGGAAGGAGCCAGTCATCCCTGCATATCTGGACTGATGGGGTAGGGCGGGAGGAGAGACACCACTGCAGGCTCAGAATTGCTTCTGTCAGACCCCGTTGTGCCCATTTTCCAGAGGTGGGGACTGAGGCTCATGGAACTGAGTCATGCTCCAGTCACACAGAGTATTCCATCCTGACACCCAGCTCTGGATGAACTTAGCACCTACGTGTCCCCCTGCCCCCCATGTTGCTCTGTCTTGACCCAAGAGCGGCTCTGAGGAGGTGCAGGCATTCTGGTAGCAGAGGAGGTGAGAGCTGCCCCTCTCCCCTCCTGGTGCAGCCCAGGCCCACATGTTCCATCTGAACATCCTACTGAAACCACAGCGTGGCAAGACAAAGTCTGCCCCCGTGACCATGGAACCCAGGGATGGTTAAAGTGTCAGGATTACAGACCACAGGGGCTGAAGGCCAGCCAAAGGCCTGTGGGCCAACATGCCCCCTGTCTGCTGTCCCAGTGCCCTGCGCAGAGCCCTCAGCTGGGCACGCAGACTGCTTGCATACTTCCAGTCGTGGGGCGCTCACTCCCTGCCAAGGAGTTTATTCACCGTAACTCCTCTGACTCTCTCCAGATATTTTGAATTCAGCCATTCTGTTCCTCCTCTCCATTCTAGTAGGTTCTCCTTGCCAGGAAAATGTGGCAACCTCATAGGACAACCTCACTAGCGTGTCCCGTGTTCTGTCCCAGGAAGCTGATTCCACGCCCCACGTGTGGTTGATTCACGATGCCGCACGGCAGTGCTTGGCGTTTGCCCTGGGCTGGCAGACTGGGCCTGTGGTGGCTTCGCTGTGGCCCGGACGGCTCTGGTCACCGGCCCTTGGTCTGTGCTCTCTCCCAGACATCTTCGTGCTGATCGCCTCCGTGCCGGTGGTCGCCGTGGGCAACCAGGGCAATGTGCTGGCCACGTCGCTGCGGAGCCTGCGCTTCCTGCAGATCCTGCGCATGCTGCGGATGGACCGCAGGGGCGGCACCTGGAAGCTCCTGGGCTCCGCCATCTGCGCCCACAGCAAGGTAGGTGCCAGGGAGAGGCCACAAGGCCACGTGGGCTCTCACGCCCGAGGGCGTGCCTCCAGTAGGGTGTCCCCAGAGGGGGGTATTCTGCCACCACTGGGGGTGACAAGGAGAAGGAGCAGCGGGGCGGGGCAGAAGCAGGTGGGCTACGGGGAACTGAAGCGGGTAGACCTGGGCTCAGGGCTCAGCTCCACCAGAAGCAAACGGCCTGCCATTCAACCCTGTTGGACCCTCCTCAGGCCTCTGCCTCTGGGCTGTTGAGAGGGTGACCTGAGCTAATGTAAGGTAGCGTGGGGTGGGAGGAGAAGGCTCCAGAGTCACGCAGATGGGCACTGCTTATCACCTCAGTGAGGACCCTCGGCACACGCCCAGCACGTGGGGCGGTTCAGCTGCTGTTGGTCGGTGCCCAGCTCGGATCGCTCAGCGGGGTGTCAGGCACGATGGTTTCCCGTCACACTGACAGGGAGGTACATGCGGGAGGAGGAAGTAGCCTGCCCAAGGTCATGCCCTGGGACGCACACCGGGCAGCCTGGCTCCAGCCCAAGTTCAACGGTTTGCTGCTGGGCGTGGTGGCGCTCACCTCTCCGAGCCAGACCGGCAGCTGGGACCGCTGGGCTGAGTCTGACCCCCTCCCAGAGTCCCCTGCACTCGGGCAGGTGTGGAAGCCGCGGCAGGCAAGGTCCTGTCCCTGAGCGAGGGGCTCCATTTTCCAAACCGTAGCTGTTCCCTGGAGAGGGAAGGAGAACCGTGCGCCTCGGCTCAGGCAGGGAAGCCCTTGGGAGGCCCGGGCAGGAGGAAGCAGAGCTGGGACCCGCGGAGGGAGCTGTCCGGGGGAACCAGCCCATGTTCCCAGAGCTGGACTCTAGGGCCGGGAGAGGCCCAGCTCCGCTCCCAGAACCAAGGAGCCCAGGAGTGTGCGTGACCTGGAGCCAAAAATGCAGACATCGTCCCGCACACACTGCCTGTGTGTGGCCTGAAGGGCCCCCATCGGCTTAGAAATGAGCCTGGAGCACCTGCAATGGCCCTCCGCCCATCACTCCGCACATCGGCTACACCCCCCCTCAGCCGCCACCGACCCCAGGGGCAGGGGCTGGGCCAGGAGCCCCCGGGCGCCCGGAGCAGCCACAGGCTCTGCCTCGAAGCTGCTGGAGAAAACCGCATCCAGGCAGGATTACCCTGAATAGTCTTTTAAATGGCCACAAAGCACAGGACTGGGGCCCATTTTTGCTCCTCATCCATGGCCATTATTCCGCCTCTTAATAACCCGCAGCTAGTTTTCCTGGGCATAGGATGTGTCTTTGGTTAAGCATCTGATGGAACTTCTGACTCCCGTGTGGGGGCAGAGCGAGTGAAAACACTCAGGATCGCTAGAACCACACGCAGCGAGGCCGGAGGCTGGTGCTCACACAGGAGCCCAGGGAGGGAGGTCCTGTTCCTGCTCTTCCCTCCCCCCTCCCCCCAGTCCCCTGCAGAGTGCACACTAGCCGCCCCCTAGTGTCTGTTTCCGGTGGAACGGAGCTTCAGTCTGCCCAGTCCTGTTGAAATCAGTCTCCAGAGTTCCGATCCTTGTCTCAGAGGCTGCAGTCTCTCGTGCCCCTGAAGCCTCAGAGCAGTGACAGCGGGGTCCCCGCCCCCAGTGGTGGAAATCTTCCCTCCACCTGAACACTCATTGGGTTAATGCTGGAAATAATGACGTCACTGGCCCCATTTTACAGCGATGGGAGGTGAGGCCCAGAGACCCAGAGTAACTTGCCCAGGGCCACAGAACCGGCAGAGCTGGGATCCACCTCCAGCACCCACCCCACAGCCCCCAGGGACCTCTCCCCTTGTCCTCTGCTCTCCCCAGGAGCTCATCACCGCCTGGTACATCGGGTTCCTGACCCTCATCCTGTCTTCGTTTCTGGTCTACCTGGTGGAGAAAGACGTGCCGGAGGTGGACGCGCAGGGGGAGGAGATGAAAGAGGAGTTTGAGACCTATGCAGACGCCCTGTGGTGGGGCCTGGTGAGTCACCCCTGGCAGACCGCCCCCTCCCCCCCATGGGGATGGCCTGTTATCATCAGAGAGGGGTGGCTGCCCTCTGCAGTCACAGAGAGAGCGAGATTGCCTGCGTTTCCCATCCTGCCCGCGGGCGACCTCACAGGCTGCACCCTGAACAAGCAGGCTTCCTGTCGTGTTTATAAGAAGTCAGGCCTCGCAGCAGTCTGGTCCCAGGGTCACTGGGGCCCTTACCTCATTAGTCGTGGGCTATTAACAGCCAAGCCATGCATGTGCAAACACACACGGTGACCCAGGCCTTCGGACACAGCTAGCGACTCAGCCCCACACCCACAGGGACCCATGGTACAAGCTGGCACCTGCTGACGGGTACTTTGCTCCAGAACCTTGCTTTAGGCATTTCGCCTCTATTAACACAGGTTAAACTCAAACAACTATGATTGGACCCTTTTTAAAACGGGGAAACTGAGGCATGAAGCCATTAAGGAACTGATTCAAGGCAGACCCTGAGCCCGTTAGTGGTTGGCCTGGGATTCGAACTCTAGCTATGGGCTGCAGAGGCCATGTTCTTACCGGCTTTGCTCTCCTGCCACATGGTTCACAAGTACATGTGTTCACATGGATACATGGAATCACACACAGGAGTGCACAGCTCATATGTACACAATATATGTAAATACACTCACAAGCACACATACTCAGTAACATGGCTATACACAAAATCACACAAATACATGTAGGTACATGCACAGACATGTTTGCAATCAGTGAAGCATTTGCTGAGTCCTTGACTAGAGGTAGGAAATGCTTAACTCAGGAACAGGTGTGTCCTTGAGGGCCCCCTATAAGTTCCTTGGTGCTTGGTAGCTTTTCTCCCATGAATCTCACTCTAAATGGTCACAGCGCCCCTTCCACTGGTCAGTACAGAGGCTGGTGTGATGGGGGGAGCTCAGGGACACACCCCAGGTTTCCCTCTCCCTGGGGGCCCCACCTCTGAGCCCCTCTCCCTGCAGATCACACTGGCCACCATTGGCTACGGAGACAAGACCCCCAAGACGTGGGAGGGCCGTCTGATCGCAGCCACCTTCTCCCTCATCGGCGTCTCCTTCTTCGCCCTTCCGGCCGTGAGTACCTCCTGTGCACCGAGTGTCCACACAGACCCTCCCCGCCTGGCCTGCTCTGCCTGCAGCCTCACCCTCCATCCCTTCACACCGTGAACTCCAGGCTGGCTGCTCCCTCACAGTCCCTGCTGCCTGGTGTCTGCTCTCGCCAGCGCTGTGCTGGTCCCTTTGCCGGGATCGAGTCCTCCTCCCAGACCCAGCGCTGCCTTCCTTAGGCTGCTCAGTCGCTCCCCCCTCTGGCATAACCCTGGCAGGGCATCTCGGAGCCCGTCCTGGATGCCACGCTCCGTGTCTGCAGAATACACGGAGCCACACAGATAACGGACTCGCTCAGGGTCTCTCAGCGAAAAGTGGCAGAGTCAGGAGGTGGCAGAGAGCAGAAGTGGTGGGCAAAGTGCCACTAAGCTGGCAGAGGCAGGCCCTCCAGACTTCAAGGCTCCATTTCCCCCAGCAACCTCCCCCCTCCACCCATCACCCAGTGCTGTCACCGGGGCCCGGGAGTGGGGTGGGTCCCCAGGGCGTGGGGGGGGGGCCTGACCCGGAGCCTGACCTCCCTCCAGGGCATCCTGGGCTCCGGGCTGGCGCTCAAGGTGCAGGAGCAGCACCGGCAGAAGCACTTTGAGAAGAGGAGGAAGCCGGCCGCCGAGCTCATTCAGGTCTGTCTGCTGCGGGTGAGCGGGACGGGAGTAATCTGTATGTGCGTGCCTGGTGCCTGTGTGCACGCACGTGGGTGGGTGTGCATGCATGTGGTACACATGTGGGGGCATGTGAATGTATGTGGGCATGTTGTGTCTGTGTGTGTTTGTATAGGGGTGGCCATGTCATGGTCTGGGACTCACCCCAGGACCAGCTTGCACGTAGGTGGCTGTGGTGTTTCTGTAGTTGGCATGTGGCCGGGCTCGGTGGGTACTTAGTGACAGTCCTGTCCCTGTGCCAATCAGGTAGAGTCGGTCTCAGGACTCAGACCAACCCATCTGCTGGTGGTTTTTTGTTTTTGTTTGTTTGTTTGTTTGTTTAATATATTTTAACAAAGAGGAAGAGAAAGGGATAGAGAGTTAGAAACATCAATGAGAGAGAAACATCGAACAGCTGCCTCTTACACACTTCCCACTGGGGATGTGCCTGAAACCAAGGTAAATGCCCTTGACTGGGATCGAACCCGGGACCTTTCAGTCTGCAGGCCGACACTCTATCCCACTGAGCCAAACCGGTTCTGACTACTGTGGTTTTTTTAAAATATGTTTTTATGGATTTTAGAGGAGAGAGAGAGAGAGAGAGAGAGAGAGAGAGAGAGAGAGAGAGAGAGAGAGAGAGAGAGACATCGATCGGCTGCCTCCTGCACGCCTACCACGGGGTATTGAGCCTGAAACCTAGGCATGGCTCTGACTGGGAATCCAACTGGTGACCTCTTGGTGCCTGGGTCAGTACTCCACCACTGAGCCACACTGGCTGGGCCCATCTGCTGTTTTGCTAACTAAGCTGCAGTGGAGAATTAGGGTCTTTCTACTCCCCACCTCAGCCTTAACCGGGGACCCACCAGGAAGGCAGCCTGGCGTCCAGGAGCTGAGCCGGTCACTGCAGGGAGGTGTGGCCTCACCTCTTCCTCTCAGGAGCCCAGAGCCAGGGAGGAAGAGATGCCTTACATGGGGAACTGACACTCACTCTGTGTCCTGCTGTCCTGCAGCCGTGCTACCCGCTGCCTGCCGGCTCTCCGTGGCCCGCACACCCGGCCCTGGGCTGCGGGCTGGGATGATGGTGAGAGGTGGTGGCAAAGGCAGGAGTGCTCCCATCCTGTCATAGGGACTCACTGCTTCGTGGCCTCCTGGCGGCGGGGAGCACGGGGAATAGGAGGGTGTAGGGTCCTGGCTACGGCTGCCTGGGACTGAATGGCCATCACTCGTGACTGTGTCCTGGGTAGTGAGTGTCTTTGTGGGTCTGGTATGGGATAGTCCTAGATGCTACCCTACGCACTGGCCTTTCCAGGCCAGCCCAGTCTCCAAGAGTGCGCCCCATGACCCCGACCCCAACCCCGAACCATCCCAGGATCCAGTAATTCTAGCACATTAGGCTCGAACCCCATCTCCGCTGTCTCTTGCACCCAGAAGTGGCACCAAAGACACTCTGTGTCTCCTACGGATTTGAGAGTCATGGATTTGGTGCCCAGACTCCTCTCTAAGGCTGTGGGGCCGTGTGAGCAGCCAGGTCACTCCAGGCCGGTCTCCTCTCCCCGCAGGCTGCCTGGCGGTACTACGCTACCAACCCCAACCGGATCGACCTGGTGGCCACATGGAGGTTCTATGAGTCAGTCGTCTCTTTTCCGTTCTTCAGGCAAGTGGTGGGTGACCCGTCTGGACCACTCAGGGCATGGCCAACTGGCCCTCCCATGGGTCTGCATTGGTGCCCGTGGGCACATATTAGATCACCAGGGAACTTCAAAACTCCCAGGGCCCAGGGTGATTAATCAGACTCCCCCAGGAAGGGACTCACACATCCATATTTTTTAAATATAGTTTTATTGATTTTAAAGGCGAAGAGAGAGGGAGAGAGAAACATCAATGATGAGAGACAATGGTTCATCGGCTGCCTCCTGTACACCCCACACTGGCAATAAAGCCCACAACCCAGGCTCCTGCCCTGACTAGGAATCAAATCGTGATCTCCTGGTTCATAGATTGATGCTCAACCACGGAGCCATGCCTGCTGGGCGGGCATCATTTTTAAAGAAACCTCAGATGACTCCGAGTGCCGTCAATGTTTAAGCAGGATCAGTGGCTGAGGAAGGGGGAGCCAGTGCGAGGGGCCACCCTGGCAGTGCATGCTTCCCCCACCCCACGTGGCCTGCACCTGCTGCCACTCCGGACGCTGAGGATGGCCTGGCAGATGGTGGAGAAGGCCTGAGCTCATGGTCTTGGAGAAGGAGAAAGGATGGGGAGGGATGCCCCTCATTCTCTGACACTGCTCCCCAGCCCTCCTCCTCCTATCTTCCCTGAGCCTACTCTCTCACCCTTTCCCTCTTCCTTGTGCGTCAGGAGGGAAAATGGGCCGGAGGCTGTGTGGCCAGCCCAAGGAACCAGATGTTGAGCTGACCAGGAACTAGAAATTCCCAACTCTCCAGCTGTTCCTGTACCCCGCTACCATGATGCCTCTTCTCTCCCCATTCCTCCCCTCCCCCATCCCAGCGATAGGCCAGTCATTCACTCCGTGTTTATTGTGCATGCACCGTGGGCCGGGGTATGGGGTGCTCAGATTTTGGAGCTAAAAATACAGAGGCTCTGGCCCCAAGCAGTTCATGGTCTACCGCGTAATTCTAACACCTTGCGATCTGAGTACAATCCCACTTGTGAGATCATCTCAGTGTAGATGATCATCCCTGGGGAGTTGGATAAGAAACACACCCAAAATGGGGGGCCCTTCCTGCTGGAAGGCTGAGGATGAGCAAGACTACCCCAGGCAGGCGAAAGAAGCAGGGAATTCCCGGCAGAGCCTGCGTGAAGGCTCAGAGTCGTGGGTAATAGTATGGGGCACCGAGCCAAGTGGCCTGTATTTGAGTCCTCATTCTGCTGCTTCCTAACTGTGAGACCCCGAGCAATTCCCTGAACCTCTCTGTGCCTCAGTTTTCTCATCAGGAAAATGGGCATGATGCTAATACTCCAGGGGATTGATACACGTTGATCCATAAAAAGCACTTATTACGGTCTCTGCCTGTTAGTTATTGCTCAGTAATATTTGCCATGGTGATGCCGACTATGGTGGTGATGGTGGTGATGGAGTGATGGGTGTGTTAGCTGCTAAATGATGACATTCCTGGTCCCCTGGTCTGTCCCCATCGCTAGACAAATGCCCTAGCCCAGCACAGGGCCGGGGGCAGAGGAGGTGATCAGCAGCCATTTTTTTAGATGAGCGAATGGATGATGAATGAATGGCTGAGAAGAGCCTTGAGCGGGCAGGGCAGCAGGGGCCTGGAGTCTAGCTGGAGACACCCATCTCATTCAGCGGGTCCCCTCAAAACTCACTGCCTCGCCCTGGACTTGCCCTCTCTCCCTCTGCCTCCATCAAAGGGAAGCGGGGGGCACTATTTGGGGCGAGGGTTCCATATAATTCATGCTTTATCTCTCTCTTCCTCGTCGCCTTACAGGAAAGAACAGCTGGAGGCAGCAGCCAGGTACGTTTCTGATTGTGAATTTCTTTTCTTCCACCGCCGTGTCGGGACAGAGGGTCCAGTTCTGTGTGGTGCGGGGCCCCTGGGCGGCCATGCTGGTCACGGATAGGGTTTGGGGACCACTCTTCCCTGTCGCAGTTTTGAGCCACAGCCCCTGCTGAGTTTCTCCTCGAAGTGAGTTCATTGCGGGAGTCCCACACACGCTATCTCAGTGGGTCCTCCCAACCACAGTGCATCCTCCTGTCCTCATGTTTGATTGAGATTGGGGCTCGGAGGGACCACGCCACTCCCTCAGCTGAGTGACAGGACCAAAATGCAAACTCAGGTCTGAACGTGAAGACCCGATACTTCATTACATGTCGCTTCCTTTGCTTCTGGGCCCCCGGGTGGCTCTTTGGAAAGGGAGTCAGGACTGGAATCCGTGGCCCCACAGCTGTGGCCGCTTCCCGGTGAGGCTGGGAGCCTTCTCTGCCCCTCCCTCTCGCTTCCTCTCGGGAAGATGCTGCGAAGCAGGTAGCCTGGACCTGCTCGCAGCTGTGAATCAAGACCGCCCCTGCCAACCTGCCAACATCAGCTTCAATATGTATCTGCTCTGTAATGTGGACAGACTGCTCAGGGACCTTGCAATCAGTCTCCTAGACGGTCAGCTCAACGGCGTCCTTCTGCAGCAGACAGGAGTGGGGCAGAAGGGGTGGCAGGGCCCTGGACCATTGTGTAGGGGAACACCTCGGGGACGGTGGTCTGTGGGAAAGTGGGTCCAGTCCTTCCGAATGGGGTCCATGGTGCCCTCTCCCCTCCATCACCCCGCCTTACAGAGACCCTTTCAGACAGCGCCGTGAGCTCCAAGCAAAAACACAAAACCGCCTTTGCCCCCTCCTTTGTGCCTGTTTTCAAAGGACGAGCGTTTCTTTCTTGCACCTGGTTTGGGCTGTAGGGGGCACTGGGGGTACTGCTGAGGAGGCTCAGGGGACATCTGGGAGGGAACTGCAGAGGCAGAGCAGGGAGATGCCTCAGAGGTCTTCTTGCAGGTACTTTTATAGAAGCCAAGAGTGGGCCCCACCCCCACCCCCGCAGGAGGGCAGGCTCGCCCCAAGTTACAGAGCCCAGGGGTGACACAGTCCAGGTCTCAGGACTCCCAGCGGAGTGCTCTTTCCCCTCCTTTTCTCAGGACTAACAGGGTTTGATCATGCAAGTGCTGATACTGCCAGTTACTCAGTCTGCCTTTGGAGCCTTTTCTGTACCGGCATGAACAGATCAGCCAAACTGGAACATCCATGCCAAAGTCCCTGTGCACCGGGTTAATGAAGGCCAGAGAGTGCAGTTTGAGGCTTACAGAAAAAGTGGGTGGGTGGAGGGATGATGGATGGCTGGATAAGGGGATGGATGGATGGAGGGTGATGGATGGATGGATGGATGGATGGATGAATGGATGGATGGAGGATGGATGAATGGATGGATGGATGGAGGATGGATGGATGGATGGATGGATGGATGAATGGATGGATGGAGGATGGATGGATGGATGGATGGATGGAGGATGGATGGATGGATGGATGGAGGATGGATGGATGGATGGATGATGGATGATGGATGGACAAACTCTATTCTACAAGTGTCAGAAACCCAACTTAAATGACCTTGGACTGGGAGGAAAATGTCATGGCTCAGTGGTCACCCATCAGACATGGTGGGAACCCGTGGCAGACAAGGAATGGGACCTTCTGGGACTTCTCCCTTCTCTCGCCTCTGCTTCTCTTTGTGGTCTCCCTCTTCCGGCTGACCTTCGCCCTCCTGATAAAGTGAGGACGCAGGCAGCCCCAGAATCCTACACTCTCCTTTGTCTGCGCTCCCGCTCCAGTGCAGCAGTTCCCGGGGAAGCCCTCGGTTGGCCCAGTCGGTGTCCCACACGCACACTCTGGACAGACTCTCTGGCTCAGAGAGAGAGAGGCCACTGCCCGCCCACCCCTGGGCCAGCGTCCGCTGTTAGAGTGACTGGGTGTGAGGTCACGATGCTGTGATTGGCAGCTCGCCTTAGAGTCACTTGGTTGAAGTTGGAGCAATCAGTTCCCCAATAGAATACAGTCCTTTCCCCTGAAAAACAGAGAGAGCAGACAAAAATCACAGTTGCCCCTGACCGTGGGCATCAGTTCTCCCCATAATAATTCTCAAACCCCTAAAAATAATATTTCATTGCACACCATCAACAATAACACCTCCTCCCCCGCCCCAGTCTCATTTATTCCACAGAGCGCACCAGAAAAGATGGTGTGTTGTGTGCGGGACATTGTGTGTTCTTTTGTGTATGTATTTGTTTGTGTTATTAATTTCATAGAGGAAGGGAGGGGGGAGAGAGACAAATATTAACGATGAAAGAGATCATTGATTGGCTGCCTCCTGCACACACCTCTTACTGGGGATTGAGCCTCCAAGTGCCCTGGACCCCAGTGCAGAAATTCCCATGTGCCGGGAACCCAGGACCCCTCTGTTTGCAGGCCAACGCTCTATCCACTGAGCCACACCAGCTAGGGCTGGGACATCATTTGAAGCATCAGTTGTGATTATTCATTAGACAGGCAGCACGCTGATGATCAGGGGCATTTGTTTGGTAGAAACTAGTATTTTGGAATGTTCAAAATGGGTACCTGTTCACAATGCTGTTTACTGGAGCCCAGCCTTTTGCTTTGTATTTCCGAGCAGTTCGGTCTGAACAGCAGCCTTTGGGCTGTTCTCTGCTGCATTCCTCTTTGGAGAGGGAAGCGGTGTGTTCCAGACAGCTTCTTCATCTCCTGTCTGTATTATGTCCTTCCAACACAGCTGTCAGATTAGTAGACGATCTTTCTTTGGATCAGAGAATTCAAGCATCGTAATAACAGTCATTTATAAAGAATGCTTGCTGGGTATAGTTCTAAGCACTTCTAGCCCTCACAGTGAGCCCTTGAGCAGAAGCTATTTTTAACCCCCATTTTACAGATGAGAAAACTGAGGTTCAAGGAGGCAAGTGACTTGCACAAGGTTATATAGCTAAGAAAGCTGCGAGAGCAGGACTTGGCCTATCTTTGGAGTTCGTGGCCTCAGCCACTGAGAGTTGGCTACAGTTAACCTAATCCGTTTTGTTTTCTTCTGCCTTTTCTTGGCTCACGTGGCTGGAGTCCCTGCCATGAGAGGGGGCTGTGAGGCAGGGAAAGGCTCGGAGCCAGGATAAACTGCCCAGGGAAGGACCGTTGTCAGACGCTATAATTCAGGCTCTGCTTTCTTCCTGTGACATCAGCCACATGAAATTCATCTCCCGGGGTGATGGAGGATGCTGGCAGTAAATCCCCTTCCGTGCCCTAGAATCAATGACTGTGAAAGGTGTGCAGGGATCGAAAGCCCAGTTAGGCCAAGCCCCTCATTTTACTGATGAGAAAATTATTACCGGAGCAAAATACGAGCCTTGGACCCAATTTCGACTGCTGTTCGTATTTTCTGCCATCTAGCCTTGCAACATGGGGCCAGGCTGCGAGGAACTGAGAGGCAGAGGTGAGACCTGGACCAGTTTTAACCTCTGAGGGATTCCCGGCACGTCCTCAGGGCTCGGTCTCACTTCTCCTTTTGGAACGTGGGAGAGTGCCATTTACAGCACCCCATTCCCTCTGAATTTGAACCAATTGGAAAATAGACAGGAATTTCTGAGCAGAATCAAAGTACAGGCTACGTGTGCTGGGTGAAGCCCATTGGCTATGGGGGTGACAGTGAGCTTCCTAATGCTCCCCACTTTGTCTGGCCATGTTTTGGATAAAGAGGTGTTTAGATGAAAGGATTGTAGGTTTCCCGGGAATGGGTCACAGGATGAGCAAAGGCCCGGAGACATGCAGTCACAGGAACAGCCCAGGGTGGGGCTGGACTTCCCTGGGGCTGAGAGCCGAGTCAGGCCCCAGGGCAGGGGCCGCCTCCCCCAGGACAGAACAATCTTGCGTTTACCTGTGTGAGCCATGTCCCACGTGATTCAAGGTTCGAGATCTGGAGAAGGGCTGTGCACAAATGACAGAGACGAGACAAGAAATAATGATTTGGAAACACTGGGGGCCAGGCGAAAGCCCAACTCAAGGGGAAGGACTTCCCTGGTGCCCAAGCCTTGCCAACCTTTTATTCAATTTTTGGATACACATTTAGCCCTTAGGCAGGCAGGCAGTTCCGGTAACAGACAGACTATCCTAAAGGTCAGTAAATATTAGTAAAGATTTACTCTGAGACTGTTTAGTCAGGAAGCTGCTTGAGCTACCATTGTCTCCACTAAAGTCGGTGCTGCCAGGGCTCAAGGTTCACCGGCATTCAGGCTCCTTGTTTACACTTCTCTGATAGTGAAGACAGTGGGTCCCTTTCCGTCCCCAATCCGCTGAGCTGCAGTTTTCCCAGTTCACGTTTCAGAATTGTCTGTCTGCACTTACCCAGTCAGCCATGGCTTCCCAAGGAAATGTGACGTCAGCTCCAGGGAGGGCCTTTCTTCCCAGACCCGCAGCCCTTGGAGCCCACGGCCTGAGCCCTGCGCTGGAATTCCGAGTGGAGAAAGGCAGGGATGGGTTTTGAGTTTCAGGGGTGCACTCTGCCTTCCACTTGACCATCCTTTGGGCATCTCAGATTTCGGGCAACACCATTTAGAAGTAAGCTGATCGCCCACTTCTGCCGGAGGGAGGATTCCGTAAGCCTCTTAGATGTAATGGCAGTGAGTTTCGACTTGTGCCCGCAGCCCCCGGGTTCCTAATGCTGATGAAATCACATCGCATCAGCCATCCTCTCTGAACAATGGGGCATTAAGTGACTGCAGCCGCCGCCGTTCGGACTGTTAGAGGTTGCAATGAACCGTATAAATGCCAAACCAGCGAATCCTAAGCTCGGCAGATAGAAGCTTTCCGATAGTCAGCACTTTGAGGGCTTTCCTGGCAGGACAGAGTGGCTGCCCATGCTTTTGTTTTTAATTGTTTAATTGGAATTAAGTCTGCATGGACTTACCTCCTGCCGAGGCCAAGTTCCGTGACAATGGGGAGTATTTGAATGTAGTGTGAAGAACTACTGTAAAATAATAGAATGTTGAATGCCCACTGTAATAGAGAAATAAGCAATTAAAAGGAGCGCTGTAAAATGATGGAGAACTCCCAAGAGCTCACTGCAGTTCATTAACAAACAAGGGCACACAACTATTTTTGTGGCCCAGGAAATGGTGCCCATCCTTTTCACACACCATTAGCCTTCCCGGGCTGATGTGGGGAGAGGATTGTTATCGGGGATAATGGTGACAGCCAGCTTTCCGGAAGGCGCTGGCATCCCAGGCAGTGCTGGGCGCTCAGCACGCATTGCTCACTTAACCCTTAGTCACCTGAGGGCTGAGTGTCGCCACTGTGCACGAGAGGAAGCAGGGACCCGAGAGAAGGAGTCCAGTGTCCTAGGGCACCCCCTTCCAGGACAGGCCCACCCAAACTGCTGTTGCCCCAAAGCCCGTGGTCCTCACTGCTGCACTGCCATCGGGGTGTGCTGAGCAGGCCCAGGGGCTGGGATCGGAGATAACGAGGCAGCGTCTCTGCTTTGCTGGGACCACACAGCCCAGCGGGTGGGCAGCTGTGCGAGGGCGCCATCGCCACACGGTATGTCAAACCGTGACAGAGGAAAACAGCGTGTCTGGGAGGCAGAGGCGGGTGTGTAATTTCCAGAGGGGACGCTCAGGCAGTCTTAAAGGGCAGGTGAGGATGAGGCCAGCTGTGCAAGAGGAGACGGGTCAGGCAAGGGGCTTGGTGGACATAGAAAGACAAACCCTCAAGACACATGTGCAGGGACCGAGAAGAAGGGGGCCTGAGAAGTGACAGAGCCACAGCCCCCCTTTCCCACACTCATAAGTAGGGAAGTCTTCCACATGGATGAAGCCGATACCCTGCCTTGACGGGTCATTCTCTGTCCTGTCAGCCATTCGTCCAGTTCGGAAGCTGGAACTTCAGGTCAGGGAAACTGCATTTCTCTGAACCGGCCCGGGCAGGGCACTGGGGGGCAGTGCTGGTGGGAGAGCAGGCCGGAGGGAGTGAGATAGTGTTGGACCATGATTCCGTGATCCCCAAAGACCAGCAGGGAGTCAAGTCCGATGCAGTTAACAAGAGAGCCCCTTCCATGTTAACATGGGCTCTGTCCCACTCACGCCGACCGCATGGCGGACGACAGCGCGAACTTCCACAAGCCCGGGGTTTTACTCCGGTGGTGATGTCACTGCTTTGGCTGACCCTGATTGTTTGGGTGAGGGCTAGGGTCCAGTTACACAAAATGGAGGATAGCTCTGCCCTGCCCACAGTGGAGTCTGGAGTTTATCCTCACCCTGCCCTGCCCTCTCAATAGCAGAGCTTTCGCCAGCCGTTCCCTCGTGTACTTGTGTGACCTCGGGGCCAGGCGGAAGGGAGAAACCTGGCAGATGCTCTTCTGTGCGATGCTCCCCGACGCCTGGGAAGCAGGTGTTGTTAGACCCCCTCGGTGCGCAGAGAGCAGAGGGCACCTGCTCTGTTGGGGGCGATGGGGGTGACCCGGCCTCCTCTGCAGCCCCAGCACCCGCGACCTTTTTGCCACGTTGTGGGAAGTCACACGCATGACTGGGGCATTCAGGATATTGCTGGGGCTCATTACCTCCTGTGGTAATAGAAGGACATGCTACATTTCAGTTACATGTTAGACAGTTAAGGAGCAGTGCCTTCCCCATCCATGATCATGGACGCCCCTAAATTCTATACACGGGGGGTGCCTGCTTTATGCAATTTATGTCACTTGCTTCTGCTCAGTGAGCATTTGACCAGCCTTCTCATGTGTACCTCGCTGAATGGCCACCACGAGTGGCACAAAGGAAGTTCCTGATGCCCAGGAGATGGGGGTGGAGAAGGGGTGAGGGAAGAAGCTTTGCTGCATATGACTGCGAACTAGCATTTTACTTTATTTTTAATATAGATTTTTATTGATTGAAGAAAGAAAGGGAGGAGAGAAAAACATCAATGATAAGAGAGAATCATTGATCCACTGTCTCCCACACACTTTCTACAGGATCAAGCACACAATCTGGGCTTGTGCCCTCACTGGGTATCAAACCATGACATCCTACTTCACAGGTCAATGCTCAACTGCTGAGTTACTCCGACCGGCTAGTGTTGGACATTTACATGTAAGCATAGGAGGACACCGAAGTTCGGAGGAGCTCAGGCGCATGCCCCAGGTGTAGCTAGTCCTCTGCGGAGCTGGGATCCGCACCAGCCCTGCCCAGTCCCAGCGCCTCCTCCCGCTGTAGCCCTGAGCCTGCTGGTCCCACTCAGGCGCGGAGGAGGATGTGCGAGTCTTTATGGAGAGGGTCGGGGAGTACAAAGAGCCTGCACTCAAGGAGGAAAATTGTTCACTTTTGCTTATTTTGTAGCCAAAAGCTGGGTCTCTTGGATCGGGTTCGCCTTTCTAATCCTCGTGGTAGCAATACTAAAGGAAAGCTATTTACCCCTCTGAATGTAGATGCCATAGAAGAAAGTCCTTCTAAAGAGCCAAAGCCTGTTGGCTTAAACAATAAAGAGCGTTTCCGCACCGCCTTCCGCATGAAAGCCTACGCTTTCTGGCAGAGCTCCGAAGGTAAGGCCTGTCCTCGCCCTGCCCAAGACCCCTCTCCCTCCTTCCCTCCTTCCCTCCCTCCTTCTCTTCCTCCCTTCCTTCCTCCTTCTCTCCCTCCCTCCCTTCCTCCTTCTCTCCCTCCCTCTTTCTCTTACTCCCTTCCTTTCTCTTTCCCTCCCTCCCTCTCTCCCTTCCTCCCACCCACCCTCTCTCCCTATCTTCCTCCCTTCCTCCTTCTCTTCCTCCCTCCCTCCTTCTCTCCCTCCCTTCCTTCCCCCTTCCCTCCCTCCCTCCTTCTTTCCCTCCCTCCCTCCATTCCTCTCTCTTTTCCTCCCTCATTCTCTCCCTTCCTCTCTCTCTCCCTCCCTCCCTTTCTTCCTTCCTCTTTCTCCCTTCCTTGTCCCTTCAACTCTCCTCCAACTGTCCCTCACCATGAAGGACTCTCCAGTCCCAAAGTAGCCGTTCCCTGCCCTCCCCCAACCCCCTGCTCACTGCCTCCTCTTTCCATCCCTGGTCCCTGGGCTGGAGGCATCTGTGACTCATCCCCACAGCTCGCAGGGCAAGGCGCCCAGGTGGCGGTTCCTGGGCCACAATCACCACACTCAGCTGCACAGCCGCGGCTGGGAGCGTGGGGACCGGTCACCATGGTCCCTCCAGTGGCAGTGATGAGCGCACTGCCATGGAACCGACTCGGAAGATGGAGAGGGCCGGGTGCAGAGCGATCCGCAGCCCCGGAGGCCTCGGCACCCCAGGGTGGGGAGAGGGGTCAGAGAGCACCCCTCGAGGGTGTAGGAACAGCGTCTCTGTGTTCCCTTTCACTTGGGAAAGAGGATAAGTAGGCTCAGAGAGGGACCTCCCCCAAGGCCACAGGCTGAGGGCTTGAAAGAGCAAGAATGTGACCGAATGCCCACCTGTGTGCCCTGGGCTGCCAGCCTGGGAACTCGAATGCACATCCTGAACTGCAGGCTTGTGGGTAATAGGAGGGGGTGCTCAGAAGGGCTGCGTGACCTCACAACTGGAGGACCCCGCGGGGTTCCTGGACGTGGGAGCAGACACGCTGGAGGCTGAGCTGGGAAGGCTGTGGCTGGAGGAGGCTCTCCGGGCGCTGGCCGCCGTTGACATACGTGTCTCCCTCTCAGATGCCGGCACCGGCGATCCCATGGCTGAGGACAGGGACGACGGGAACGACTTCCTCATCGAAGACATGATCCCCACTCTGAAGGCCGTCATCCGAGCCGTCAGGTGAGGCCCCGCCTCCCCGCCCATGGCCTCCCCAGGCCCCAGCTCGAACCCAGGACGGGGCTTTGTAAAGTGCTCTTGGCTCTGGGAGGGGGGCGGTAGGAGTGACCCCGGAGGCAGGTGCAGAGCATGTCCATTCACTCCGGGGGATGCTGCCTAAAGACTAACGGTGGTACGTCAGCACGTCACCTGGCTCCCAGGAAGACGGAGGTGAGGGCTTGGCATCTGTGAGTCCCGGATGTCCCCCTTTACTAAGAGCCTGAGGAAACCTGGGGAACAGGAGCTAGTCTCTCTTTCTGAGGAGCTTACAAGCGAGAGGGTTAGAAAGTCGACTCAGGAAGAGAGGTGTCAGCTGTGTGACACGGGCCTTGTCACACCCATAGCTGGTCTGAGGAGAGCTCCGAGGCTGTTAGCAGGAGGCCCCAGGAAAGTGCCCGAGCTCTCGGCCATGGGCTCACCTTCCAGAACTATCAGCGGATTGTTCATAAAACACTTAGCTCAGTGCCTGTAAGGAAGACTCGGGAGATGTCCGCTGGCAGGGTTACCCTGATGCTCTCAATATGCACATGATGGAGGGGAGGCACCAAGGCGGAGAGGATCTACCAGCCTGGTCTGTGTGGCTTGGAAGGCTGGATCCAGGACCCGAGTCGGAATATCTCCCCATCAAGTCCTTTTCTCTTTGGTTCTCTCCTCCCCCACTAACCTGCTAGTTGTAGTTTCTCTACCAGTGACGCACTCACGTCTCTGCTTCACCTCACAGAATTTTACAATTCCGTCTCTATAAGAAGAAATTCAAGGAGACGCTGAGGCCTTATGACGTGAAGGATGTGATTGAGCAGTATTCCGCAGGTCACCTCGACATGCTGTCCAGGATCAAGTACCTTCAGACCAGGTAAGACTGTTGACCGGGAGGATGGTGCTCTCCTAACCGCCAAGGAGCCAGAGCCAGGTGAACCCCAGAGCGGAGGGGGCAAGGCCTTCAGAAAGAATCCAATGTGCGGAGAGAAATGTTAGGAACAAATACATCCATCAAGCATTGTGGGTGTCAGTGCCAACCAGCTCCAGGTTAAGCAGGCTGGGAGGAAGCTCTGTGACATTGCTAAGGCCAAGGTCAACCCCCTGATGGGGCCTCATGGCAAGAAAGCATATGTCCGACTGGCCTCTGACTGGGATGCTTTGGAATTGTCCAAGCCCAGTCCAGCTGGCTAATTCTAAATATAAATTTTTCACTGTTGTTGAAAAAATGTGCATCAGATGTCAATTCTAATAGCAAAAATATGGAAGCACCAACGATGCCCAACTAATTGCCATTTCACCAAGGAGCAATTCAGAGCTCAAAGGGCAAAGAACTTACCCAAACTTACCTAGCCAGGAGGTGGCAGAACTGGGGAGCTCAGGCCAGGGGTGACTGGTTACCCAGCTCCTAGTCTCTCTAACAGCCGCACCTCCTCAGTCACAACGTAACGACCAAGAAAAGAAAATAGCCCGACCTACCTGGCTCAGTGGTTGAGCACCAGCCCAAGAACCAGGAGGTCCCAGTTTGATTCCAGGTCAGGGCACAGGCCCGGATTGCGGGCTTGATCCCCAATGTGGGGCCTGTAGGAGGCAGTGGATCAATGATTCTGTCATGGATGTTTCTCTCTGTCCTCCCTTCTTCTCTCTCTGAAATCAATAAAAATATGTATACTTTAAAAAAAAGGAAAGAACAGCACCTGCTCTCATTCGAGTTATATAGCCATCAAATGGCATTTGCAAGATATATATATCATGCGGTGAAAAAATTATATGACCTGTGAATATACTAATAGCCATAATATGATTACTAATGCACTGAGACCTAGACATGCACACTTACACATGTACACATGTATGACTATGCATGTGATTATATTTAGACATATGACTTTGTCCTCTGATGGCCAGAGATGCCTGCCAGCAGCAGACACCTGGAGAGGCAAACACAGTGCCTAGGGGGTAGCAGGAAAGGTCGCCAAACCAGATGAGCTGAAGGCCAGCTGGGCCTGCGGGCACACGGCATTTCTGCTGAGAATGAAGGAGACGCCACCCTCACCCAGTCTCCGTGGGCTGGCGCCTCTCTCTCCCCTGGGATGGCGAAGGTGCCCTCGACACCAATTGGCCGAAAAAAGACAATCTATTGAGATGATACATTCTCTCTTTTTCTTTTAATATATTTTATTGATTTTGTACAGAGAGGAAGGGAGAGAGATAGAGAGCTAGAAACATCGATGAGAGTCATTGATCAGCTGCCTCTTGCACACCCCCTACTGGGGATGTGCCCGCAACCAAGGTACATGCCCTTGACCGGAATCGAACCCGGGACCCTTCAGTCCCCAAGCCGACGCTCTATCCATTGAGCCACACCTGTCCCGGCTCTCTTTTTCTTTCTCTCTGCCTTCCTTTCTCTCTCTTTCTCTCCCTCCGCCCCCCCCCCTCTTTTCCCTTTAATCCTATGCTCCACACCCACACCTGGCAGGAGGGGTTAGCGTGAGTTGCCTTCCTCTCTGCCCCTGTCTGCCCTGTCGTTTAACCCCCTCGCCATGTGCTGTGCTCTCTTCCAGAATAGATACGATCTTCACCCCCGGGCCGCCCTCCACTCCCAAGCTTAGGAAGCCTCAGAAAGGGGCCGCGTTCACCTACCCGTCCCAGCAGTCTCCCAGGTGGGTCTGTGCGCAGCGACAGACAGGCCGTGGGCCCCACAGCTCGTGGGGCGTCCCCCTGCTCCCCGCCCCCCGAGTCTCAGTGGTTGCTTTCAGGGCGGGTGAGGTTGCTGGTCCCCGAATACATGGAGAGTTTGAGGGCTGTTCTGCTGTGTGGCCATTTGAAAGGTTTCTGTGCGAAACCCTGCCCGCCCCTCTCTCTCTGCAGACCGCGTGGGTGACACGTGGTGTTCTGGCTGTTGAAATGAAAAGCCCGGTTTCTTTTATGAAATAAGAGGAGTTATTGGTGCCGGCAGAATGCTTCCTAGTAGCAGAACGTGGCACCCATTCACTCCCACCCCGCCCGCATCACCTTGGACGCCATTCCCTAGATTCAGCATGTCTTCCACTCTTAATGAGATGGGACGGATGAAATGCTGACCCCACGGTATAGCATTTCAGAGGTTAGACCCCTCCTCGCGCCCCACTACGTACACTTGGGGGGCTCCCAACCAGCAGCCTGAGAAGGAAGCCCTAGGACAGTCATTTCAAGGAACCAGACCATGGACACAGCCAGGAGCTTAGCCCCTTCCCGGACCCACATGCACCTCCCAGATTGAGTGGAGCCGTGGCTCCTGGGACATGGCCCGGCGCTGGAGCAACTTGCAAAGCAAAACCAGGGCTAACCATCTCACAGGCCCGTTGGCTCTTCCCTAGGAACGAACCCTATGTGGCCAGAGCATCCACGTCAGAGATGGAAGACCAGAGCATGATGGGGAAGTTTGTGAAAGTCGAAAGACAGGTAGGTCTTTCCTTTTCTGAACCAAAAATGCAGGGGATAAAACTGAGTTCAAATGTCACTTCCGCGAGTCGCTACCATTCCAAAAGGGACGTGGAAATTCAATCCCGGATTCCTCAGCTGCTGGCTGGGTGATCACGTGCACATTAAGGAATTGTCCTGAGCCTCAGTGGCCTCGTCGAAAAAGGGGATCGTAATCCTTCCCGAGCTTGCTGTGAAAACTAAATGAATTGACGCATGTAAAGTGCCTAGAGCCGCAGTGCGTGTACAGAAAGCACTTAGCCAGGGGTGCTGTCAGTCTCAGTGCTTCCCAGAGTTCCCTTAAGAAATGTTCATTTCCTCCCCCATTCCCTAGATTAGGGGTGTCGAACTCAATCAGAGAAGGGGCCAAAATCTAAAATCCAGCCTAAATCGAGGGCCGAATGGTTTACTGAACAGTCATAAACTGTCATTGTGATGGAAACACAGCGGAGTGCAGTGATGACAGCGCGGTGCGGGCCACATTGCAAGGCCTGGCGGGACGGATTTGGCCCGCGGGCCTTGTGTTTGACACATGTGCCCTAGATCCTCCAGGTTACCCTAGATAAATGGCACTGCCAGTTGCTATCAGGATTTCTATCCCTTCTTTTATTTTATTCATAATTCAAACGTGGATCGGTGCAGGAGAGGCGAGAGAAAGGCTCAGTGATTCTTCTTTTTGGGCCTAAAAAGAATGCCGTTTTTCATTTCTAAATTTCAATTCATACTTTAAAAAATCACAGCCCGTCCACTTACCGGTCTGTGACTTTTGACAAGTTACTTCATCTGCTAGTGTCTCTGTGCCTTGCCTGCAGAATAAGGGCTGGGGAAACTAAGTGAGGTCGTATCTTGAAAGCGCAATAAGCAGAGTCAGATAGTAGCTGCTATGTGAGTGTTAGTGACTGCGACGCTTGGATGCCATCTCGGCCATTACCCAGTGCTGTGCTTGGCATCCTCATCGGATGGAGGGGATGATACACCTGCCACAGTGCTTGCTTGGTGAGTATGACTTGTCAGGAAGAGAAGGTCTCACACACACACATGTGCACACACACATATATATGCACAATCTCATGCATGCAAACACATATATCCACATGCACACACTCACATGCACATACATTCACACCTATATTCATGCACACATGCACACATGTGCACACAGGCAGGCATGCACATGTGCCGCACTCACACCTGCATACACACTCACAGAGATTAAGTAAATCCCCAGTTGGGCAGGCAGGAGCAGACCCTGCTTATCTCTGTAGCTCCCCCTGCACCCGAGGCCCCCAGGCAGGACCTCCCATTCTCTGAAGCTCAGTCCTTGCTCACCACCGCTCCGCATTTTTGGGCCTTACCTCACCCTGTAGGAGCAGCAAACGCTAACAGTCCACATACTTCCATCTAAGGGAACGTTTGCAAATCAAGGACTCCCGCTTCTCCACCCAAATGGCAGCCCAGCCCCTTGTCCTCCCGGGGGACAGGGAAGGCCCGGAGCGCCTGTCCTCACATCCCCGCCTCCAGCCTTCGCTCAGCCGCCCGGGTTCTGTCTGGATCTGCCCCACTGCGAGCGTGAGGTGGAGGCCGTCCGCATCGGGACCAGCAGGGTCCCTCTTCCTTCCCGATGAGCAGTGCGGCCGTGGCTTCTCTGACAGGGAGAGGCACCCCCTGAGAGAGCCGTGACCGCTCCTTGTGTTCCAGGTGCAGGACATGGGGCGGAAACTGGACTTCCTGGTGGACATGCACATGCAGCACATGGAGCGGCTGCAGGCGTACGTCCCCGCCTACGACCCGGCTCCAGCAGAGGAGAGAGGGGACCCCCGGGACTCGGAGATGAAAACCATCCTTTGCAACTACTCCGAGATGGGGCCGCCGGACCCCTCCTTCAGCTCCCACCAGGTGCCCATCAGCAAAGTCGGCCCCTACCGGTTCTTCGCCCACGACCCAGTGAGCCTGCCCCGTGGGGGACCCGGGTCCCTCTCCTCCTCTGCCGCGGAGTACATGGAGAGGCCCACCGTGCTGCCCATCCTGACGCTTTTCCCGTCCCCCACCGACCCGCACGGCCCCCGCGCGGACCGGGTCTCCCCCCGGCAGAGACGCAGCTACACGCGGGACAGCGACACGCCCCTGTCCCTCATGTCGGTGGACCACGAGGAGCTGGAGCGGTCCCCCAGCGGCTTCAGCATCTCCCAAGACAGAGACGACGTGTTCGGCCCGGGCGGGGGCTCCAGCTGGATGCGGGAGAAGCGGTACCTGGCCGAGGGCGAGACGGACACGGACACGGACCCCTTCACGCCCAGCAGCTCCATGCCTCTGTCCTCCACGGGGGACGGGATCTCGGATTCCATATGGACCCCATCCAACAAGCCCGCGTAAAGGGGTCCTGGCGGACTCCTTGTGATGCCCACAGACTCTGTACAGCCCACTTGCTCTCACGCCTGACACTCACCAGTGCGGTCACCCGTGGCCGCATCCGACGCCTGCATGTGCGTGATGGCCCCCCGCGGGGCCGGCCATGGCCTGTCCTCCATGCCACCACCGTGAAGCCGCTTCCTTCCAGCATGGTCTGCATGTCCTTGCACTAGCTCTGGTCCCACTAGCCTCCTTGCGGACACACGCTCACCGGCTCTTCTTCTTTTTGCTCGTGGTCAGACCAGTCCCGGGACCGGGAGGGGTCGCCCACGAGCTCTGCTCTTCGTCTGTCTGTCTGGGCGGCTGGTTTGGTTTGAGTTTGGGTTTGGTAAGCAGGGAGGTAGTTTAAGTTCTTTCTCTGGTCCCCACCCCAGCCAGGAGGGTTCTCCCGTGCCGATGAGGTTGCCTCCCAAGGTAAGGTGGTAGGAGAGGAGCGAGATATTTCCACATCTACAAAGCCAAGAAGCTTCCAGATTATTTCAGTGAGGCAAAGCCTTCTCAAAGCCCTCCGCAGGCCCTCGCTGGTCTGCCATTGCCTAGTGTCACACCCAGTTTCCTCTGTAAAAGGTGGTGGTTGTCCCAGTGTCGCATTGCGGATGAGCTATGAGTTGGCGGGGAGAAACGCACACACACACACACACACACACACACACCTATTTAAAAGTTCCCAATTCCTGTAGCCAAAGATGGTGACGTTGATCAGAAGTGGGGCGCCCCTCTGCACAGCAGCTAAGTTCAGTGCCTTCAAAATGAGGTTCCCACTCACCCTCCCCACAAGAACACCCATCTCCAGTGGGACCCGGAGTCAAAGGGCACATGGGCTGTCCGGTCCACGTCTCTCTGTAACACTGCGAAGCCTTTGGCTCCGCTCACGTGACACTCCCGGGGCCACTCCATGTCCCTGGAGAGCTGGGCCCAGAGCCCGGTCCGCCGGCTCGCTCTGTCCCCTGGGCTCCTCTGGCTTCACTGCTCTGCCTTTCGTGCAGCGGGATCCAGAAATTGTGCCAGGACAACCTGTACTCAGTGTCCTGTGCAAAGCACTTACCACACAGTGTATCTAGGAAGAGTGAGTTGTCTGGTCTCATTTGCCAAATATGCTTCCTGATGCGTTGTATTTGGGATCCAGGAAAAAAAAAAATAGTACAAGCAGCTACTTGTAATGGTAATATGCAGATGGGCAATATTTCCAGAACCACCCTTTTTTACTCCTGCAGATTTTTCAAAGCACTCCTACCCCTGAGACAGTGGAAGTGTCAGCCCTCAGCCTGCAGAGCACTGTTCCCCTGTGTGCGTCTCACCATCAATCACAGGCCAAATAAGCTTAAGAAGCCGTGGCCTTTTATGGGATGCCGCTGTGATGGAAAGGTTTCTGTGAGGTTTGGGTTAAGTAGCTAAATGACGGTTCTGCAGTATTATTATTGCCTCACCCTTTTAGCACATCTCAGCACTGGTTGAGGATGGTCACCATGGAGACCATCAAGATGATTGAAATGGCATAAACAAATGTCTGCATGTAAGTGTCACTCATGTCCTCCCTCACAGTCTTGTCAGGAGCCATCAGAGCCGTGGCAGACATCTGGATGGCGCTGTCTCCATTACCCAACGCAGCGGACTTAACGTTCTGCGGGAGAGAGGAGCTAGGTTCTCGCAGTTTGATTTTTGTCAATAGGTGCTTAGCATGCAGTGATCATGCAGGGCTGCTGCCTGGCTTTAGGGATTTACAACCAAAGCCTGCAGTCCCTGGCCAAGGGCAGGCATGGTGGCAGGTAGAAAGGGCGTTTGACATGGAGAGTGCTCTGAATGGTGGGTGGGTGTTGACCTTGAAGTCTGAGGTGGGAAATACACAAGAATGATCACACACATTGGATATGGAACCCCTACCCAGATGGTTTGCCTTTGACCTTGCAGCAATCTGAAGGGCAAAGGGCATGGATCATTGGGTCTTCTCAGCTCCCCTCAACATGCCAGGCAGTGCCATTGGAGTTGACGCTGGGAACCCTAAGCCCCTTCCTTAGGGCTTGGTTCTTGATTCTGACCTCCTGGGATCTCTCACCAGAAAGGATGGAGCCACTTACCATCTAACCTGTTACTGTGTTCTTCTTTTTTTTTATTTTTTATGTAGGAGTTATTTGAAACAAACAACAAAAAAAGGAGAATGAATCAATCTATATAGGCACCAATTGTTTTCCCTACCTTATTAATATTTTTGAAGAACCTACTAAGCTTAGTATCTTACAAATAGATCCATTTTCCAAGAACTCAGTGGAGTTCTCGGCTGGAAGAGTGGGACTTCTCATCCTCAAGCTAACAATTGCCATGGGCCCAAGCTTAGAGGACAGCCTAAGGGTCTTTTAATAGTTTACAGCGGATGGAGCTTGTATTATTTCCCTGCCAGCTCCTAAGACCAGGATGGCAAGGTCTGGGTTTGTGCTCCTCACCAGCAGGTCTCCGACATGGGTATGTTGCCATTATCAGTGCAGACAAAGACCAAATACATTTTTCATGAATTAATAAAGATAAGACTCTTAAGAGCTATTCTTTCCCATCTTAAAAAAGAAGAAGAAGAAGAAAAATTACCTGGATATTTTGCTTTTCTATCCTCTTTGAAAAGCAAACCAAATCTGCTCAAGTTAGCTGCCCCGAGGCAATATCACCAACATAGCTGGCGATATGGTTGATAAAGCAGACAGTCAAGGTCTAGAATTGAGCATAAGTTACAGGAAGAAAGTGTGTGCTTCCACAAAGATCGTTGTGTCAAAAGAACAGAATGATGGGCTCATCCAGCAGCATTGGTTGCTAACATGAAAGTTATGCTGTTTCAGGCACACCAGTGGTTCTGAAACTAGCCCAGGAAATTGCAGTTTGGGCAGAATCCCATGAAATAGTGACCAATTAATTCCATTAATGATTTTCCCAAGTGAAACTGATCTCATTTATGTATTCCATCTCTGTGTGTGGCAATATGACACATGAGAATGTTAAGGGGTGATGCTTTAGCGGGATCAAAATGAATGAGAGAAATCCACTTTCTCAGGTGAAAGGGGATGTCATTGGGCTGAGAAGAAAGAACTTGAAACCAAGTGTGAGTTATGACTATCAAATACCAGCACATGAGGAAACACAAAATTTTTTTTGTTAATTGTGAGAGAAAGAAACAACAAAACCCACACCGAATTGAAAAGGTTCTTTTCACAAAACTGCTTTTTCTGGAAACTTAACTTACATTTATTAGACATGACATTGATATTATGAAACTCTGATTTTCATTTAAGAAAAAACTATCCAGAAAACCCCCAAGGTATGCTATAGTTCAAAATTAGCTAATTAATTGACAGTTGTGCATTATGCCTTCCCTATTTTGTGCCAGGCAGTTCCTGGACACTGTAAATTGGAAGAATAATTACTTGTAAGAAGTCCCAACATAACAGGATCTACTCAATTTGCCAAGACCATTCTCATAATTTGATGGCACTGTAATGACTGTAATGAAAACATTTATTTATTAATTTATAAGATTTATTAAGCTGTCTGCTGGGCTCTAGGCAATGCACTTGAAATACAAAACTACAAAAACAACAGTTCCTGCCAACAAAAAGCTATGAGCTTGGTGGCCTCAAATATTGGCAGTCCCTTCAAACTATATGTACCACCAATGGCAAGTCTTGGTTTCATCCCTGATGACCATTCTATACAGACAGGGATGTTTCCTAGCTTGGAGTCACTGGGAGAGTGAACATGGAAGAAATTGAGAGCAAAAATTCTGCATCAAAACAGTAATGGCCCCATCAACCCAGAGAAGGCTGAATGGATTGGAGACTTTGAGTTTGGGTTCAATGCTTTGGACTTTATGGCTCCAGATAACCATACATGAAGAAGGTTCTAGAGTATCTTGGAAGGTTCTTGGGGGGCAGTAGAGGGAACAGGTTTTTCCTCTCTAAACCCCTACGAGGATTGAGTTCTGGCAGATCACTCAGCTACTTAAATGTGTTAAGTAGAAGCATATGGTACAGGCCCAAGACACAGTCTCCGTTTCCAGAGAAAGGTAGGACCACCTGAGGGGTCTGCTGATCAGAGTCTTCTGGGGCAAGAGAAGAAATTTATCCAGAGCCCCGAGCAGTGGACTGCACTTGGGAAAGTGCTACCAAGCACACGCCAGGCTTCCCCCAGAAGATACCATGCAGCTGGTCTTTGTTTTCCATGAATATGCTTCCGGGGCATCTAGAACCAAGTCCTCTTGGCCTCCACGTAACACATAAGTTTCAGTGGAAAATCAGCTAAAATGAGCTGAGTGTGATACAGATCACCTGAGTGTGATTTATCATGAAGCAGTCAAAAGCCTAGCCCAGCGCTTCGGAATATGTTTGTCTCCCCTTGGACTTGACAAAGGAATGAAAGTTTGATGCCGAAGAGCAAGTAAAAGTGAGCATGTTCTTTTTCAATGTTCCGTTCTCCTCTGCCCGCAAGATGGAGGCCAGGGAAGGAGAAACTGACCCTGAGCTCTTGAGTTGCCATCAATATAATAAATTTCTGTCTTGACTTCATGCGATCCTCATTGCAGCCCACGGGGGAGGTGTGTAATCTCCATCCTACAGATGAGGAAACTGAAGTAGATGGGAAATACCTTGCCAAAGCTCACTCATCGTAAGAGTAGATCTGGGGCCATAATCAAAACCCATGTCCCCCAGCCAAGTCTCCCAGGAAAAGCTGCCAGATCTTGCCCTCTGGTCCTTCTCCAGACCTTGCCTTCCTCTGCCCAGTCAGCTTTAGAGTAAAATGATCACAGACCCATTGCTTCCCTGGAGAAAAGAGAGATTCCTGCGTTGGTTGCTCCACTTTGATATTCAGTGGGTTTTGCTTGTTCCTTTGAGTTGTCAGTGACAAAATAATGCCACATAAATTATTCTCCTGGTTCGTGTTGGAATCCATCGGCTCTTAGAGTTTGGTATGGCTGCAGAGAGTCCCCTGAGCACCCCTTGTTCTCGGTCCCAAGATCTGTCGTCGTTTTAACCAAACAAGGTCAACTGTCCCTCCTGACTCAATCTTGTGTGTCTAGACTGTTCCTTTATGACAGGTCTTTGAAAACCTGCAGAAACAGGTGGATCTTCAGAAACACTCTATTTCTTTCTTGATGGGAAAAGATGAAGGTTCCCAGGAGAAGCCAGCCTGGTCTGGGGATGGGGCCTCTTCTGCGTACTTTCCCAGGGAGGGGAGACCAGCCCACCTTCCACACGCGAGGGTTGTGTCCAGGTGGGAGGCCAGGCTCCAAGACATGGGGTCATTTTATGGGGTGTCAGAGGTTTTGCTGCTAGAGACAAGTGGTGGGCTCCATCTTGAAAATCCCCAGAGAAAGATGGGCCAACACATCAGATTTGTCCATCATTCCATTTTAACAAGAAAAATGCTCTCCCTGTTGCTTCCAATGTGACATGGCTGTCCTTTTTTCTCTTTCTAATGATCAGTGAGGGAAACAGAGACCCCCTGTGTTTCATTTGGGATTGTGTTTCCTTTAACCCCCTTTTGCGGCATAGAAATCTGGTGCCTTGCTCCTGAGATCGTCTCCATGCTCTGAGTACGCTTTCCTCACCTCTGGCTTACACGGGAACATTCCACAAGTGGCCTTTAGTGCTCTTTATAATATCATTTCCTATGATTTTTAAACTGTACGTGTACTTTATATTCTGGCTCCGTCTGATATTTGAACAACTTTAATAGGTTGGTTTCCATATATTATGCAAATAATTCTTACCTGGTTTTTTATGTTCTCTCTCAAAACAAGTAACTACTGCACCACTTATTAATAAATAGACATTTCAACGACGATGTGGCAGAATGTTATTTGCTCTGATGATGACAAGGAGTGACAAGAAAAGGCAATTTGCTATTGGCTGCAGGTGGGGGCAATGAGGGAGGCTTGCATGTGTTTGTAAGATATAAGGAAAGAAGCAGTTGAGAGGGAGAGAATACACAAGGAGGAAACATGGATAGAGTGAAGGTCCAGAGGAAAACGTCAGTTGGATGCTCCTAGCCATGGAGAGCAGGCTGTGCGGATTGCTCATTTCCTTGGAAACAGCCAGTGTGCAGGCTGTGGACATACAGGTTTCATAAAACCTTACCCAATTATTACAGCTTTAAGACGTTACTACTCCCACTTTACAGATGAGGAAATCGAGGCCCAGATACATCAAAGCACCCGCCCAAAGCCAGACATACACAGAGGAAGAAGGCAGGGTGACTCAGAGACGGAGTCACAGGGAGGACATTAGCAGGTCCTATCAGATCGCCTCTTTTATCAGTGTAACAGGAGGGGGTGTTTTCTCGTGAGAGGGTGAGTTAGGGTGGGAACCTCAGGGCGTTCCTTAGTGTGGTTGTGCCTTAATGTATCCCCTGTAAAGTGGGGAGAGTACTGCCTTGAACGGTCGTTATGTGGGTCGATGTGAGTGGAGAACTTAGGATCCAGCACACAGCGCGTGCTCAGTGAGTAACAGCTTCCAGCCTTCCCCTGTGCCCACAGGTCAGGGCTCCACAGGAGGGGGGAGGGGTGCTGTGTGCAGAGTTTAATTGGGAAATGATCCCAGGAAACGCGTCTGAGATAGTAAGGAGTGTGAGGGAAAGGCCATTAAAGAGTGGGCTCAATCCACCAGGAACATCTGAGGACGCACATACATGCCCTGCGGCATTGTTCCACTTGGGGCAGGAGTCGAGACCACTCGTCTGCTCGCTCCTGCTCGTCTTGGATGGAGGGTGGCCCCTGGCGCTCTAAATGCCTTCCTCTGACAGGTCTCCCTGTGCGACCGGCAAGCCAGCTCTCAGGAGCAGGAAGGCAGGGCCAGTGACGATGGCGGCTGTCAGTTCACCTAGCACAGTGGTTGGCAAACTCATTCATCAACAGGACAACGATGGAAATTTCTTTGGAGAGCCACATGTTTTAAACTTAAACTTCTTCTAACACCACTTCTTCAACATAGACTCGCCCAGGCCATGGTATTTTGTGGAAGAGCCACACTCAAGGGGCCAAAGAGCCGCATGTGGCTCGGGAGCCGCAGTTTGCAGACCACGGACCTAGTGCAACTGCAGGTGAACTCGGGTGCGGGAGGGCATTCGGGGTGGGGTATCATCAGCACCTGAGCCCACTGGAAATCTCTGCCTTCACGAAGGTAAACAAACCCGGCCAGGTGGCCCCAATCCCCGCTCTAGTCAAAGCCAGCACCGGGCAGCCGAGCCATGACTCCCGTGGGCGTGGCTTGCGGTGAAAACAGTGCTTCAGATGATGCTCTTCTGGTTCAAGGTCATGATCCAGCTCCAGGGCACACATCTGTCATCACTAAGCCCGTGGCTGCCTTTGCAGTGATGAGCAGAGCATCTACTCCCCAACCCTTTATTCCTCCCCTAACCACACTCCCCGCCCACATCCCCTCCGTATGACAGGCAGAGAAAGAGCCTAACAGTTATATCCCTGAGAAAATCCCTTCCCATCGGCACAAGCGGGGCAAGCCCATTCACAGCCTCCAGTCCCAGATGCCCCTGGGGCAGTTACTGTTCCCAGTAATGTCCATCCCGACAATGAGCCTGCGCATCCAGGAGACCTGGGACCCAGTGGCCTCCCCGGAAGACGGGTAAGGTGTCTCCCCTGAGGAACGACCCCATTGTCCTGTGCCCTGCCTGCACCTCGATATGGAAGCGTGCCCAGCAGTGTGCCTCCTGGCCCTGGGCAGCTCAGCCCCAGGCCAGGGGGGTCAGCAGCGAGGGGAGGAGGAAGAGACACAATTAGAGGAGGGCCAGCACAGGTCCCGAAAGGCCTCTGGAACATTACAAAAACAAAACAAAAACAACAAAACAAGGTCATTTGCTTTGACCGAGTCAGACAGGAAGTCACCGCGAGGCCTAGGGCAGAGGGGTGACAAGATCTGACCTTTGCGAACTGGGTTCTCTGACTTTTGTGTTGAGACCCTGAAGGAGGCGAGGGCAGGAGTAGGCAGGTTGTCAGGAGTGCATTGTCACTGACAAACCCATGCAGGTGAAAACCAGATGGTTGCTTGAGGCTGGAAATTGAGGGTGGGGGGTGAGGAGGGTGGGGTGGGGAGGTGGAAGGACTGGCTATAAATGGCCACAGAGATCCCATCGGGTGGCAAAAATATTCTCCAACTAGACTGGGGCGATGGTCGTCTAACTTGTCAACTTTAGACAGTCATTGAATTACAATGGGAGACGTTAACAGGATACAAATTATACCTCAACACAGTGGGTTAAGAGAAGATCTCACGTGGCCGGCGTGGCTCAGTGGTGGAGTGTGGACCTATGAGCCAGGAGGTCATGGTTCGATTCTTGGTCAGGGCAAATGCCCAGATTACGACCTCAATCCCCAATGGGGGAGTGGGGGGGAGGGTGTAGGAGGCAACTGATCAGTTAATTCTTTCTCATCATTAATGTTTCTATCTCTCTCTCCCTCTTCCTTCCTCTCTGAAATCAATAAAACTATATTTAAAAAAAAAAGATCTCTATGGCTGATATAAGGTACCAAGAGTAGTAGCAGATGACAAGCTAGCAAGAATTTCAGAAGCCCAGACAAGGAAGACCAACCTTGAACTTGGGTGGGTATGAGCAGAAGGAATCTGACTGTGCAGGCTCTTCTAGGCCCAGCGCTGGCATATTTTCTGTAAAGGGCCAGAGTCAGTATCTCGGGCTTGGTGGGCCATGGGGTGTCAGTCCCAACTACTCAACTGGGCTGTGGTAGCACAAACAGCCTCGGAGAACACACAAGAATGGGTGCGGCAAGGTGCCAATAAAACTTTATTTGTAAGCATTGGAATGGGAATTTCAGATCATTTTCGCGTGTCACACATACTGTTCTTTCTATCTTTTCCACCTACACCCATGGAGCCATGAACACAGGCATCGGGGTCCAGGCTCGCCGCCCCTGCTCCGGGCACCTGCCAGAGGGACCAGCGCTGCCTCGGCCCCCACGCCAGGGGCCGCTTGGCTCCCAGACCTTTCGGACAGGAAAGGGAACTCATCGCTCAGAGCCCCTGCCTGCTCCTCCAGTTCCCGTAATTACCGTGGGGAGCGCATTCCCAGCCCACGCTGAATCGCCGCTTTGTCATTCTGCTCACGATTCCATTCAGCCCCCAGCACCGCATTTTTCTCCAATGAAGTTGATCCTGTTTCACCTCCCTGAGTTCTTGGTCGGACTATTATTACATTCTCCCCCCCCACCACCACCAACATCCCCCAGGACTTAAAGCAAAATTATCAAGGCTTTCCCCACCCCGCCTCCTGCATCTTTCACTAAGAACTCATATAAGCCCTCAGCTCTGCCTGAGCCGCTAATCTCTCTGGCTGCTGAAACCCTTTGAAGCTGCTGATCCGCTCAGGAGACAGGTAAGTCATGCACTATGGATGCTCCAAAGCCCCCCGGCTCCCTCTCCTCCCGCAAGAGTAGAGCCAGCGGAGAATGCATCTGCCACTGACCCCAACTCTGGGCTCCCAGATGCTGAAAGATGAGCAGGAGATCTGGGCCTTTCTGTCACGCAGTATCCACATGACACTCATCTGAGCCTTTGTTTCCTCAAATTAGAAAATAAGGGTAGTCAGCCCGGCCTGTGTGGCTCAGTGGTTGAGGGTCAACCTATGACCCAGGAGGTGACAGTTCAATTTCCAGGCAGGGTACCTGCCTGGGTTGTGGGCTTGATCCCCAGTGTGGGGCGTGCAGGAAGCAGCCGATCCACGATTCTCTCTCATCATTGATGTTTCTCTCTCTCTCTCTCTCTCTCTCTCTCTCTCTCTCTCTCTCTCTCTCTCTCTTTCTTTTCTCTTTCTCTCGTTCTCTCTCTCTTGTTCTCTCTCTCTCTCTCTCTCTCTCTCTCTCTCTCTCTCTCTCTTTCTCTCCCCATTTCTCTCTAAAGTCAATAAAAACGTTTTTAAAAATAAAATAAGGATAACCACAACCAAGTAGGGCTGCCTCAGGGACCAGTGGGAGGCCACATGGAAAGTCCCTGGCACATCCGATAGCCAACCAACTTTAGACTCTCCACCTCGTTTCCACATCCACTGTCTTTGAGAAGCAGAACTGTTGCTGGGAAGGGGGCTGGCCCCGCCCGGTCTGCCTGGGGCGGGAAAGACCTCCGCACAGCAGGAATCCAGGCGGTTGGGGAGTCTGTTTATGAAAGCTGGGCGCGGTGAGACAGCGAAGGGCCAGGATAGAAGGAGCCACCGGAGGACCCAGGCCCGGCTGCTCTGGCTCTCTGGCCGTCAGAGAAAGGGGGGCCTTGGAGGCAGGTTCGTGGGGGAGTCCATTGCTCTCCTGGTTGCAAGTCTCCTGGGGCCCCTTAGAGGTTAGGATTTGCAGCCTGTGGGGCTGGGGAGGGGAGAGGGATGGTGCTGGGGCCTCTGTCCGGGGCTTTTAAGGGTGGGGATGGCAGCAGAACATTCCAGGTGTGCCCTTTCAGGGTCGTGTCCTCCGCTGATTGGTCGGCGCCAGGGCGGTCATTAGTCATTGCAGCTGGCCCTGGCCCCGCTCTCCTGGATGGGCTGCTTTTCTGGGCCCAGGGCTGAACTACAGCTGAGGCCTAGATGTTAGCTCCAGGGAGGTGACCGGCCGGCCGGATCTGGCTGTAAATTGCTCGGCCAGTCTGTTCAGCCACCTGCCTCAGTTTCCCCAATCCACACAGCAAGGCATTTCTTCCTATGCTGCCTCAGAACCTCACCCAGGCCTGGGTCAACCTATGACCCAGGTTGTCTGCCAGGCCTGAGTGTGCAGTCTGGGCTGCCGCTCGCCTGTGGAAGGACCCTGGGCCAGTGGTCTGGCACCCCGCATCCCCTGGGTCCCTCAAGGGAGGAGGAAGCTGATACTTAGGCTGAAGGCGGCTGCATGAACTGTCCAGACTGTAGGGGTGTCGAACTCAATCAGAGAAGGGGCCAAAATCTAAAATCCAGCCTAAATCGCGGGCCGAATGGTTTACTGAACAGTCATAAACTGACAATGTTAACCAGAAATGTGAATTTAAAATGAGTGGAACAATCTTTTCCTTAACAGTGCTGTTAACCAACTCACATGCTATCAAGGATTTGGCCCGCGGGCCTTGGGTTTGACACATGTGGTCCAGAGTCATGCACTGAGAGCAGTAGTTCTCCCCGTGGCGGCCCAAAGAAGACAGGACATGGGTTCGAGTCCCCTCTCCGCTGGGCTTTGTGAGGAGTCTGTCTGACGGGCACCTTCCCTGGGCTGTACCGTGTGGGGAGGAGGGCAGGGTCCTCGGCGGCTAACGTAACTGTGGCTGACGACCACCCTTGTGAACGGAAGTAACACAACGTGAAGCTCCAGGTTGTTGCGCCCCCGTACCCCCAAACAGGGACCTACTGTGAATTCATTTCATAGGATTTTGGGGCCAATTCTTGGCTCCTCGGTCACAACAGCACTTTGCCGCCCTTCTTCGGGGAGTGTGATTGAATGCCTAGCTCCGTCCAGCCACCAAAAGGTTTTGCAATAATAAGTCTGTTTTCCTCAATGTCAGACCCATTCCTGGCCATCAAAATGGCGCTTCGATGGGCGGGGAATAGAGTGAAATGTGGTGGAAAGGACACAGACTTTAGCATCTGAGGGGCCTCGGTTCAAATCCCACGTGTCCCACGTAGGAGCCCTGTAACCAGGGGGCTTCCCATCTGTCTCTGGGTTCTTCCCTGATGTCATCGGAATCTCATGTCTCTCGCAGAGGGTGATCGAAAAGGTAAAATGGACAAAGGAGTGGGGAGGGGAGAAGGAAATAAGAGAGGATGCCTAAAAGTGAAGGCCAGCGTGGCATCCGGACGAGACACCAGTCCTTATCTCCCACTCATTAAAAAGCAACTTAAGTGTTTATTAGGATGTCTCAGCAAAATTCCCAAGGTGGGTCCATCCCGATGGATAGCAGAACTTCTTCACAGATGTTCTTAGCCTGCCATGAAGATGCTCCGTTCCTAAGTCGCTTTCCTCAACCCCACTTCCTCTGCACTTTCCTCCCTCCTCCCCCTCCCCCCAGTTTGCCTTCCAGATCTGTGTCATTCTCCACCGATGGCAGGTGCCTGCTCTTTTCAAATCACGGCTGAGCAGGCTGGGTGCTAAGTGGGAATTGCACGAATCCTGACACACGGGGATTCTGTGGCTGTTCAGCGATGAGAAGCGTCAGACAGCATTCGGTGTGGTGTCTGGCACCCAGGCAGCGCTCAGCAAATTGTCACCATTATTCGTATTAGTCTCAGCTCTGCCACGTTCCCTGTCACGCTGATGCTGATTCTGCACAGCAAGTCCCTGGAGGACTGTGGGGACACAGAGCTGCAGCGAAGGCAAGGAAGCCTGAGCACGCACACACGCTTGTGTGTCTAATGTGTCCGAGGCAGCTACGATGCTGCATGTGGAGAGAAGACCCATCTAAACAGCCAGGAAACCATGGACTAGACACCAATCCCCCTTCTGTGCCCGGATCTCCTCCCGTTACGTGGGGCCGCATGAGCACTTCTGGTGTGGGCTAGAAATAGAAGTGAGTGTGCCGCTGCCCGCCAGAGTATTTCAGAGTTGGTACACAGGCCCGGTTGGCGGGGCTCAGTGGCTAGAGAGTTGGCCTGCGGACTGACGAGTCCCGGGTTCCATTCTGGTCAAGGGCACATGCCCTGGTCCTGGGCTCGATCTCCAGTTGGGGGCATGTAAGAGGCAGCTGATCAATGATTCTCTCATCATTGATGTTTCTCTCTCTCTCCCTCTCCCTTCCTCTCTGAAATCAATTTAAAAGTATTTTTTAAAAAGGAGAGAGAGAGAGATGGTACACAGTCTTCCGGCTCCCTCCTCTCCACTGCACAATAAATCAATGACTACGGCGGCCGCAAGGGCCCGAGGGAGAATTACAAGACCCTGGAGCCTCCGGCAGCCAGGGTCCCTGAGAGACCGCGTGGAGTGCAGTCTCTCCCCAGTCTGCAGTGACTGCGGACCACAAATAGGAAATGAACTTTTGTTATCGAATGCTGCCAGTGAGTCTGTGGAGTTCATTTGTTACCTCGGCATACCCTGCCCTATCCTAACTATAAAGAGCCTTTTCAGAATGTATTTCTAGTGACTCCCGGGCGATGTTCTCAAGGACGGTCTGAACCAGCGTGGACGGTGCGCCAGCGGCTTCCCCCGCTGCCTGCTCACCCCCAGGCGGTCCGTCCAGAGCACCCCAGCATGCCGGGCCTCCGGGAGCGCGGCACCCCCCAGAGGCTGCGCGTGGGCCTGGCCTGTGTCCTGTGCCTCTGGAACACAGGTGGGTCCGGGCGGAGGTCAGGAAGCGTCTGGTCTGGGTGCTGAGCATGGGTATTCCTTGTGCTTTACAGGCTGGCAGCCGCCAGCATTTCAGGTCAGAATCCTCAACATGTTTGGCCAAAATGGCAATAGCAACGACCCCATCCCTGGTTTTGTTCCCTGACTTTTTGCAAGCGAGTGCCACTTACGCCACAGAATTATCTTCCCTGTCACTGTTCCCGCTCCGGCCCGAACATCGTCTCCTCTGTCCTGGGCCTCCAAATCAGCTCCCAGCTTCTCCTCGTCTCTCCATGATGCATTCTGCACTCGCCCGCCCGCCTGATCTCATAAATCTCCTTGTATCACCCTCCATGCTCCTCCTTCATTTCCGTCCCCTCCAAATAGTTACGCCCACTTCTCACGTCCTTTACCCGATGGACATGACTGTCCCCCACACCTTGGCTACTTCCTGCAACCCCCCCACCTCCTTCCTCATTCCCTGAGTCCCATCCCTGTTGGCCTCTTTCACGTCTTTAAAGTCACTCTCCTGTGCATCTCTGACGCTGGGCACCTGCTAGCTTGACATGGAGCAGCCCCTCTGCCAGTTAACCTACTGGCGTCCTCTTCCGCCTCAGGACTAGCTGATGCCACCTCCCAGGGGATGCGCCTGTCACTGAGATCACATCAGGTTCCAGTATAAGCCTCATGGTTCATAGTAATGTCCGGAGTCTGATGTCCGCCTTCCCACCCGGAGTTTAAGATCCATAAGGGGTGGAGTCTGTATCCACTTATCATCAGACGACCTTGGCACCTGACACACACAATGCCCACGCAAGCCCAGGTGCTGGGTAACATCACCAATCTTTAGCGCTATCCTAGCGATTAGATAAATATGTGATGACTGAGCAACAGAACGAACAAACAGCATGTGGGATTGTCAGCAAGCTGCTTCCCCGGTCCAGATCAGAGTGTTCTCGCCTTTCACAGGAGTATTTTGGATTCGTTCTCTCTGAGGTCATGTCTGGGTGATAATTTTCCTGATGAAAACTCTTTTGTTTTAGTGGCTGCTGTGAAAGGAGAATCCAAGAAGGAAACAGTCCCAGCCTTCCCACTGACGACAGGTAAATGGGCAGGTGCTTCTCCCAGCACACTCTGTCTGCAGCAAATGCCGTGGCTTCTCTGAGCCTCAGCTTCTCCATCTGTAAAATGGGGATTGTGTCTCTATCCCAAGCTCTGACAGTCATAGGCACGGTTTCTATGAGTTGCTCATTGCTTTATGGCTCAGGGGACTCCTGGGTCCCCGTGATCTCATTAAACCCACAGAGACTGAAGTTCTATGAGCGATGAAAGATTTCACAATGGGAGGCATTATAATACGCCGCCGTCGTCACCTTTGAAATAAGTCCATATTTCTTTGCCTTTTTTTTCTTTTTTCTCTTTTGGTGTCTGGGCAGGATGGTGAATGCATTCCAACACTATGGACATGTTTGAGTCAGGGCTGGGGAGGCAGGGCCACCAGCCAGGCGTGGGCATCAGGAACAGCGCTCCCCTTTGTCAGGGGCCTCGGCGCCCTCCCCCTCCAGGGAGTGCTGGACAGGATGCTTGTAGGATGTTACAAACTGTGAGGCTGTGCTCCCGCCCGGCCATCTGAGTCCTAAACGCTCGCATTGCAGGGTCCGGGAATGAGGACGCCGAGAAGGAAAAGGCCCGGGCTCTCCTGGCTGCGACAGGTAACGGGGCCCGGATCCCGGCTGTGACACGGTAGCTCGGGAACACACAAGGCCTCAGCTTCTCTGGGCCTCGGCCTTTCCAGCTCTGGAATGGGCGTAGGCACTTACTCCACCGGAAGGCGCCGTGGAAAGTCATCACTGGGACTAGAAGAGGAAATGCGTATGAGTGACAAATGCCAAATGAGTGACAAATATGAGTGACAAATGCTGAATGAGTGACAAATATGAGTGACAAATGCCAAATGAGTGACAAATGCTGAATGAGTGACAAATGCCGAATGAGTGAATGGCATCTCACCCCAGGCAATAGCCTTTCACATCCGGCTTTCCTCACTTCCATGCTTGGGGTCCTTCTCCAGCCCCTAGGCCCATGGCCGGCAAACTGCGGCTGGCGAGCCACATGCGGCTCTCTGGCCCCTTGAGTGTGGCTCCTCCACAAGATACCACTGCCTGGGCGAGTCTATGTTGAAGAAGTGGCGTTAGAAGAAGTTTAAGTTTAAAAAATGTGGCTCTCCAAAGAAATTTCAATCGCTGTGCTGCTGGTATTTGACTAATGAGTTTGCCGACCACTGCCCTAGACCAGGCTGGGTGCTCAGACAGAGGCACCCACGGCTGGGTGCTCAGACAGAGGCACCCACGGCTGCATCGCTCCCTGGTTGATGCTCCTCGCGTGCCGTGCACCTGACTCTCCCTCCTCCCACCTGAGTCACAGGGAGCTGGAGATTCCCTCCTTTTCCTTCGCCCATTAGCCCTCACACCGGGAGTGTCTATTGAATGATCCAAGAATGACTGATGCCTTGGCTTTGCAGAATTTCCCTTGACCTGTACTTCTTGGATGCCACAAACTGCCCTGTGGGCAAGTGGCCTAATACTGTGAAGGCCCCAGGCTCCCAGCTCTAGGAGGTTGGTCCTGACCCCTTCCTTCCGGGGGCTCAGTGTGCAGGTTTCTCTCTCTCTCTGAGCCTCGTCTCCCCCCCACCCACCCCACCCACCCCCCGAGTAGGGGGCGGGGCAGGCGAGTCCCAGCATCTCCATCAGAATTGCTGCCTGTTCTGTGAAAGGTGCCTGTCAAGGCCCCTTGTGGCCCCAGGAGGCCAGAATCTCCAGCAGCAACTCGGGATCGGCCTTTTCACACGGTCCCCAGCGACTCTCACGGTCACCGGCCTGAGGGTCGTGAAGTGCAGGCCTCCAGGCCCCGTGGGCAGCGAGAGGCTGGGGTGGGGGGCTCCCGTTCCCCAAAGAGGAGGCACCTGAGCGGTGAGGAAGCACTTCTCTTGCAGAGCTGCCTGCGAGGGCGGTGGACCTGTCCTCCCTGAACCTGACGGAGCTGGTGAACGACATGCTGAACAGAGCCTTAAAAGGTAAGCTTTTCCGGCCCAACCAGCGTGGCTCCGTGGTTGAGCACCAACCTATCACGGTTCGATTCCTGGTCAGGGCACAGGCCCGGGTTGCGGGTTTCATCCCCAGTGGGGGACGTGCAGGAGGCAGCTGATGAATGATTCTCTCTCATCATTGATTGTTTCCATCTCCCTCTCCCCTCCTCTCTGAAAGCAATAAAAATACATTTAACAACAACAACAAAAATGTAAGTTTTGCTTAAAAGCACCATCCAGGCCGGTCTCGGCCTTGGACCAGCTTCGCCGCTGGACTCTGTGACCTGGGCACATGCGTGTGCCAGCTCCCCTTGCTCAGCGTGAGGCTGTGTTGCCCTGGCTAACTCGGGACGGGAGGGAAACACCCCAGTGAGGGCCCTAGTCGGTTTAGCTCAGTGGATAGAGCATCAGCCTGCAGACTGAAGGGTCCCAGGTTTGATTTCGGTCAAGGGCATGTACCTTGGTTGCGGGCACATCCCCAGTGTGCAGGAGGCAGCGGATCGATGTTTCTCTCTCATCGATATTTCTGACTCTCTATCCCTCTCCCTCCCTCTCTGTAAAAAATCAATAAAATATATTAATAAATAAAAGAAAGAAACACTCCAGTGAGGGAGGGTTGCCAGCACGTTAGAGCGGGCCTGTCCCTCACGCCACAGGTGCCTAGTTTCCGGTTATGACTGCCTCAAGAGAGAATTGTCCTAGATCCAGGACCATTCATTCAACAATTATTTACTGAGCACAGAAAATACAGCCAAGTGACATGTATTTTTGCACTTTTATTTTATTTTTTAAGTTACTTTATTATGTGTTCTCTGCATTCTTAATTTCTATTACCGGTTTGCGAATCTGTTGTTGTTTGTTTTGGTCAGTAGGCGTGTGTCTTTCTGTATTCCCATGTCGTTGGCAGATAGTAGGAAGTTCTTCTCCTTGCTCAGCATCACGTCCTACAGCTCCTTCGCCTTCCACAAGCTGTCCGTGGCTGTGTACAACAGTGAGTGCCTCGTGGTGGCCATGATAAAGAGCGGGGCGCCCGCAGGGCCGGGCGGTGTCAGGACCGCCGTGTGGACTCTCTCTTCACAGTCTCCAACCTGAAGACGGTGGACCAGGCCAAGTTCCCCACGCGGTACTGCTACTGCTTAAGCAATCGGACCAATGACCTGTCAGGTGGGCGGGGCTACCTACTGCTTAAATAATCAGACAAATGACTTATAAGGTGGAGGAGACTAGCTACTGCTTAGGTAATCAGACCAATGACCCGTCAGGTGGGCGGGACTAGCTACTGCTTAAGCAATCGGACCAATGACCTATCAGGTAGGCAGGACTACCTACTGCTCAAACTATCAGACCAATGACCTGTCAGGTGGGAAATTGTGGGGTGAGACAGGAAAGGTATTGCAGATCATGAAGAAGTTTATAAGAAAACAAATCAGAAAAACCATTACTCAACAATGTGGCCTTGCACAGCTCTTTGGGGTAGGCAGACAAGGATTTGGGGGAAGAGGGCAATAGAGGAGAAAGAGGATTTATAATGGTGGGTCCAAAAAGTTTTCTGCCTGCCTGAAATTAAGACTTTTTAAAATAACGAGTGGCATTTCTGTGATTGTTAATATTCTTCAAGTCACTGGTAAAATTGACTCTGAAACATCCAAATATAAAGTACTTTCCCCTCAGAAACGTAAACCTCCTCAATCTGTCTTGCAGATTTCACAGCCCTCCTGGTGGACATCATTGGGAATTCCACCAGCTACCTCACAGAGATTTTTAAGTCCACCTCTATCCTCTCAGGTGTGTTCATCTTAAAAATGCTTGGCAAGTTTGAGGTTTGGCATCTGCCACGGAGTGTAATCAAACCCAGTGGACTCCCCAACCCCTGCCCCAGCCCCTGCCATAGGCCAGGCTGCCAGGAACGTTAGTGGGACTAAGTACTGCTTAATTAACAAGTTTAATTTAGACAATGTGTCCCCTTTCAACCACCAGCACCTGAAGGTTCCATCTTCCCGCCAGGGCTATTCCTGGCTCAGGACATTGGAGGACGAATCCAAGGCTCAAAGTTGGGGGAAGTCTAGGCAGATTCAAGGAAACAGCTTCTGTTGGACAGCTGTGCTCCCATTTCAAAGATGAGAAAACTAAGGTTCAGAGAGGCTGACTATTTTGCTCAAGGTTATTCAGAATTCAGATTGAGATCTATATGGAGCCAAAGCCCATGTCTACCAACCGTGCAGCTGAGAAAGACATGGCTCATTTATAAGGTGGCATCCTATACCTCCGGGCAATTCCCCTGTAGCAAAGCACAGATTTAGCTAGCAGCTCAACACATGGGCTCGTCGGGAGGATGGTTTGATCCTCCCATTGTACAGAGGTTTGGGGACTTGCAAATTGCAAATAAGGGACTATGGGATGAGAATGTTCGTTTTATTTATTTATTTTTTTAAAGTTTACAGTTTCTTTTAAAATATATATATATATATTATTGATTTTTTTACAGAGAGGAAGGGAGAGAGATAGAGAGCTAGAAACGTCAATGAGAGAGAAACATTGACCAGCTGCCTCCTGCACACCCCCTACTGGGGATGTGCCTGCAACCTAGGTACATGCCCTTGACTGGAATCGAACCCGGGATCTTTCAGTCCGCAGACTGATGCTCTACCACTGAGCCAAACCGGTTTCGGTGAGAATGTTCACCGTTTTAAAGGTGGGAAAACTGAGTCCTGGAGAGGTCAAGCAGTTTGCCTTTGTTCAGGGCTGGTGTTATAATTGGGGAGCTGACTCCAGAAGCTGTGCCGGTAGCCATTTCATTATCTTGCACCGCACTCCCAGAGCCCCCCAGAAGAGCAGGGCCGCCTTCAGAGTGAAGACACAGCCCCAGTTCCCACAGCCCAGGCGCTGGGCAAGTCCAGCTTCATCTCGTTTCAGCCAAAGGCGCTGCAGCCTGGAGCTGTTGCTCAGGCTCAGGTGCTGCTGGTTGTCTTGCAGTGAGCCAGACCAACGCGTCCGACTGCATCTTCATCTGCGTGATGACGGGGAAGGCAGGTGAGTCCCCTTGGACGAGTCCTCTGAGCTGAGACGTAGCCGCAGCCCCCAGCAGGCGGGCCCTGATGGACCCTGTCGGTGGGGTCTTTGCAGGACGGAACCTTTCGGACTTCTGGGAGCTGGCGGAGAAATCTCCGGTCATCACTTACACCTTCACCAGCAGCCTGGCCGCTGCTCCGGGTGAGTGGAAACCGCTCCAACGCCGGCTCTAGAATCTCCGGACCAGGCTCCCTCTGGGCAAACGGAAGACGGAACGCTGCCCGCAGGGTTTTATTTCGCTATCCTGGATTGGAAAGGAGGGTGTTGCCATTTTAATTTTTGCAAAAGATCTAGCAACCTGGATCTTCCCCCTCACTTGTGCAACAAGCAGCTGGTGCTGAGTAGCTGCCGCCCTCATCCCCCCCAGGAGGGCCGCCTTCCTCCTGTTTGCCACAGTCCTCTCCGCTCCCTATTGCCTCGCGCTGGGTTTCTGACAGCTTTGCCTTCTGTTCGCTGTGCTGCTTTCCATGGCTTTTGCAGAGGCTGATGTTTTAGATTAATTCGCCATTCACGGAGAAACCGTCTTCTTGGTGATGCGTGGTGCTGGTCCGAGTCAGGTTTGGTCTCTGTGTTCTAAACATGTGCTGTGTGATGATGACCTTTCGTCCAAAGTGACACAAATATTACAGCCCCCAGGGGGACAGCCGAGGCTTCGAAGCTCACACCCACAGGCCAGCAGACACCGTCATGGACGAGCCCTCCACGCACAGCCCGGGGCACCAGCTTGTCCGCTCTGAGCGCCTCTCCCTGGGCCGAGGTGCCTGAGCCTTCGGAGCGAGAGCAGGCGGTGACCACAGTCAGGCTTTCTGAGCTCCTCGCCAAGGCCACGGCCACGGCCACAGCCAAACCGGGCAGCGTCTCTCCCGCCCTCCCAGGCTCAGGTAAGATTTCTCACCCTTTCTCCTGCCTGTTCCACCCTCCAGTGAATCCAGTACGGTGAGTTCCTAGGAGCCTTCACCCAGCACCCCCCAACGGGCATCTCTTGCAGACCTGAAATACGTTGAGCAAAAAGGCATTTATATTTCAGCAGAGCATTTAGCAGCGTCTCTCCTGGGATTCACACGAAGTGGTGAAATGCACTCGGCAGTGCATGGCGGGGGGAGGTTAACGCGCAGCTGGCTGCATCATGATGCCAAGAATATGTTAATGACGCTGCCAGTGTGCAAAGCCACTGCCGATGGTGGGCCAAGAGCGTCCTCCTTCCCCACCATCTCTGTGGGGAAGATATTATCGTTAGAGGCAGCTACTGTCCAGAGAGATGGCTACAGCCCCGGACTAATAAGGTGGCAAATCCAATAGGGTCTCGAATGGGGAGAAAGAAAAAAAAAAAAAAGTCAGGCAGCAGGAAAACAAGGACGGGAAAATGACTCAACTTATGAACTAGAAAGGTCCTTTGTACAGTAGCGGGCATCATGAGACACAGAACGTTACAGGGCGATTGCTAGAGGCCAGAGGAACGCTAGTGTTCCTCGCCGGGCTCCTCACCAGAAGTGCTGGCTTTGTGTACACAAAGCTACACAGCTTTCGTGGACGTGTTTTTAAAAGGCACATTTAAATCAACAAAGCACCATACCGTGTTCTGGCTAAGAGATCTGGATATTTTGAAGTCGGCAACGGTTCTCAGCTTTGAGATTTAAAACCTTCCAAGGGGATTTGTTTTTGTAAAACTTGAAAAAAAAAAAAAGAGTTTTAATTCCCACCATGGGAATGAACACGTGCGGATCGCTAGCAGTTACTCACAAGACCCGCCAGGGAAGACGTGTCTCCATCACCATCCTCTGACACTGTCGGTTGTCACTGTGGTCTCCATTTCAATGACAAAACTAAATGCCATCCAGTAACTTGCCCAGATGGTACAGCAGGAGCAGAGCTCACCCTCTGGGTGCCTTCACCTCGGCCCCAGCCCCTTTCCGCTATGACACGTGGTTGGAAATAATGTCAAGAGTGCCCGGGCGTCCCAAGGACTGGGGGATGTTTTTATGTGGGTAGTTGGGAAATTAACCTTTAGTTTGGTCCAGTTCCTGGTCATGTTTAAGTCCCTAGAGTATCTAGATTATGCAGGCGCTGTGCGTTTACGCTGAGATGACATTTCGGTGTCTTAGCAATTTTATACCCAAACCAAAGTGCCCAAGCACAGCAATGGCCTGTCACTGTGGCTTGCACAGCGACCAGGAGGGCGGCCGGCACTCCATGGGTGACAGACGGCGGGCTGGCCTGGGCATCCACACAGCCTGTGCCCCGGGCTCCGACCACCGGCGAGGACACCCCTGGAGGGCCGCCCTGGGAAGCGCGCTCCTCCGCAGCGACGTCGCCCGCAGAGGCCAAGGTCACAGGGACCACGGGGACCACAGGGACCACGGGGAGCCTTTGGGAGCCTCCTGCCGGGACACGCGGCAGCCCTTCCCGGACCAGCCTGGCCTCGGGTAAGTGAAGATGTTCTCCCCCAAATCCCCCTCTTTTTAAAATATATATATGTGTGTGTGTGTTTTATTGATTTCAGAGAGGAAAGGAGAGGAAGAGAGAGAGAGAGAGAAACATCAATGATGAAAATCATGGATCGGCTGTCTCCCGCACGCCCCACACTGGGAATCGAGCCCACAACCCGGGCATGTGCCCTGATTGCGAATCGAACCATGACCTCCTGGTTCCTAGACCCAGGTTCAACCACTGAGCCACGCCAGCTGGGCTGTTTTACTCTTTGCTGCGTCCTCAGTGCCCTGCCTGGCACCTGGCGGGGTAACCAACATTGGATGCCCAGGGCAGGACGGGTGGCCAGGGGCCCCTGCTCCCAGCCAGGCCTCCTGGGCCGTGCAGGCTCACCTGTCTCCCCTCTCACCCAGGAACACCCACCCCCGGCACACAGACTTCCAGTCCAACCAAGGCCCCAGCCCCCCGGTACCCACACACAGGTGAGAGCCCAAACCACAGGGAGGAACGGCTTCGGGCAGGCCCAGGGCCGGGTTGGGGAGGTGGCAGAGCTGGCTGTTGGACTTAATGGTTCCTCAGGGGGCTCTCAGCCTTGCTGTGAGCTACTTTCTCCCGTGAGCCTGAGTTAGTCACCCCCTCCTCCTTGGTCCCAGTTTCCCCATGGGTCCTGAGATCTCTTTACCCCTCAGGAGCTGTGATGCTCTGGGTGTGGGGTTAATCCTTCAGGCGCTGTGATGGTCTGGGTATGGAATGGTGAGGCCATGCTTGCTCCTTGCAGATGATAATCTGCGGCCATTCCCCGCTGGAGAGGAGCTGGCCCCGGGACCCCACCGCGTTCACGTCTCCAGTACGTCCCAGCACTTGTCTCTCTCATCGCTCTTGTTGGTTTGGGGTGAGGCTTTGTCTGGAGCGAGATGACGTGTGTGGAAGTGGCTCTGCACTGAGGGCTCCGGGTGGGGGTGGGGGTACTCAGCCACTGTTACGGAGTGAATACCGTGCACGTGGCGAGTGGGCCTTGTCCTAACCGGCTGATGTTAGAGGGGAAGGAGGACAGGATGACTCCAAAATTCCACCCCATGTTCTGGGCGCACTGACCTTTCTCTGTTGGCAAGGACACCCTGCCCTCCCCAGCCCTGCACACTTCCTCCTCGTGAACTTCCTGGCGAGGACAGCCTCCCAGGGGGAGGTTGGGGGGGGGGTGTCTGATCAGAGGCTCGGCCCCGGTTTCTGGGGTTTGTCCTGCAGGCCCCCCACTTTGGGGTGACCCCCCTCCTTTCTGTTGAGTGGTTTCCATGATGGAGGAGTGGATCCGAAGTGAGTCCCTCAGAGCGGCCTGAGCCCCAGGCCCCGCCCCGCCCAAGGGCCTTTCCAGTCTGGTTTCCTGATGCCTCTGTGTGTGTCAGTGAGGCTATATTAAACGCGGGCGCCTGCACAGTCTCCATTTCATATCACCCCGATCTGCCCAGACCCCGCTCTCAGCCTGCCGTGGACGGACTTACACACAAAGACGGGATTGTGCTGGCAGGAAATGGCAGCCCTCCCTTCTGGGCATCCACAGAAACACACCAGCAGGGCAGGTGGGGGGGAGGGGAGGGGCAGCTTTGAGAACACAAGCTGGCTATGTCTGCATCTTCGCCGTTACCTGCCGTGGGGTTGGCTCCGGCTCCCGGAGACCCTGTGACTGAGTGACGGCCGCCTGTCCTGTCCTCCCAGCATGCTCAGCTCCTGCAGACTCCTGCCCGTGCTTCTCTCATGGAGTCAGTTCAGCTCCTCGTTCATCTTTCTCTTTTCCTGCTGCCTTCGATTTTCCCAGCACGACCATCCTTTGCAAATAACCCTGCCTTCTAGTTCTACCTGTAGCTATAGCTATTGCTTTATTTGACCTATACTTACATACCTGTAGTTACTTATATAGCTCTATCATCTATCTATCCTCCATCCATCTAATGAGAAATCCTATATAATAAAAGGGTAATATGTAAATCGTCCCCTCAGGAGTTTGACTGATGTGCGCTGACCCCCAAGGGGCAGCACGGAACATGACAGGCGGCCAGCAGCAGTGGCAGGAGCTGAGGGAGCAAGGGGAGGGAAAGAGGAGGCAGGGAGGCTGGGAGGCAGGGAAATCTGATTGGCCCTGGTCACAGGCCAGGCTTAGGGACCCTTCCCATGCACGAATTTCGTGCACCGGGTCTCTAGTCTAAGTATAAACTAACAGGGTTCTGGCATTTTCCAGTATGTGATTCTGCCCATTCACAAAGGTCATCCACTCATTCTTCCCCTGGTTAAGTATGTATTGCGCTCCTCCTGTGTGCCAGGCACTGGGTTATGTCTATTCTCCCTCTCTCTCTGCGGTGGCACTGGAGGGCAGGTCACTTTTATCTTCATTAACCACTGTCAGTGAGTCCTTCTAGGAAACGGTGACTCTGTGTTGAGCCCAAATCTAGCTCATTCCCCAGCCCGTTCACTGTCTGCGATCCTGTGGAACGTTTACTTCTCAGGAGAACCATGTCTGGTCCCCTCCAGGAGCTGGATCCCCCTTGTCCTCCTCCAGCCCTCCGACCCCTCAGATCTGTCGCAGCAGCTTTATGGTCAATGGGGAAGGACGCCAGGCCTCCCTGTCTTTCTCAGCCTCCAGAGGTCAGGGCAGGGCCACCGCCATGGAGCTCAGAGTCTCACAAAGGGAGCCCCTGAGGACATTCTTGTTGACTCGACTGGTCTGGGGTTGTGTCTTCCAGGGTGTCCTCAGCAGGTCCTCAGAGACGGGCCTGTGACAGCGGGGCCCCTCCCCGGGGCCGCCCACAAGCTCACCCCCTGCCTGATGGAGCTGTGCTGGTTTTTCCAGCAGTGCCTCTGCGCGAGCCCAAGGAGGGACCCCAGGACAGAAGCTATGAGGTAACTGGGGCCAGAGGCTGCTGGGCCAGCATTTATGCGCGTCCTATTCCGCATGACGTCTCTGCGGAATAGGACGACAGACAGGCAACAGGGGCGCCTCAAGGAGTGGACTCCCCAGTGAGTTCTTTGCTAGTTTATCACCTTCTCAAGAGCCAGGATGGAACCTTATCCATTTCTGGCCTCCAGAGCCCCATGCAGAGCCTGACATAATAAATATACTAGTAGCCGAGGCCGGTTTGGCTCAGTGGTAGAGCGTCGGTCTGCGGACTGAAGGGTCCCGGGTTCGATTCCGGTCAAGGGCATGTACCTTGGTTGCGGGCACATCCCCGGTAGGGGGTGTGCAAGAGGCAGCTGGTCGATGTTTCTCTCTCATCAACGTTTCTAGCTCTCTATCCCTCTCTCCTCCTCTCTGTGAAAAATCAATAAAATATATTTAAAAAAAAAAAGAGTTTAAAATAAATAAATAAATAAATAAATAAATAAATAAATATACTAGTAGCTGAGCCAAGTGCAATTGAGGGGAGTCGAGTTGAATTCAACTATGTCCTACCCGATGGAATGTCAGAGGACTTTGGTCCTTAAACCCAGTGCCTCCGCCTGGTGAAATTTGCTAGAAGGTAATAACCAGAGGGCCTGTCCATCTAAATTACAGGTCTTCCATAAACCCCTAGTTGTCCTTTGCAAATGAGAAGGTTGACCCAAGAAAATTAGAAGGCAGACCCCGCTTTCTTTTAAGAAGGCCTAGGCGTGGCCATTCTCCTGCCCTGGGACGCTGGTGTCCTGTCCTGTCTTCTGGGATTTATTCTTGGCTGGAAACCCGGAGCCAAACAGCGCAGATAACACCGTGTTTCCCTGAAAATGAGACCTAGCGCATGGAAAAATAAGACAGCCCCTGAAAATAAGATCTAGTGCATCTTTGGGAGCAAAAATTAATATAAGACACTGTCTTATTTTCGGGGAAACAGGGTAGTTCTGCTCCCGGGCTGGGGTCAGTCTACCAGGTCTTTAATGCAACTTTCAGAGTCTACTCGTTCTACGCTTCAGCTCTTCCAGGCTCCGTGATCCCGGCTCTGAGCCTCAAGGTCAGGGTTGCAGCCTTTCCCCATAACCCCTTCCTGCCCTGGGCTTGGATCCTCTCAGGAGTGTGACTGTTTCCTGCACCCAGAGAGGGCAGTAAGCAAGATGCACAGGCCAGCCGAAACCGGTTTGGCTCAGTGGATAGAGCATCAGCCTGCGGATTGATTCTGGTCAAGGGCATGTACCTTGGTTGTGGGCACAGCCCCAGTAGAGGGTGTGCAAGAGGCAGCTGGTCGATGATTCTCTCTCATCGATGTTTCTAACTATCTCTCTCTCTTCCTCTCTGTAAAAAATCAATAAAAATGTATTAAAAAAAAAAAAAAAAGATGCACAGGCCTGTGGGTGTCAGCCCTCACGGTGGAGGCATTCCATCCACGGCGAAGGACAGTAGTATTCTTGCCTGTGCTGCCAGGCTGTGGTGAGAGCCAGTGGAGCGGAAACGGGAGAGGACGTTGAATGCTCCTGAACAGGCCGGGCAGCTGCCTCGGAGGCTGAGGAGAGACACCTGGGGTTGGCTGTGCCTCGTTCCCTCATCCGCTCTCATGCCAAGTTGGAGCCTCAGCACTTGCCTCCTTGATACGTTGTTGCTGTGGCAACCAAGTGCCCAGGGGCCACACCAGCTGTGGACCAGGCTTGACACGTCAAGGTTGTTGACCGAGGTTTGGAGATGTCTGAGGCCACATGCTCACAGCAAAGTACCCTGGTGGAGGTCATCATTCCATGCCACCCTCAGATCTTCTCTGCTCTTTCTCTGCCGTGTGTGTGTGATTTTTTTTTTTTTAGCATATCACTTTATTATTTTTTCATTTTTTTTTATTAAGGTATTATATGTGTACAAATCTTACCATAGCCCCCCCCCCTCATTCCCATACATGCCCTCTCTCCCCAGAGTTTTGCATCCATTGGTTATGCTTATATGCATGCATACAAGTCTTTTGGTTGATCTCTTATCTCCCCCATATCTCCCTCCCATCCCCGCTGTAGTTTGACAGTCTGCTTGTTGCTTTATTGGGGCAGGAGGACTGGCAGAGGAGGCCGACTGGCACATTTCCCATTCCCCAGAATGCCTTTCCAGCCCTCTTCCTGTAAATGCATTCTATGGAAGATACGGGCAGGAGATTGGCGGACAGTAGGATGGAGAAGCCAAGGGTTTTCTCCCCTTTATTTCCACTTTAAACAAGATTTCCCTGTTGGTTTCTTCTAAGTGCTTTGTCCTGATTCCCAGCAATGATTCCCTCTGCAACAGCTGGGTCCTGTGCCTCCCAGCTGGGCTGGCTCTCCATTCTTCCTGCGCAGTGGAACAGCAGTGGGTTCCGGCGTGGAGTGGGTGCTGTGAGTTCAAGTCCAGCCCTACCACTGAAAGCACTGTGTCCTGGGCAAATCCATTTGTCTCTGGGCCTCGGTTTCCTCCGTTTTAAATGGAGGGCGATAGGACTGGGGCCGTCTTTATGGCTAACTGGCTTGAGGAGTTACTTCCCAGCATGTGCTGGAGTCACAGGTGATGGAGATGGAAGAGAAATCAGGGAATGCTGAGCCCACCCTCCTCAGCTGAGGGCTGGAAGGGAAGTGGATTCCCAGAGTCCTGCAGAGAGCGAGTCACACGGCCCCCTGCCCCTTCTTCCCCTCCGCCCGCTGAAGCGATGTGCAGACCCCAGCCAGGAGCAGGGCATCCGGCATGGACTGTAACAGCACTGCTCCATCGCACACACAGACTAGATCAGCACTTACCGTGCACTGAGCACCTGAGACAGCCTGGCCCTGGTCAGGACCTTGGCAAATCCCCAAAAGTGCAGGTTCTGTTATTGCCTTTCGTTTACAGATGAGAAAGCTAAGGCCAGAGGATGAAGGAATCAGCTGAAGTCACACATCCTACTAGGTAGTGATGCTAGGCCTAAAAATAAGTCTTTCTGATGCCAACGTATCGATATAAGTGCTCTCCTGCTCATTCTGTACCTCTCCTCACACACCCTGTAGAGATGGAGAAGGGCTTCCTTGCTTTGGATAATTGTCCATTATGACTTTTTTTTAATAGTCCTCACCCAAGGATATTTTTTCCATTGATAGTTTTAGAGAGAGCAGAGGGAAAGATAAACAGAGAAAGAGAGAGAGAGAGAGAGAGAGAGAGAGAGAGAGAGAGAGAAATACTGTTGTGAGAGACAGACATTGATTCCTGCATGTGCTCTGACCAGGGCTGCAGATCAAACCTGAAACCCAGTTACATGCCCTTGATTGCAAATGGAACCCACAACCCTTTGGTGCAGGCCAACGCTCTAACCACTGAGCACACTGGCCTGGGCCATTATGACTTCTTAAAAATCCCAGTTGTCTCCTAACGGCCACAAGTGATAGTGATTGGTCTCAGCTCCGATTTAAACTTCCAGGTCCTGTCTTGAGTACTATTCCTGGTTCCTGAAGAATGCAACCCACATCTGCCAGAAGGCAAAGAGGCTGTCCCACTCGCACAGTGAGTACCTAGCCGGGCGGTGCCGTTACGGGAGAAAGGCATCGGGGGCAGGGTCTGGCGCTCTGAGTGTGTTTCCTGCTTGAGCAAGGGCCTGGGAACTCACCTGGTCATTGCTATTCTAGACAGAGTCCCGGACAAGCAAGTCACACTCAGATGCTAACATGGTCCAAATAAACGAGGCATGTGGCCCACGGGCCACGAGTTTGACATGCTTGGTCTAGGATGTTACTGATTCCTCTGCACCTAACAGTTTGGTATTTGCAATAGGTGTTATAAAAGCAAAAAAGCAGGAGTCAGGCAGATCAGGCACGGCTGCTTTCTGTGTGTGACTTCATTCTTCCCGAGCCCCAAGAAGCTAAAAGTGCAGACAAAGGAAAATATCAGACAGAAGACAAACCCCACAGACACCCCCACAGTCCTGACCAAAGCAAATGTACACAAGTCATTCAAGCAAAAGGGGCACCGCTGTGGCTGGAAGTGGGGTGACGGTCTTCTCCTTCCGATAGCAATGAAGCCCCGTTTGCTCTCAGTGTGCCAGGCGTCAGCTTTGTCTTGTCTCCTGTTCCTGCCGACAGAAGCGCCGATCTCGCCTGCCTGGTGCTCCAGCCAGCTCCTGGCCATTCTGTTGTGCCTCTAACAGCAGGGGACTCAGGTTTTCCAAAACCACGGAACCCTGTGGACCTCTGTGAAAAACGCCTTCCTAACGAAACGCAGTGTAAGCCAGGCGCTCACATGGCCCCGTCTTGGCGAAGTTTTACATTAGGAAATAAAACCCGTTCAGCCACCCAGCCCTTCCTTGTGGCTCTTAAGTAACGTCAAAGGAATACCATGACAACACTCTTCTTATTTGTTTGCCCTCCACCCCCTGTTTTCTCTCACTTCCTACCAGCTACCATCTCAAAGCCTCATCCAAGCCTATTGTCCACCTACCACTCAGCAGCTCCCCTAAAACCAAGCTTCCTGGCTCCCCCTTTGTGTCCGGCTCCTCTGTTTATTTTCATTTCCTTTTGCCTCAATACGTTCTTCCTTCTCAACACATTCCCTTGTTTCTCCTGCAAATCCATCTCCCCCTTCCTCCCCACCTTCCCCTTGTTAATCCTCACCTGAGGGTACTTTTCCCTGCGGTTTTTTAGAGAGAGTGGGAAGGAGGGAGAAACATCTACGTGAGAGAGACTTATCGATTGTTTGCCTTTCTCATACACCCTGACCGGGGCTGAGGATTGAACCCTCAACCCTTCAGGGTGTGGACTGGCACTCTAACTACTGAGCAACCTGTTTTCTGCAGCACAAAACCCAAGCCTTAAGAGTGGCACGTGGGGGGCTCAATAGTCAAAGGAGAAATCCCTTTCCCTGGCGCAGGTAGAACTGGGAAATCTTGCCAACTACTTATAATTGAACTAGTGTCCTGATGCACAGATTCTGGCACATGGAAAGAAAATTAATTAGAAGAAATATTTTCATATCACTATTCCTGTCTTGCTAATGAAAATAGGATTTTACTGAGTCTCCTATCTACCTACTCCAGGACTTCTGTGAGGATCAAATGAGATGAGGCATGGGAAAACACTTCACAGACATTTGGTTCAAGTGTAAAATGTTTGCACCTGGCGATAAAGCAAGAACTGTTCCTGGGCTGAAGGAGGCTAGTTACTAGGGAGAGGAAGTCAGGTGTTGCTATGTGATGTCGTTACCCGGCTCCCACCCTTTCTGGGCTGGGCTGGGTTGTGGGTTGCATTTTGCGCCATGGGGTCTTGGCAGCAGCGTTGGCTGTAATTAGTGGTCTCTCTCTCCAGGGTGGTGGCGAGGCCTGTGTCCCACTTGGGGGAAGCCAAGTGTTGGTTTGTCGGAGTCAGGTCCGTGGTGCCTTTTATTTTTAAATGGCCAGTGCGTGTCATGGCAGCGCCTGCCCCTGATGGTCAGTGTGCGTCATGGCTGCCAGTGGGTGGATGGACACTTAGCCTTTTATTTATAGAGATAGCTCTTCTTTTGTCCTCGTCACACTAAGAGCGGTACACAAACAACATGACATTTATGGGTCAGCACAGGAACGCGTTCAGATACGTTTTATGCAAAATGGGGAGAAGTGCAGGGACAGCCCGGCGTTAGAGAAACATTACTGGACAGAGAGCCGCTTGCGACTCAGCTTTGCTGCTGACGAGTCGGGGGTCTTGCCCGTGTTCCTTCTAATTGCACGGGGGTGCGTCCGGCAGCTCCCTGCTGGTCCCTGGCACACACTGCCCCTGGGAGGCTGTGCCCTCAGAGCCGATGGCACCTCCTTCTCGGCACTTGAGCTCCCTCTTCTTTTCTTTTTCAGCCTTAAAACAAAGATGTCTGGAGCACATCTGCAAGTCTGTGTGAGGCCCTGAGAGGACAGTGGGACCTGACCATCACCCAGCCACACCTCTCCCCCCGCCCCTGGCCCACATGGGCTGCATTGTCAGGACTCACCCCGGCCTCAGCTGGACCAGCGGTGGGGAACCTTTTCCGGCCCAGGGCCGCTCGGATGTGGGTTGCCTCATTGGAGGGCCATACACAATCGACAGTTTATAAATTAGCCTGCTGTACTGGTCAAGCATTTCATTGGCTCACCCCTAGTGCCTCAGTAGGGCCAGTCCTGATGATTCTGACAGATCATCAGCTGATTGGAAGCGTCCTTGGTGGAAGCAGCATTGCTTTCTCTCCCGGGAATCTGAGGAAAATACGGAAGGGGGAGGGCCGTCAGAAGCCTCACGGTGGATGCAGTCCCGCCAGCCCTCCTGCTGCCCCAGGTCACAGAAACCGGTCACTCTGTTCTGGGAACTTCCATGATGCTTTGCAGCCATTCATTCTGAGCCCGGAGCCCCAGGTCTCCCAGAGTTTAACGGGGAGCTGCCCCGCCCCGAGCGGAATGCCTTCTGATTGGGGGATGCCAGAGCAGTGTTGTGTGTGTGTGTGTGTGTGTGTGTGTGTGTATGTGTGTATATGTGTATGTGTGTGTATGTGTGTGTATGTGTGTATGTGTGTGTATGGCCACCAGCTGCCACTGATGAGGTAAACGAGGCAGGGCGGTCGTGGTCCCCTGTGGAAGGAGACTTGGCAGGTGCACGAGTGACATCATTAAACGGGGTTCTTCCTGGAGACGAAGGCGCGGGTGCTTTTCTGTGCGTTTCATTCCTGCCCCAAAGAAGAGCCAAGTGAGCTGAGGGAGAGAGGGAGGAGGGGTGGGGAAGAGGGAGCAGGAGGGTGGGGTGCGTCTCAGTCCCTGTGTGGGTTCCTGGGTGTGTGCAGTGCCTGCCGGTGTGTGCTCAGTGCTCTGGGCTCTGGCTTCCTGTGGTGAGAGGCCGGGCGCTCTCCTGGTGCAGTCTGTCCTGTGAGCGCTCTCAGCGGCGGCCCTCCCTCTATCCGACCTGCAGCACCTGTACTTTCACCTGCTCCACCACAGAGAGGGAAAGGCGAAGCCCCACAGCAAGACCCATTGGGCCCGCACGGGGGACAGGGAATTCTTCAAGAAACCATCCAGGAGGCTGGAAAGGCTCCACTCTCCCCAGTGTCACTGCTGGGTGAGCCCTGGGTCCCCAGGAGGCGGCAAACCAACCAACCGAACAGCTCAGGTTCACAGCCTCAGCCCGGAGGTCACCATTCATCCGTCTGTGAGCTGGAGCTGAGGCTGCACCTGCCGTGGGGGTGCAGGGCCGGACTCCGCGAGCACACTGACTGGGATGCATGCACTCCTACCTGTGCATCTCCTCTCTTTAAACTCGGGGAAGGAAGCATTCCAAGGGAGAGGAGAGGAGGGGAGGGAAAGGAAGAAGAGGAGAAGAGAGAGGCACTTGGGGAACGAGCCCACTGCCGCTCCCACACTGTGCCTGGCTCGCCTCACTCTCCATCCTAATGGGGCTGTCCCCATACGGTGGACCCGGAGCCCAGACTGATCAGGGACCTCCATGGCCCACAGGTAATCTAAGACCAAGCGCAGCTCCAGCTGGGGACACACCTCCATAGCTTAGGAGAAAATCCCTACAAGAGAGAGGCATCCAATTCCCAGCCCATATGAGAAGAATCATCGAGATCTTGCTGAGGGATTAGCTCTACGAACAAAGCCGGCTTCTTCCTCGCAGGACAGCCAGGACTTTCAGCATCTCTCATCCCCGGAGCCCCTCCGACCCGCGGCAGTCCTGGCCTCCCGGCCTCTGAGGTGGAGGGTGGGGGAGGTGCAGAACAGGGAGCCTTTGTCCTCTGATTAGAGCCTGCACCTGCGGCCCCTCCAGGCGGCCCACCTGCCGCTCATGGACTGGCCTCTTGATGAGAGGGTGGGTCACATGACCAGCCTTTCCTGGGCCTATAAAGGGCTCGTCCCCATCTTGTCCAAAGCCGCAAGGACCCTTCATCCAGCTTCGTCCCAGGCCACCTGCACGGTAGGCACCCCTTCTCCTGATGGAGCGGGGACCAGAGAGGGAGAATAAAGGTAGAACTGGGTGAAAGAAGCAAAGGGGGCCAGGAGAGAGGGAAGGAGAGAGGGAGGGAAGTGGAGGAATAGATAAAGATGGCGGGGGGATGGGGGTGAGAGGGGATGGGAGGGGTTGGCTGGGGGGGAGCGGCTGCTCCCAGGCTGTCTGAGACCGACACTGCTCCAGGATGCAGCCAGCAACCCAGGGCGCCCCAGCCTTGTCCAAGTAGCGGCAATGTCCCCAGGTGCCAGCTGGGGTCTCACCAGGCCTCACTTCCTGGGCGGGATGGGGGCCCAGACAGGTGGTGAGCTCACCACCAGGTGAATCCACTGGGTCCCTCCTGCCTGGTGTGGGAGGTGATCCTGCATCACGGCCTCCCCGCTCCCTCCCCGCCCCCGCTGCTCCAGGCGGGGCAGAGTGTACAAGGATTAGCCCTTCCCCGCCCATGAGGCCCGCCATGTGGGTATGTCACCGCCATGGAATGGGCTGCAGGCAGTGTCCACCCCGGCTCAGGGCGCCCCCAAAAGCAGAGCCTGAGCTTCACCGGGTGTGCCCAGCGGACGGCCCGCTCTGGGCCTCCCCCATCCCCCCCCACTCGGTCCTGGGAGGTGGTGTGGGAGCCAGGACTCGGGTGTCACCAAGGTGAGGCCTGGGCCCCTCGGTCCCCTGGACAGCACTCCGCCCTCCTCCCCCAGGCCCCGCAGCAGCGGCCTCCTGTGCAAACGAGGCAAAGGCACCTTCCCTCCCTTGGGCATAGCCCCACCCGAGGGCCCCTCACCGGGCCTCCAGGGGGTGGGTGCTGGGTGCCCAGGAGGGGGCAGCCCTGGCTGTGTCCCCCCGGATCCCCGATCGGGGCTCCCTCAGCACTTCTGGGGCTGCCCTGGCTTCCCTCTCCTTGGCTCAGCCGGGGTGTGCCGCGGGCCTGCAGCAGGAGTCACAAATGGCGATGTGTCCGGTGCCTCAGGACCCGGCTGTGGACTTTGGATTTGGTGCCCGGCGGGGCCGATTGGGGGAGTCACGGGCACGGGCTGGCCTCAGTGTGCATCCTGTGTCTGGGGCATCGTGGGCCCTGCAGGGAGCCTGGGTCCCCGCCCAGGAAGTGAGGCCGTATCAGTGCCCAGCTGGCCCCTGGGGATGCTGGGGAGCACCCTCAGGAAGAGGGCCAGGGAGAGGAAGGGCTGTTGGCAGTGTGTTAGGGACAAAGCTCCATGGGGCCAGACTTTCGGGCTTTCTCCTTCTCCCTCTCTGCTCTGGGACAAGGGCCCCTGTGGGTTCTTACTCCGGGTTCGGGAAGGAGACTCTCACACCCGCTGCCCCCTCCCTGTCCTGCCTCAGGCCGCCCGGGCTCCCCACGATGGCCACGCTTCTCCTCCTCGGCTTGCTGATGGCCCCGGGTGCAGGTGAGTGTGGCATCTTATGTTGCCTTCCTGCTTGGGGTACGATTACTTCACCGGATCCCCGGGAGGGGTCCCCAAACTGCCTCTGATCTGCTCCTGCGCCATCTCCTCGCCTAATGAGCGACGGAGAGCAAACATGAGCGAGGAGCTGTAGGCTGGGTGCGTGCGGCTCCTCTCCCGGAGCTTGCTGCCAGCGCATGGAAGGTGATGGGGGCGGGGGGGGGGGGGGGGGAGAGGGGAGGAGTGGCGGGCCGCACAGGCAAGGGGGCCGGTGGGTGGTCCCTCCACCGGCAGCACCCCTCCCCCTCGCCCCTGTGCTCAGGGCCCGCTGTCCCATTTTGCTGCTGTCCTGGGATTGGCCTTGCACCCCGTCCTCCCCACTCTTGTAGGTGTGGCCAGTATAAAAGGTTGAAACTTGCAATCCCCCTCCCCCCGTTCTAAACTGGGGTCCTGTGCCATCAAACTGGTCACCGCAGTTCACTTCTTGGCAGTGGGGTTAGCAGCAGCTACGCTTGGGGTCTTGGTTATGATCTGCGTCTTGGGTGGCGTCCAACGTTCTTTCTCGTCCGCCCGTGTGTGCAGCTCTAGTACCCCAGCCCACTCTCCTCCCCCAGTGGGTTGGGCACGGTCGTAACTGAGGTCAGTCTTTACCAGGCCTTCTTCTCTGTCCGTCCCACCTTTAGGAAAACTCAGACCAACACACCCTCCCCTCCATGGAAGCAGTGAGAGTGAGGCAGGGGGTCCACAAACATCACTGACCGTTGATCTTGGCCATGACCCACGTTAGCGGACAGAACAAGAGGTTTGCTTGCTACACAGAAGCTTGTCAGTTGAAACCACAGCATAACCTCTACATAAGCCCCCAAGGCTGCCCTCAGGCCCACACCCTCCCGCGCTCCACCCCAGCCCTCCTTTCTAGGGCGGAGAGGACCAATAGCTAGAGAAGTTGCTGGTTCAAGTAGGAGACGGTTGGGCGGAGCGAAGCAGGGGTCAGGTCAAGGAAAGCCTGTGGTCCATGGGTCTCAGTCTCATCTGTAATAATCTGTAATAATAAAAGTGTGATATGCAAATTGACCGAACAACCAAACAGCAGAAGGACCATCGCTATGATACACACTGGTGCCAGGCCAGCCAAGGCGGGTGCAATGTGATTGGTCGGGGGCATCCCACCATCGCCCCATCATCACCCCACAGAGGGAGGCCCAGTCCATGGGCCAGTGATGCTGTAGCGGGTGTGCGGGGTGGTCAGCAATCTCCCCACAGAGGGAGGCACAGGCCAGCCAAGCGATCGCACCCCACGCCTGTCACCCACAGAGAGGTGACCGGTGGAGGGGAGGGGAGGACAGCGCACACAGATGGCAGGCTGTGGCAGCGGTGGGGGTGAGGGTGGGGCCAGCCGCTGGCAGCCGGGGGAAGGAAAGCCCTATTAGGTCCTGATCACCGGCCAGGCCTAGCGACCCTCCCGGGGGGTCCAGGATCGTGAGAGGGCGCAGGCCGGGCTGAGAGACACCCCCACCCCTGCACAACGTTCATGCACGGGGCCTCTAGCTATCTACAAAACCCTGCTGCTGATAATCCCTGCCTCCAGAGGTGGCGGGGTGATGTGAGCAGAAGGAAGCCAGGGACCATCCGAATGCGCGTCACTCAGGGCCACTGTTTACTGACTCAGGAGCGTCATTCTGTGAACTTCCTCCTCATGTGCCTGTGGCCTCCTCCCTCTCCGGTGGTGAGAGAGGCAGGGGGTGTGCACTGAGTGCGTGTGCCAGTCCAGCCCTGAGAGAAGCAGTTTGAAACCGGGGGTGACTCTCCAGGTTGCTGATGCAGATGTGTGGGCGCCGATACCCTGAACGCAGGCAGGAACATGCATGGGGGGAAGGGGCAGGGGGAGGGGGGAGGGAGGCAGCATCCTGTTAGCACATGTCAGTGACAGGGTCCTCATGACCAGCTGCACAAGGGAATGCCGGCGAGGAAATTGTCAAGGTGCCGGCAATATTTGTTTTAAATATATTTTTATTGATTTCAGAGAGAAAGGGAGAGGGAGAGAGATGGAAACATCCATGATGAGAGAGAATCATTAATTGGCTGCCTCCTGCATGTTCCCTTCTGGGGATGGAGCCCACAACCTGAGCATGTGCCCTGACCGGGAATCGAACCCGTGACCTCCTGGCACATAGGTCAAGGCTCGATCTTTGAGCCACGGGGCCAACCGGCAGTGCTCACAGTTGCTGTGGAGCATTCCTGCTGTTGGCGGCCAACGCTCTCTAATGGTCTCTGAGGCGGTGGGCTCTGGGATGGGATCTCACATGGAACCGATTATTTCCTTCAGGCGCCAGGCAGATCCCCAGCCCCCGGCAGGCGCTGGGGAAATACGCACCGGATTGGGTTTGCGTGCATCCCGGCTGCTGTCTTGGCTGCTACCCCAGCCTTCGCCTGCCGGCCGGCTGTGGCACACTCACACCACCCCCTCTCCTCCTCGCAGGGAGCCACCCTCTGGACACCCCTCACCGTCCGCACGAGCTGCCCCCAGGCCTCTCCAAAAACCTCAGTGAGTACTCCTGAACTCCCCCGGGAGCCTGGCGGCCAGGGAGTTGCCTGGGGGCTTGGCAGAGGACGTGACCCTGATGAGCACGCCTGAGGCCACTAGGCAAAGGGATTCAGTGGGATCGAAAGCCTCCCCCTCAGCAGCAGCCCCCGAGTCTGACCCGCCATCGTCTCTCCTTTGAGACAAAGCTCTAGCAGGTTCCCATCAGAGACAAGCGTCTCCCGAGGGCGAACGGAGAAAGAGGCCGGAGGTCTGGCGGAGGGTTATAGGGTGACTGTTTCAGCTTCCCATCGAGCTGGGGCCTCCCTGAGGCAGAACCGTAGGGAGATGATGCCTCACGGGACCATAGGGTCCATACGTTCCCGGGGGAGGACCCACACATGTCTGTTTCCTGGGTGACGACGTCCCAGGAGGTGGTCCTGTGGCCCTCGCTGAGGAGGAGGGCAGAGAGCTGGCTGATGCTGGCTGCACAGGAGGCTCCCTCCCACCTTGCGGGGGGGGGGGGGGGGGCGGAAAAGGGGGGAAGTCCCCGGGTTGTGTGTGTGTGTGTGTGTGTGTGTGTGTGTGTGTGATCCCCTGCAATCGAAGTGATGAGTCCCACCCAGAGTCCATGACAATGGCCTCCCTCCGCACGGCATGGTCCCCATGGGCGGTGCTGTGCCCACCGGGAGGGGTGAGGTAGACCATCACATTCCCAGGCCACCCTGGCCCTCAGGAGGGTCGCGGCCGGGAAGCCGTGAGCCAGCAGGCCCGCAGCCCGCCCTCTTCAGGGCAGCAGCCCCGCAGTGACAGCAAGTCCAGGAGCCCGGGGACAGCTCGGGGCGGGGCCTGGGTGCAGGTGGAGCAGCTGGGGCCCTCTGCCTAGAAGCTTCGCTCTCCATAGGAGTCCGTGCCTCTCGTGCCAGCCGCCTGGCGCCCACTTCTAGGTGCCCTGAGGGACAGGCCTGTGCCAGCAGCCAGGCCCCGGCTGCTTACAGTCCATCCATCGCTCCTGCCAGTCCGGGTCCACCCTCCCATCCAGGGGCCTTTTGCTGTTGTTGTTAAATCATTGAGCAATGTTGCCTAGTAACAGAGTCCCGTTTCATCCCATCAGGTCTCCATGACAACCCGTGTTCCTAGAAGTTAGCCCCAGGTCAAATCTTTAGAGAAAGAAAGGGTTTTAGCTGCTCTTCACCCAGGGCCCGGACAGGGACGGGGAGAAACCATGTCCCCATCCTCATGTTTCTCTTCCTTCCACTCAGATGCCACCTTCTTCGATGGGATGTTCAAAAACGTGGAGAGTGCGACCGAGATTTTCGGTAAGTCCCGTCTGAAATGGCATGTCGCCCCTCCCTCCCCGCCCGCCCCGGGTGTCAGAGCACACGTGTCGAAGGACATGACCTTGGTCTCCGCCCTTGGGGCTCCCAGGGCTCCTAGGTGCTGAGCCTCAGAGGTCGGTCCTGACCCAGCCTGGCCAGGAGGTGAAGGGGGGGCCTGTTTTGCAGGAGAGGAAACCGAGTCTAAGGAAATTCAGTGACTTGTCCAAGGTCACACAGCTGGGCATCCTCCTCGGTCCAGAGCTGAATCCCCTCCTCCCCAGTCCGTCTAGTGCTCCATTTATCAGCAACGCAGCTGTCAGGCAGCTGTCAATCATCGCAGTGGTTCCGCTCACTGATCACTAAAACTACTAAACTTCAGATGACCCCGTGGTGGACACGGCGGAGGTGCTGAGAGCTGCTGGGCTGGCGCTGGGCGTGAGGCTGCACCTGCCGGAGCATGTGACTGAGCTCATGTGGACACGCACACACCTTTCTTCTTTTTTCATGTTTTTATTTATTTTTAGAGAAAAAGGGAGGAGGGGGAGAGAGAGAGACAGAGACAGCAATGAGGAGAGAGAATCATTGATTGGCTGCTTCCTGCATGCCCCCTACTCGGTATCAAGCCCGAAACCCAGACACGTGCCCTGACCACCGGGAACGGAACCTGCGACGTCCTGGTTCCTGGGTCGATGCTCAACCACTGAGCCACACCAGCCGGGCCACACAATTTTACAGTGGCTTTTCCATCAGCACAGAATCAGTTCTTCATGCTTTTTTCAATGTATCTTCATTGCGGAGGGTGTTCTATGTCTTCCTGTCTATGATGAGGGCGGGTGGAAATGAAACACGAGAGGGCGACTCAGTGAGGTAGGAGGCAGTGGAACAGTTGGGTGAAATTGGTCCTTATGGGAACTCTAGATCCCCCTCCCCCCCACCCCCCTGCTCCCTGGTGTAACCCCTGCACTTCAGTGTGGTGGGGTCACCTGCTTAGCCCTTAACGGTCCGGTGGTCAGAATGCCACTGGAGAGGGGGTGGGCATGAGGTTTAGAGCTAAAGCACTGGACACCATTTTCTTGCCAATTTTGTTTGCAAAAGCATTTTTTAAAATATTCATTCTTATTGATTTCTGAGAGGAAGAGGGATAGAAACAATCATATCAATGATGAGAGAGTCATTGATCAGCTAGCTGCCTCCTGCACGCCCCCCACTTGGGACGGAGCCCACAACCCACGCCTCTAAGAGGCTCCCCTGACGTTGTTTGGGCCAGATCGGGGCTCCACGCTCAGCCCCCGCCCACCTTGGAAGCCTGGGTGCCCACGGCCAGCGGAGAGTGATCATGTGACCTTGCAGGGACCGGGGAGAAGGCTGTTCTGCTGGAGAGGAAGAAGGGATAGAGGCTGCAAGGTGGGCAGCCACAGGGCCCCGGCTTATCAGCCTGCTTCACTTTATTATTTTTTAAAAATATATATTTTATTGATTTTTTACAGAGAGGAAGAGAGAGGGCTAGAGAGTTAGAAATATACATCAGCTGCCTCTTGCACATCGCCCACTGGGGATATGCCCACAACCAAGGTACATGCCCTTGACTAGAATCCAACCTGGGGGGGACCTTTTGAGTCCGTAGGCCGTTGCTCTATCCACTGAGCCACACCGGTTTCGGCTAGCCTGCTTCACTTTAAAGCCGACCACAGTGCTGAGTCCTCACAGGTGCTCGCAGGTTGAGGAGACACCGGGGGTGCCAGCTGCAGGCGGTCCCGGCGGCTCCTCCTGGACGCTGCTCCAGCCCGCCCTGCCCTCTCCCCCCGCAGACTGCCTGGGCTCCCACTTCACCTGGCTGCAGGCCGTCTTCACCAACTTCCCGGCGCTGCTGCAGTTCGTGAGCGGCCTGCGCTGCGTGGCCGGCCTCTGCCCCCGGGACCTGGAGGACTACGGCTGCGCCTGCCGCTTCGAGATGGAAGGGCTGCCCGTGGACGAGTCTGACCGGTGAGCGGGAGCCGGAGCCGGAGCCGGGCGGCCCGGCTGGGACTGGGCCGAGCACACACCCAGGCAGCTCCCTGGACGGGCCGGGCGGTGTCTGGTTCTGGGCCTCACCGCGGGGAGACTGCTTCCTCCTCTTCACGTCGCGGTTCAACTGTGTTCCGCTGGCGTCGAAGGAAGGCCTTACCAAGAGCCTGTGTCAGGCCCGTAGGCAAACCTTTCCTCTCGGTTCTCATCGTGTGGGTCCCCGGCTCCAGAGCCACCTGGCTGCCTGCTCACAGGCAGAGCCCAGCGGCCCACCCGCCCTGCCCACGGGGCACCCCGAGCTATCAATAGAACCCGGAGCTGGGTTTAACCAGCCACCCAGGGCTCTTCCGCATAGAACGTGAGATCCTTTAATTCAGGAGTGTTCTGGCCACCAGGGGTGGAGATGGTGAAGGCTTCTGTCCAGTTTCACAGACATGTGGCAACCATCACCCCTACGTGACCTCTGTGCTTAACATAGACAGACACCCCCCCCCCACCTCCACCCCTGCCCCCACCTTGGAAAGGGGACAGCCCAGTGGGAATGGGAGGGAGTAGAAGTGCCCGTGAGAGGGAGGGTCTGCTCAGGCACGGTTATCTGTACCCGCAGCCCCTGGCATGTGGGGCTCATAAATTAACTGATGATGAGGTAGGTGGTCAGCTTCCCCTTGCTTTTCAGAGATGAGAAGTGAATTGATTAGAAAGCGCTGTGTCCTTGATCGACAAGGACTAGTGGCTTTGGGATTAAAATAGACTGTCCCATCTTCAAATCTCCAAGAGAGGGTGCAGGTCACCCTGGACCAAAAGGCAGTTTCAGGAGGGGAGGCTGGTTCTGCCCGGCGCGGTGCCAGGGCCGTTTCCGGGAACACGTTCCTTTCCGGCCCTCCTGTGGCGCTTCAGTGATTAACACCCTGCAAACCTGGAAGTCAAGGAGTGAAGCGGTAATTCATCACTGTCTCCGGCCCAGAAAGGATGATCCAAGCAGGAGGGCGAGGAACCGGCAGAATTCTGGGTCACGCTCAGCTCCAATTACCTACACCGTTCAGCTAACGGGGACGGGGTTCCTGGCTCCTGGAGGGCAGGTTGCAGAAATAACTGCTACCGCTTACGGAGGGCCTGACGCATGGTGGGATCCCTATGGATGCTTCTCGAATCCCCCAAATCCTTATGTTGTGTCAGGGACTTGGTAACTTGCCCAAGGTCACCCGCTGCCTATATAGTTTTCCTTTTTTCCACTGATGTCCTGTGTGCCAGTGCCACCCGGCCACACCGAGTCTCAGCCAGGCTGTGGTCGGCCTTGACCTCGGCAAATTACAGGACCCACATCTCAGTCCCCACAAATGCAAAGTTTCCTGATGAGAGCAGCACCTGCTGCACAGGCAACATACTTCTGATATTTTTTTTGTGTGTGTGTGAGCGCCCCAGTGTCTGTCAGACCCCACTGGGACCAGCAGGAGGCACGGGGTGATGGCAGGCTGCCTGCCTCCCTCCTGACCCTCCCCCCACACTCTCACCTGACCCTCCCCCACCCCCAGCTGCTGCTTCCAGCACCGCAGGTGCCACGAGGAGGCTGCCGAGATGGACTGTATCCAAGACGCCACCAAGGTCAGCACGGATGTCAACTGCGTCAGCAAGAAGATCACGTGTGGTGAGCATCGCCTGGGGCCCGGGGGCTGGGTGGAGAGGACCATTTGGCGAGGCGCATCCGGGAGAAGAGCCACGCGTATGGACGTAACAGCACCTGGGCCCTGAGGCTCGAGGGGCCTGGCGCTTGAGGAAAGGGGGCCAGTGGGTCAGAGACTGGGGTGAGGCAGGAGAAGAGGTCGGAGAGGGAGCGGGTGCGTGGCTTTGACTTTGAGTTGGGAGGGTCCGAGCACAAGCACAGACGTGGTGATGGTGTGACCTGAGTTTTTAAAGGATTGTAGATGCCCAGCCGGGCATAGGCAGGGAGGGGTCAGCAGACCACCCATGCAACCCATGGGAGAGGGAAGGGGTGGCCCAGGACAGCGAGGCAGAGATGGGGAGACGTGGGCCGACTCTAAAGACTTTTGTGGAAAGCAGAGCCCATCGGACGGCCCGATGGCTGGGGTGTGAGTGCAGAGGGGCGCGTGGGCCCAGACGGACTCACACCCCGAGGAGGTGGAGGACGCTTGCAGGGGGCACGGGGTTTGGCGGGCAGGTCGGGAGCTCAGCCGTGGCATCTGCATGGCCTCTTGGGACTCCAAGGGGCTCTGCCCTCGGTCTGTGCAGAGTCCAGGGACCCTTGCGAGCACCTGCTGTGCACCTGCGACAAGGCTGCCATCGAGTGCCTGGCCCAGTCCACCATCAACTCCTCCCTGAGCCTGCTGGACACCGCTTTCTGCCTGGCGCCGCCTGCCGGTAGGAGCACCTGGCCCTGCGCCGTGGTGGGCTGGCGGGGGTGCCCGTGTCTTCAGGTGCCAAGTCCAGCACCTCACATCCCACACCCACTGCTCTGGAGGGTTCCTCTGCAGAGACAGCCTGAGCCTCCTGCCCAGAGGTCAGGCCTCCGAGGGAGGCGGCTGCTCCTCGGACTTGAGGGGCCGGATGACTAATGGAGCCGATGGAGGCACCTGTTACATGTTCACCAAAGTTCCTACGCTCTCCCAGTCCCAACAGTATGGGTGCCCGGGGTGGGAAGTTCAAGGTGCCCTTCCACTGGGCATCCCTCTGTGGGGTCTCCCAGACACAGTCCTGCAGGGCTTAGAGGGAGCTGGTGTGGGTGGTGGGTATCTGGGTGTACATGTGATGTGGTTTGTGCATGCGTGTAGGCAGGGGCATGTGTGTGGGGTGTGGGTTGCATCTCCAGGTCTTCCAAGCCCAGCGGCCTTTTTCCTCTGCACCTGCCTCCACTTAGAACAGCGGGTCAGGACACCACGCTCCACAGCCAGGCCTTCGGGCTCGGCAGCCCTTTCACTGTCACGGCCTGTGCTCCAGTGTCACCCTCTCCAGAACCCAGAGCCTCCAGAGTCCCTCTGGGCTGGGGCCTGGTTGGCACCCTGTGTTCTGGGGGGTGGAAGCGGGGACCCTCAGGTGGAGGAGCAGTCCCCACCCCGCCCGTTGTGGGCTGAGACCCTGGGAGGTGGTGTGGACAAGGTGTCTGTCACTCATTGCCGCTTGGGCTCTTTTCCAGCGGAACCTGCGGAGCCCACAGACGCCAGCCTGGGGGCCCTCTCGGGGGAAGGTGAGTCAGAGTGCCAGCCGTGTGGCCCCAATGCCCTCATTTCCATTGCAGCCTTGGACTATCTGCCTCAATGCCCTCCCCTCAGAACGGGAACAGGTGGGACAGCGGGGGAGGAAGTGTGGGCTCCATCCCACGATGAAGTGATGATGTGTTGGAGTCGGGTGGATGTGGAATGGAATCCTGCCTCTCTGCTTTCAGCTGTGTGACTCGGGGAGCGTGGTGCAACCTCTGCACCTTTGCACAAAGCAGGGTTCAGCAAACTTTCGGGAAAGAGCCAGATAGTAAATGTTTTCCATACAGGATCTCTGCTACAGCGACTCAACTCTGCCACTGTAGCAGGAAAGCAGCCGTAGACAATCCATCACTGCATGGCTGTGCCTGTGTGCCAATAAAATTTTATTTACAAAAACAGGTCAAGGGCCAGCCCGTAGTTTGCCAACCCCTGAAAAGGGATGATTATACCCAACTTCATTGGTGACAGAGATCACATGACAGGGTGGGAAGATTCTGGGCTGGCATCTTCTAGAAATTCTAGTGGAACTTTAAAAATCAGCACATACCATCAAGTCACAGGCAGGACACTAGACGGCTTGCTTGAAATGTTTAATCCCCTTAGTGCTCACACAGCTTTATGAAGTCACTGCTGTAACCTTCATGTTGCGATGGTAAATTGAGATGGAGAAGGAAGGTGGCCAGGACACAGAGCTGAGTGGGAGGGCTGGGATTCGAGAGGCCTCCAGTGGGTCTTTCCTGGCTTCTGGAATCAACTCCCTCTCAGGCTGCCTTTCCTCAAGGACTGATCCATTAGGGCCAATACTGGCTCTTTCTCCCTTTTGCTGGTTTCTTGGCCTGAACACAGGACTGACTCCAATCTGGCCCCTCATCCACTGAAGGGGAACAGCTGATAATTGGTTGGTCTCTCTTCACAGTGTCTGCTGATACTAGAGCTGACCAGCTGACCACACTCCCCAGGACGAGTCAGCTGACCACTCTCTCCGGGACAAGTAAGCAGAGGGGCCCTCAGAGGACCGAATAGAATCAACTGGAGAAATGCCACCCAAATAAATATGCGTGCTCAGGTCGGTGGCCACTTTTTGATAGAGCCCAGGGGAAATCATTATAACAGACTCACTGCAGTTGAGTTTCCCAGCAAGCCTGGTGTGTGTGTGTGTGTGTGTGAGGGAGTGGATGGTGAAGCTGGGGTCTCTTTTTGGCTCAGCAGTGACCCCACCAACACCAGTTGTCCGGGGAGGTGGCTAGGGGCAGAGTCAAGACCACATGGCCTCCGGTGCCCGGTGGGGGGAGCTGCCTGTGGGAGCAGGTGGGCAGGCTGGGACTGACACTTACCTCTCTTTCTCTCAGGAGCAGAACCATTCCCAGACCAGGAGGGCACGGAAGCCGTGAGGACCACAACCCCTGCAGGTAAGCACGCTCAGCTGCCCCCACACACCCATTAGATCAGCTGTGTCACAGAAAGCCGGAGAACGGATACCAAACTCCAAGGGGAAGAAGTCAGGGAGCCAGTTTACTTGTGGAGCTCCACGGAGCAGACAAATGGAAGTAAGAGGCTGATCCACTCATGGAAAGAAAGGGAAACTTACCTATAAGTTTCCATTCACACCAGCTGCCACCTCACATTGCAGAGGGAGCACTTTTATATCTGAAGATGCTTTCTTGCCGTCTCCCCAAGCGTACCTATGATGATGCCCAGGCCTCACCCAGTACTGGGCACGGAGCCACTGCTGCTCCTTTGTCTGGACCAGACTGGGCTGGAGGCGTGGCCTGTGGGATGGAGACCCGGCTGCCTCCAGCTGAGAGGGCAGGTGGTGCTGACTGACCCTGAGGCAGGGGACAGACGGTGCCAGGGAGCCTGTGAGGGAGCAGGGCCGTGCTGGCCCGGTGCAGACCCGCACCTAACTCCGAGCGTGGCCAGAAGCTGCTGCAGCGTGCTAAGGGTTTGAACGGTGTTGCTTGCCTATGTGATTGTGACTGGCATCGGGTCCATCTGCCCATCATTCTTGTTCCTTCACTTGTGGGCACTGTGATGGGACTTCACCGGGCTGGCGCATGGGCGTGGATATGACACAAAGGTAGGCCTGAGGGTGGCAGTTCTCACCCACCAGGTGTCATCCAGAAGGTCTAGCCAGGACTCTGTCAGGTTCAAGGTTATCACTGGACTCGGGGGGTCCATGCAGCATTCCCGGGTCCCCGAGACACAGTGCTGACACAAGGCCAGTCTGGTGCTTCGTTCCCAAATATGTCTGCCTTTGGCCCTGACCTGGTTCCCGTCCGCAAATCTCTCCTTGGACCCTCTTGGACACGGTCAAGTTGTGCATTTTCAGGGTCCGCGGAGATTGCTGCCACAGCTGGAGGCGTGGCTGCGGTCCCCGGCGGCATGACACCTTTGGGGCTGGCCGGGCCGTCCGTCAGAAGCCGTCCTGAGGAGACGACTGGGAAAGGTGAGCCGCAGGCAGACAGGAGCCTGTCACCGCCCGGCCTGAGCGCCTCTGGCTAGGCGGTTGGTTAACAAGGCCCCTTGCCACACTGACCTCGGCATGTCGCTGGGACGGGAAGGTGCAGACGAGACTGGGAGAGGGTGTGCTGGCTGGCCTGCAGGCACCCAGGGCTGGGGGCGGGGCTGGAAATGGCAGGCCCGGCCCAGCGCTCACCAGCACCGTCCATGCCACCGTCTCTTGGAAAGAAGGAAACACTTGGGCCTTAGGAGTCCTCCGCCTGGGCCTCCGCCCTCAGGCGCATCCGGAAGGCGGCGCTGGCACTGCCTTCCAGTGCGCCATGCAGGGCTGGGCTAGCAGCTGCATGTGGGGGAGAAGGGGATGGGCCTTCTTAGTGCTTCCCGCCCGGACTATGCAGGAGGGGGAGCAGGGTGGGGAGAGAGATGCAGAAATAGGGACAGAAAACCAAGGTGTGAGAGACAAGCCCATAGGCGTGCTGACCTGCGAAGCCAGCCGGCCTCTGAGGACGGCCGGGTGCCCGGGCTGCTGGGTCCCGCTCAGTAGTAAATCGGCCCAAGAGCATCTGCAGTCCTGACGAGCCCCCGCACGGAGAGGGGGGAGGGGGAGAGGGTAGCGGGGAGCCTGGCAGAGCAGAGCTGGCGAGAAAGGCTTCTCTCTGAAAGACGACCATCCCTGACAGGGCCTGGGCACAGGACAGTCTCCAGGAGAGGGGAGGGGCGGAGGACGCAGGCTCCTGGCACAGCTGCGGCCACGGGGAGCCCTCCTGGGAAGGCCGCGCTGGCACTCTGGCTGCCCGAGTTCTCCTCTCCCCCAGCCTGTGCCAGGTCCGCCGGCCTGGCCCTGGGCGTGGGGGAGGACACCCGGGTGACGCCGCAGCTGGGCCAGATGCTCCTCTGCCTGACCGCCCGGTGCCCCGAGGAGTTTGACTCTTACGGCTGCTACTGTGGGCAAGAAGGACGCGGCGAACCCAGGGACGCGCTGGACAGGTAGGTGCTCCACGATGGCTGGCAATGGCATCGACGCTGCCTGCAGGGGGAGGCGAGAGCCCCCCTCCTCCTGGGCCGTCACTCGGTCCACAGAGAGCTCGCTGCCCGCCTTGCCTCACTCGGGTGGCTCGTACGTCACGGGCCCATTTTCCCGGTGAGCAGCTGAGGCTCGGCCTCATCGGAGGTCATCTGCCCACGAAGGGGCAGAGCCTGACAGACCAGCCACCTGAGGAGGTCACGCTGCAGGACATTTGTGATGAGCTACAGGGTGGGTCTCGGTGCTGTGCTGGGCCAGAGGCCACGCTGAAATCAGCTCCTCAGTGTTTACCTTCTGGGAACTGGATTTTCACATTAGGTTCCTGTGCGGGGTGCAGCCGGAGCCAGCACATGTGATGCACTTGGCGTGCAGAAACCAGCCGTGCACATGGGAAGGAGGCCCTGGGGGGTTCCGGGGCAGCTGGGAGCCAGCAGTGAAGGCTTCTCCTTGGTCGCAGGTGCTGCTGGTCCCACCGGTGCTGCCTGCAGCAGGTGCAGAGGCTGGGCTGCCGGCGTGGGAGGCTGCCTCGGCTGCCGGTGGTGTGCGCGGATGGCACCCCTAAGTGTGAGTGTGTGGGCCTCTCCAGGGGTCATCCTTCCACCCAGCACAGCGTCATGTCCACACTCGGTGTAGACGCTCTCCCAGCACTTCATCCATCACGGGCCTAACAAGTCTTCACTGCCAGGCATATGCTAGACCCTTAGTCCGCTGAGGAGACTCCAGGTCAGAGGCCACATGGGCGCCTAGGGCACAGGGCTGGTGGGTGCACATGGGACCGATACAAAGCATGCGCACTGCATGCTCACCATGTGCCATCCGCTCCCAGCTCCTGCTGTGCGCGAGTTCATCCTCACAACCGTCCAGGCCAGAGCACCGGGAGGCTGGCTCCCCAGGTCAGAGGCGGGGCCGAGGTCCAAGGTCACTCAGGCAGTCAGTGCTGGGCTGCATTGGGACGTAGGACCCCACTGCCTCAGCCCTCCAGCTGTCTCCGCCAGACAGTGGCCTCCTCTCTAAGCAGCAGAGCCTTTCCGGTGACATCCTCCGGGGCCCCGGCAGGATGGTGTCCGTGGCTCAAGGGCCGGGCGGGCTGCAGCTCCTCTCTCTCCTGGAGGCTGGGAGCGCCTCTGTGGCGGTCAGGGCCTCAGGTGGGATGGCTGGGAACTGCCACCCCCCCACCCCCGCCCGCAGCATCACTCTTACAGCAGAGCGAGGCGTCAGCACTGGCCTGCCGGCACTCTCTGGCTCCGTTTCCTCATCCACATGAGTGGATGCATTTCCCAGGTGCTTTGCAGCTCAAAAGGAACGGCTCCTCTTGCATTGCACGAGAGCTGGGCGAGGGCTGGCTCTCACCCGCATTTTCCTGGGGAAGCCTCTGGGGGCCCCCAAGTCCCCTCTCCTCCTTCCTCTGCACGCACCTCCTTGTAGGATCACACGTGCCTCTCACTTCCCAGGAGCTCCCTCCCTTCAATTTTCTACTCACCCAGTAACCCTTCCTCGGGAACTGGGACCCAGAGAGCATGCAGGACCCCTGCCTCAAGTCCCTCAGAGCCTGGGGGAAAGAGACAAGTCAGTGATCCCGCCCCTCATGTCACACTGCTAACAGGAGGCGGGCCTGCGGGGTCTGGCAGGGAGGATGGAGAAGTCAAGAGAGCAGTGAGGTGAGAGCTCAGGCTTCCGAAGGCCGTGCTGGTGTGGATGTTCCAAGAAAAGGGAAAGGAAACCGAGGCATTTTGGGGGCTCCTGGCAGCATAGGGTCAACATAGGGCTCTGTCTGGCCAGCAGGGAGAGAGGGTGGGGAAGGTGAGGGGGAAGGTGAGGCAGGGGGATAACAGGTACCAGATCAGGAACGCAGACCGAAACACTGACATTCTGGCCTGAAGTGGACCAGGGCCCGAGGGAGGGGTGAGAGCCCACAGGGGACAGATCAGAGTCCTATTGTCGTGATATGCTGGCTGGTTGCCCAGAGGCTCAGGAGGGAGTGGAGGCCACAGGGCTCCAGCTCCGGGGCCCATGGCTCAGGCTGCTCCCCTGCTCCCGCCTTCGCAGGTGTGGGCCGGAGCCTGTGCGAGCAGCTGCTCTGTGCCTGTGAGCAGACGGCTGCCGAGTGCATGGCGTCGGCTTTCTTCAACCAGAGCCTCGCGTCGCCGGGCAGCCCGGAGTGCCAGGGCCCCCCAGACCGCTGTGAGGACGGCGGGCAAGGAGTGCTCTCTGCGGCCTCCCTGGGCTCCAGCTCTGAGGAGAACAGTGAGGAGGTGCTGCCCCCCGCCGCCGCACACGGGAGAACCAGGAGGTTTCTGGGGAGGTCACCTGGTCCCGTGGGGGCCAGCCACACCCTGGCCCCAGAGCGAGCCCCAGAGAAATGACAGCACACCTGCTCCGGGCGCCGTGGGCCTGAGCTGCCTCTCGGTCGTCCTCTGAGCAGAGGATTGGGAGAGACCTGGTGCCCGCTGTTCACCTGGGAGCGCCCCCTGCAGGAGGCAGCGCAGGGGGCACCACACTTCCTGCGACACAGATGGAGATGCAATAAATACCCAATCAGAGCTTCTGCTCCCCTTGGTTTGTGTTTTTAAGAAAAGTAGATGTTGGTGCATGAACACTAGCAGATCGCAAAGGTGAGAGGATAGACAATGGGGGAGGGGGGGAGAATCTGTTCTCTCATCATTGGAAGCTAATTTCCTTCTATTAAAAAAACAGAAGGGAGTGTATGTAGTCAGCCAGTCTTATGAGATCACCTATGAGTCATCAATAACTCACCGATGGTGTCCTCAGCCAAGGGCTGAGGTGACAGCGCTTTGGTCCGGGCCCTGCGGGCACGTGTCTCCCTCCGCCCCACGAAGAACCGCCACTCACCCCGGCCTGGTCCTGGGCTTGCTTTCACAAATGAGGGTTCATCCCAGCGGCTGGAAGGTCAGGAATGAAATGCCACTCCTGACACACGCAGCTTCTGTAGAAAACTGAACTAGACCCACCCACCCACCCACTGACTAGTTGATTTATTCTGTACCAGGCAAAAGGCATCCCATCTTTAAAAACCCTTCACTGACCCATTAAGCAAGACGGGGTTATTGGAAATGACAGCCTCCTGCTTCCACATTTAGTCCCGTCCTTAGGTATCGAGGTGGAGCCACGCTGGACGACTTTTGCCAGCTCCACGCCACCTGGCCCACCTCTTGCTCCAGACACTGCGGTGACACCCGGTCCCGAGGCTCTGACCTGCACACTGGGCGGTGGGGTCTGACACGGCCCGCCACACCTACCTGCTGGCCCGGGACTTCTCTGAGGCGGCGTCGGGCACACACAATCCAGAATGCGGGGGAGTTCACGCCAACGGGGCCTTGACCGTGAGTGGAAGCCGAAGGCTACCCACTTCCCTGCCGCCTCCTGAGACGCCTCAGACTGTCGCGGGGGCTGGCTCTGCCGTCACCCAGTGAAGGCCAAGTCACCGACGATCCTCTTCACCAGCCCCTTCCCCAGGCCAGCGGCTCCTGGGATCACGCCCGGAGAAACCCCTGCCCCTGAGCCCGGCTTCGGCTCTGCTGTAGGAGACCCCAGGTTAGGACAGGGCTCCTACAGTCCGCCTCTGACTCGAAGTGCAAGTCAAAGGCAAACAGAAAACAAGAAGCCGACTTCGGTGCTCGCTTTCCTGCTTTTCATTCATGTGAACTTGGTACTTGAGATTAGTAACTTATCAGACGTCAGACTAGTAACAGGATCCAACAAGTTAAAGCTGGAAAGAAAGCACATGAGACAGCAAACCATACCGACTGCTCATCTCACACCTAAAGAACAGGCTCCGATTAGGGGGGGAGGGGGTTGAGTTAGGGGGTGACCGGCCTAAGTCCACGGGGGCAGCCACCAGGGGCTCAGGCGGTCTGCCAGCTGGAGGAGCAGCAGCAGCAATGAACACACATGCCCTCGCTCAGTGGTTCACTCCTCCTCACAGATACCCTGAGGGTGGGACTTACTCCCCATCACGTCCCAGGCGAGGACTCAAAGCCCCAAGTGCAGTCACTGGCCTGAAGCCCTTAGGCGGCAGTGGTAGGGCAGCTTCCAGCCCAGAGCCCGCCTTCCTGTCTCCCTGCCGCCTGGTCAGTCTCTGAGGCCAGCAGGGTGGGGAGGTCCCAGAGGAGCTGTTGGCTTGCAGGCAGGCACCGAGGAATTCATGTGGAAGGAGGCGGGGCTGAAAAGGAACCCGAAGACCTGGCAGAGAGAGCAGCAGCTCACACCACTCACAGGTGACCTTCACCTTGGCCACACCTCCCCACACCCAGCCTTCACTCAGGGTCTGAGACTCCCATGGGTGTGAGGAGGAATCCACTCGGCAACCTGATTTTCACTAAAAATTCTCATTTCAACTACAGCAAGATATTGAATAAATATATTTAGTAAATGTAAAAATAGCTATTATAAAAATGTACTTAGGCACAAATATTTTGATTTTGTTTTATTGCTTATATATGAATTGCAGAGTGGATTTTTACATTTCAAAAAGCTCACTTCGTTACATTTACATCATACATTGCCATGAATAAGACAAACGAGTTCCATTTTCAGACAGGAAGAGAAGGGCTATTCTGAGGAGGGGAGTAACCGCTGGTAAAAGTATGGCATTACTGTAAAGAGAACAGAGCCAGAAGTATTAAGGGTGTGTGGGTGTGTATGTGTGCATGTGTCTGTGCCTGCCTGTGTGTGCCAGTGTATGTGCCTCTGTGTGTGTGCCTGTGTGTGTGTGTGTGTGTGTGTGTGTGTGTCCGCGCGTGCGCACACACGTGTGTTCTGGCTAACTTCAATGAAACCAACTCTGAGCAATCAAAGACAACACAAGCATAGGAGGAACATTTAAATGTTAACTATTCAATGTCAAGGAAATATGACATAAGCAACTGTCTACAGCAAAAAAGAAAGTGATAACAGCTTATAAGAAATTTCAGTATCTACAAAAATATAGCCACACAGTGCCCTCCACCAATGCCGCTCGTCACCACACCCAGCTACAGACGGCATGCCCCCACTCTCTGCAGGCATTCCTGGAAGGCACAGGCCAAGGGCAGACCGCTTCTGAGCATCCTCGGCAACAAGACCAGCTCACTACCGAGGGTACACAGAGTCTACTGTGATTACAAACCAAGCAAAGCCCCCACAGAGCCCAGTGCACCCTGACAGACCAGCAGGAGGCAATAAGCATGAGCGAAGTGGCTGTCCTGTCCATGCAACACACCCCGACCACGCCGAGACCTGGAATCTTTGGAGCAGGAGTGCAAAGGAGTACATGTCCTCCTTCCCTAGACACTCACACGACACGCCTCCACACAGAAGCACATAGTGCTCATCTATGAAGTGACACCTGAGTGGCTGGGGGCTGCTTCTGCATGTCCCCCGGCTCTGACTTTCAAACTCAATGTCAACAATGAATACCCTGCTTTAAAAATACAGAAGAAAAAAAGAAAATTAAAAAGACACACAATTTGGCTTCTTAAATGGTGACACATTTTAGCTGATCAAGAGGCAAATACAGTGACAGCTGCTATCGGTCACGACCCCCTAGGTGACCAGGTGACCGCACTGCTACGCAAAAGCCAGGGCTTCTTCAGGACATGTCCTACAGCGGCCAGGACGGTGAGTGTCGTAGAGGGTCAATGCCTTCTCTCTCTCGCAAGGTGCTTTAAGACAACGTACTTTGGTTCATATACGGAAAACAACTTGAGCATCTTCTTTACTTTTTGTTTCTACTACTTGTGCCCAGATAATCATAAACCAAAGGTGTAGCATGCAGCTCTTCACTACAATTTTACAAAAAGCCAAAACTAAAACTGATTTTTCAGCTCCAATATTTAATAGGTATATTTTTATGTAAAAAGAAATAAAAAAAAAAAAAGGCAGAACTATAAACAGGTTATGTTATAAAAACGTCCTAGGAGGATGTTGTAAGACTTGCAGAGACAATTGTTCATTTTGCTGTGCAGTGGACTCACTGAAATGTGGCTTTAAGACGACACCATGGGTCGATCGGTAGGTGAGTGTGAGTACACATCATCTTGGCGGCTTAAACCGACAGAAGCTTACACTGACAATCCTTAGCACACTTGATTGCTAAAACCATAGGCACCCTTTAAATGGAATATAACAAACCTCAAACACAAATGGAATATAACAAACCCCCAACACAAATGCATATAAGCTACAGTTTGAATCCTACAAATTAAAGTCTATTTTGGTAATTTTCTGACTATGATGATTAAAAACAATGAACAATATAAAAATGTAAATTAATGTGCTCTTAATAAAAATCAAAATGTGTGCTCTTCACAGGTGAACTAGTAGCTGTTTTAAATGACTTTTTACATTGTACTAAATATATATATATATATATCTCATTTAATTAATCGAGCCACAGCAAAATACAACTATAATTTCAAAGCACAGTCTGTAAACTAATACATCTTATGATGTAAAAAATATTGCACAGTTCGGTATCTGGAGAGCAAGCTCTAAGCCTCTCATATAGAATGATCAAACTCCCGGCAGAAAATACAGTATTACAAGAACCAGACACTTTAAAGAACAGCGACTGATTTTAGGGCCAAAGTCTAGGAATATTATTCAACAAACAACACTATAAACAAGCGGAGGAACGCCTATCGCACGTATCATGGTAACTGAATGAAGGGACACCCATCGCAACATCTGAGACACAGGGACAAAGCCACAGGGCAACCAGCAGCCCAGGACTAGATATACTTGCATGTTTTTGCTTTTGCAGATAACCAAAGCTAAAGCAAAAAATCCTACTTAAACAGTTGTGTAGATGTTAAGAAATACAAGAGACACTTCATACAACTTTCAACCCTCTAAGGCCTAATTAAAAAAAAAAAAACATATTTGAGAAAAGTTTAAAATATACTGTTTAACAATGAAATAATGTTGAGACCAATACATGCTCCACTTTAAAGCCAATGGGAACCTCAAAAGAAATCAATATGGCATAAATCTATCTCCGAAAGTACTTGAGATCACATACAGTTTCAAATTTTCTAGCATGGTATAACAAGCATTTGGTCAAATGTAAGTTCCACCGTTGTTTTCAAGAAGTGTGTAAAGAGCCCGGCCTGAATTCCCAGGCTTTGACATTCTATGCTGAGGTCTTCCTGAGCCACTCAGTACACACATAGGTCAGGAAACTTCATCTCATAGACAGGGACAGACTGGTACTGGGCATGCCCAGAAGTAATGGTCAGTGTTCCCGATGGGCTGGGAGGAGGACTGGAAGAGAAGAAGGGCATTGTCAACAGTGCACTTAGATGCGCTTCCCGGCACAGAGCATCCTAGCCGCTATCGCCCCGCAGTGAGAAATGGAGAAATGTTCCTGCTTCAACGTATCATTAGAGTCAAGTCTTCCAAAGCACGGCTGTCCTTTTAGGACCACTAGAAAACTCTAAAGGACAACTAGAAAAGCCAGAGAGCACCTGGACAAGAAATGGCCACAGACTGGCTAGCGAACACAATGACTGCTAAGACAAAGGTATCTGTATGACCTCTTGTTTATCCTAAATGAAAAACGTAATTACTGTACTTAAACACAATCAGCTCTGAATTTATAGGGGCCAACAGTTCCTATTCTGTTGTTGTATTGCTGTTGTAGTAACAACCCTTACCGTATGGTGAGTTCCAGTATTTGAGCAAGTCTATCATGAAGCAAATTAGCCTATCAAAGAAAAAAAATATTAAGGATGTATTTCCTGTTTTCCAAATACCCATATGTAATAATACAAAGGCAATTTAAAAGACAGCGTAACTGTAACTATGAAGCTGATGGTACAGAATGCTGTAACATTTTGGTTTTGTTTGTCTCATATAATAATAGTTTTTCTTTTATTCCTTTCCTAGGCTCACTGCTAAAGACAAACCAATAGATACACAAAATTACCCACTGCAAAAGCATTGAAAACCACTGCAAAAATAGTATCAAAGCCACATCAATCATTAATGTGCAGCTTGGGATCTCTCATTTCCACCAGCTTCCAGGACACTAAGACACTGTTGAGCTTCACAGCTATCTATGCATTGAGGTCTCAGTCCCTATATGATCCATCACCTTGTTTTCTGCTGAGCTGTCTAAACATGGAACCTACCAACCAGTTACCAAGAAAGTTTCCCCCAAATCACACCCTGCCCTGCCCCTTAAGCATTTATCCACTCACTTTGGATTCACACTGTGCTGCTATTTCTTCAAAAGGTGCTTTCTGGAACTTCTCTATCACCAGACGCCTCTTCTCCTTTTCCTGTTCCTCCATTCCATTGGTATCTGTGTACATGTTGGCAGAGACACGTTAAAGCAATACAGCATTTCAGAGACCCTTCCAATGTCTATAAGAGTAAATGATCTCAAACCAAAGAGAAACAATTTATAAGATTACTTTTATAAGGAAAAAAGTAGGAGGTGTAATGTGCTTTGAAATGTCTTAATGAAGACTAGAAAACAGCACGTACACAAAAAAATTTTAAATCTCAGAGTTCAAAGTGCACAGAGCCCAGAGCACGCTTGCTTCCTTCCCAAAGGAGAATCTTCTCTCAGCAGCCACACGCTTGCACAGGTGAGGCGCTGCAGGAATCTGCTCAACTGGCTACCAAACGGCATCACACAGAATCACTCTGGCTTAGCCTTCCCATTTATTTATCACAATTGGAACGCGAGTTTTTATCTGAAGATGATGTATGGTCTAGCCAAAGTTTGTGAAATAGTAAAATAGTAAATGTCTACCTTGTCACAGATAATTATTTTCCTTTGTATTGACAGACTTTTCTAGAATTGTGCAAGCACATTACAGTGCATTCTAGTGCCACCCTTATTTGGTGGCCAGTAGGCAAGCTGCACAAACTAATGAGAAGTAGGATGGAAACTCTGAGAAATACTAGGAAAAGTAAACTGAGTGGTTTGTAACAGGCACTGAGTAGTTTGTAACAGGCACACAGTAGTATAATGAGAAGTGAGTTTGCAATGGGTGAGAGTGTCAGCAGGCACGACAGTGTCACGTTAGTCCCTGCTGTGTCACCAATGCAGACACCAGGCAGGAAATGAACCTTCTCCAAGATCGCACAGCTAGAAATGCTGCAGCCAAATCTCACGCCACGTTGGACTGACGCTGTGGCCTTCACTTATCTTGGTATAAAGTATTACTCTGACTTTTTACAATTGTAAAAACCTAAAGAACGTAGTTAAATAAATCTATTACATGTTTATATAGAAATCAGCATATAGACATGTACTAAGATAAAGATAAACTATCAAAATACTGGGAGAGTTAATGAGTATAAAAAAATCTTACCAATTGCTTTCTTTAATGCTTCAAAGGTAATTTCTTCAGTGTTACTAACCTGGAGAAAAGTGATTTAAGTAAAATAGTTAGAAAGGTGGATATAAATAATACTTTCATGCAGTTACAAGTCATGTAAAAGCTTTGACAAGATTTTTCTTCTCTATGTTGTCATGATTTGTAATTATACTCCACAAATGTGCTAATGGTGTGCTTTAGGGGTTCCCAAACAGTCTACCGCTGTCACTGGGCTGGCCGGATGTGCATCGTGGCCCCCAAGCAGCGCTGAGGAGAACCAACCTGCAATGGGGGAAGTGAGAGGAGCCCTGAGCCCTGAGCCTGACTGAGTGGCTACACAGGGACAGTGCTCGCAAACACCGCAGGCAGAGGTCACACATTAATAGTCTCAGCCACGTAACAAGTGAAAAATGAAGTACCATATAGTCTCTGTAAGTTTTGGCACCTCATACTGTTTACAAAGCGAAAATAAAATAATCTAAAATGGTAAATAGTTTAAAAGCAAGAAACACTACTTTGGGAAGTGTTCAGGGAGAACAGTTCACCGACAGCTTAAAATGACCGTGTTCTGATCTTCCACGGCCCACCACCAAGTCTTATTCTCAGGAAACACCCTCTGACTTGGGCTCTCATGTCGCCCTCGTGCTCTGAGAGGTGCGACAGGTGTGAAGTCAGTGCTTTCTGAACGAAGTCAGTAACACCCGGGGGTGCCAGCACATTTCAGGAAGGATCCTTTTCAGGAGGGATAATATATCCTGCGACCACGTTATCTCTGAATAAAAATGAAGAAATGGGATGCGAGTACTTGCCTGGGCTCTGGTTATCCCTAATTTTAGCTCATGAGCTTCCTTCGCTAAGTCTAAGGAGAGCGGAAGCCTGCTCGCTCTGCACCTGCGCGGCTGCAATACAAAGGCTTGAGCGGAAACCAAGCAGCACAGCTCCACTGCCTCGGTTTCCTACTGAGGCTCGGAGTTCTAGGTGAGGTCACATTAAACTTGGGAGTCTTCGGTGGCTTTGTTCTAGATGTTTGGAGCAGATATATAAGATTAGGCTCTGGCTGGTCGATTATTTATATCTAGAAGCAATCTAGTACCTCTATGAAAAAAAAACAAAACGGTTCCTCTTGCAACTGGTTAAGGGCATCAGACTTCTGACCAACTGTCACAGCCCAGGAGAAAGAACACTGGGGCCTTCACCTATTACCTGTTCCCCCTGGACAGGTGAGAAGCCAGGTGCTTTACTGCACAACTCTTCTCCCATTTGTTATTGTCCTTAATTCCGGTCACGATGACTCAGTCTCTCAGCATCTAAACTAAGTCCCCTGTCCCTGTCCCTTTTGGTAACCTCCTTTCTCTAACTTGCTCTCAAGTCAGTCATTCTGCCTTCTGAACGGGGTCCTCCTGCCCCAGTCCCTCCTCTTCATCCCCAGCCTGGCCGCTCCAGGTCCTCAGAGCTCCGCCCAGGCGATTACAAGGATCTCCCCATCCGGGAACGCTTCTCAGTCCCTGCGTGAAGCACAGCTCTGAAATGGCTATTGGATTTCAGTGTTTCCCTGCTTCCTGCCCAGTCGCACGCCAAGCCCCGAGGCTGGTAATACAAACCTTCTATGATTTGTCTTCAATCTTGTTTCCCTTTTATGAATCCTGTATTTTTTAAAATTGCTCTATAATAGTGTTTAATGATTCATGTGTTTCATACAATGGAGCTGCTAAAAACAAGCCAGCTACTCCATTTGGTGCTCAGCTTAACTGGAATCTGCTCCAACTCTAACTGGCGCACTGGAGTCACGGAAAACAGGGCCCAGGCACTGTCCCAAAGCTTCCAGTTCTTCCTGCGTATGACTCTGGCCTTAGGTTTGACCTAGAGCTCTGACCTTGACTGTACACCCCCCCTGGGCCTGCATAAAATCTGCGATTCATCTCTTTCCCATCAGCTCTAGGCCACTTCCACGGGCGCTTTGGTAATTGTGTGGCACTGGCACAGCAGGCCTGACACTGGTGCGGACCTCAGGATCACTGTTAGCACGCATGCAGGAATCTTCAGTTATAATTGGGAAAAAGGCAAGAGTATGCGTGTATAAAACAGATGTGTATTTGTCCTAGAACACAATTCTGTTCAGCCAACCATTCTCAAAGAAAAACTGAGTATACATACCCTCTCATCCATTCCCCCAAATAATTAAGCACTGACTACGCCACACCTTTTAAGACTGGGATTACTTATTATACATCCATTATGCACTGAAATTATGCCCACACAAGCCGGGATCGGTTTGGCTCAATGGATGAAATTATGCCCACAGTGCTCAGAGAGAACACTAGAGGTCAAAGGTCATGCCTATAGCACTTGAATCTATTACTCAACTGGTAATTTTATCTCAGGAGTCAGACATGCCTCCATTATACTTTAGCTATTTGGATTAAAGAATTTTAGAAAAAAATATATATGTATATACTGATATATAAGGCAATTTTAAGAAAAGTGATCACAGTAAGCTAAGGTTTGAATAGCAAATGTTTGGACTGACATACCTCAAGTGGACCAGATATCTCAGACTATAGTGACAATTTGAGTTGTATCTACAGAAAACACAAACTTTAGATCTTCGTCTAAACAATCTTCTGACTTTGTTATTAAGTTATAAACGTAAAAGCAGATATCTGATCTGAAGACTAACTGGGATTATGTATGTAAAATTTCAAATAATTTTGATCAAATATTAGAGTACTATTTTTAAATGAGCAATTTTCTTAACTGATCCACTATTAGCTAACATACTTGTTCATAGTTAGATATTTTGCTATACCATTAACTGTTGTATACCTAACTGACGCAAATCTCTCCTGTCCTCACCATGAAATTAGTTCAGCCTAGAGGGTAATTTCTTTTGTCTCCTGGTATTTGAACAATCATTCCTAATATGCAAAATCAGATTCCATAATGGTTGGTCAATGGGTTTGAAACTCAAACCAGCTCAAAGACATCTTTTTGTAAACCGTTTACTTAACTTTTCAAATGCTCAGTGGGAGGCATGTTTGACTTTGGACTTACAACAAAAAAGAAGGCTCTTTAACAAGTTAATAATGTATTAATGGACTTTTAATGTAAAGTTCATGTTCAGGAATCTTCCTCCGACACTAAGTCTTTATGTAAATGTCTTTTCAGTACATTTTCTCAAAAAAGGACTGTGTGTAACAGTTTGAAGTGCTTTACATGTATCTTTAAAAGAAAGGCAGTTAACAAGAGGAACATGAAGTAATACCAGTCAATAAAATAAATTATACTCTTGGCAAAATAAAGTGTATAAACAAAGACTTAAGATGACTTTCTTCCTTCAAAATGTAATAGCACCAAATTAAAAACCACTACAAGACAGAGTGAGCAAGATACCTCCTCACCAGCAAGGATCCAGAAATTAACATGGCTCAGAAGAGGTGAATTTGAGGACGATGTTTTTCTGGAGCCTTAAATTGGCAAGAACCTTTCAACCAATCTCAGCCCCACAATGAGCACTGGCTGTGCCTTGATGCTCTGCAGACAAGTTCTTAATAAAATGGGCTAGTTCTACCCAACAGAAGAGGTATGTTAGTCGACTGTACCCTGGCCCCCAAAATGTCTGAATCCCTGAGGACAATTAAATTGGCGGGGGCCGGGAGTGGGGACGAGAGAGGAGGCTGAGAAAGCATGAATTCAGACGACTTCCTTCCCATTTGCTTAGATGGATATTCTTTTAATGATTTATACTGTACAGATGAGAAACAATGAAATACCCAGGAAGGCAAACAATGGATAGACCAAGGAGGAGGCTGACTTGGCATGCTGGGTGCGGCACTTTTACTCGACTATCAAAACATTCTCTGGTGACTGTGTGGTAAGTCCAGAGAGTGCGGCTGCGCTTCTTGCTACAACTCGGGCGGTCACACTCTCGTGCGCTAGTGAGACAGGAGGAGAGCGTTACACCTCAGAGGCGCAGTGAGCCCCAGCCCTAAAGACAGGTCAGCGAGACAGCCTCGCCGACGTTATGCTCATTACATTTACTATCTCAAGTGATGAAAAATGCCCCTCACAGAAGTTTTGAAAGTTTTACAAGTTGTGAGCATCTGAGGTACCTATTTCCATTTATTTTCATAACTTATGTTTCATTAAGTCTTTAAAAACAGGATCTAGAGGCCTCATAATTTAATGATAGGCCTTAAGTGACATTTCTTTCTTATAAAAAAAAATCTTACTTGGTTCTGTTTTTTTCTTGTTATTACACTAGATTACATTGTAAAATCTAATGATATCATACATGTTACATTATGTATTTTTATAGACAGCCGAAGAGAGTTTAGCAAAATAAATTTCAAGTTAAGTTCCAGGCTGAATCAGATTAATGTCTACTACAATAAAAACTGCTGATTTGGGGATAATTTGGAGTTACATCTGCTCCTACTTGAAAGCATGGAGGACAGACAATTCTTTCAAATTGATGTCTATCTCAAGACAGCACTGAGCACAAACTTTGAGCAACTCACCACGTCGTCCGAAGGGAGGCCGCCGGGCAGAATATCCACCTGAATGGATACAGTGTCCACGATACTCTTTCTTCTAGAAAGCCGATCTTCATCTAAAGTAAAGAGCCCCCATTATATGCCAGCAAGAAATGGTGTGTCATTTATAAACGACATGCTTCTGGTTTCAAAACACTTGGGACAATAAAGACAGCCTGTCCTTTTGCTCTTTCTGAATACACAGGCACCGTGTTTTCAGGCCCACACATTGCATGATGCAGCCACCTGACAGCCTGCACCACTCGAGCTTCCTGGCCCCACCTGAGTGTCCGTGGTTTTATTCCAAGGGGGAGAATGAAGGGCTAGAGGCGGCGAGGACAGTGAACCAGCTTCTCTCTTACTGACTACCTCTCCCCGGGGTTGCCTTCCAAGGTAGTGGTGGATGCTAATCAAATCTGGTAGCTGACTCTGTTTCTGGGCACACAGTAGGACTGCAATTCCCAGCCTGTCTGTGCAGGAGGGGCACCTAATTAGCTCTGGCCGATAGAGTAAGAGTGATGCTCCCGAAGGTGGCTGCTCCATCAGCCTGGACTCCAGCTATGGAACATACGCAGTTGGTTTGAGCACTAAGGGAATTTTTTCCTGTTTCAAACCAGCAAGGAGCTACGATTGTGCCATCACAGCCTAACCTGGGCAGCGTTCTTCGCCGTGGCACTGCTGGCATTGTAGGCCAGGTAACCGTGTAGGACCTGTCAGTGCACTGCAGGATGGTCAGGCCTTTGTGCAGCTGTCCCTATATGCCTCCATCACGCTACAAGCTGTATAAAGCACTGACCACACTGCTCTCCAAGCAATTCTACTTCTTCCCGATGAATTAAAAAGGCGCTCTGGGCCTCTCTCTCTCTAGTCAGATCTTACGTAGTAATTTTCGCTGCTCCTGACTGATCTAGTGTTCAAGTCTGCATGCCTTTCCTACAACCTTAGTTGCGTTAGCACACCTGCCTTCCACACCTTCCTACAGACAGGGACCTCCTGAAACTTCATTCCTGCCCTGGTCCTCCCTGCTCTAAAGATTAGTCTCTTCCAGGCCTAATCAAATATATCACTTCCTTGAAAATCTTAACTTCACATACATCTCTTTCTTCTAGCTACGAAAATGTACTCTGTTATGACTGATCTTCCCTTCAGTCATTGTCACCTTTCATCCCCGACGGGCCTTGTACTGCAGACACGGAAGTCAGTGTCTCACCTCCCCACCCTCAGCAGAAATGCAGTGACCCCGGGTTTGCATCTGTCACCAGGAGTCACTCGGTTCTGCTCTATGAAGGCTGAGGGACAGAACCAGCACATGCTTCATGTGACAACGGCTGCTGCACCGAGTTTTGCTAGTTTGCAGGTCACTGTTTTACCGCCGGCTAGTAGTGAGCTCACTTAAGACCCTGCATTCTTTCTGTTTCTCCTTCAGGATCATACGCTCTGATGTAAATCAGCAAACATAACAGAAGAGCTACAAAACAGTATGTGGCCATCATGCCAACTTGCTTGTACCCTCCAAGCAGGCCAACGTCCAAGGCCTCACTAGAACGCAAACCGAGCGGTAAACAGCCTACTTCACAGAGAGCACGAGAGAAGAATGCCTCGCTTGACATACGATGGCTGGAGGGGTTGCAGAAGAGTCAAACTGAAACCTAAGATAGAAGGGAAAGAGAGGGACGGGGCAGGAAAGGGATCAGTGGGGGCAAAATCAGTGAGAACAGAAGGGAAGTACTGAGGAGATATAAAGATTCAGTTCTAAAAGGAAGGAAATACATTTTAATGGGAAACCGTAACACATGTCCTCGAGCGTTTGACCTGTATAGTCACCTGCTTACAGGTGACTGTAGCAGAGCCCAGGTACACAGCCACACCTGGACCTCCACACAAACGTACGGTTCCATAGCAGAGTGTCTGGGAAATGATGCTCGTCCCAGGGGTCGCTCTGGCTGTTCCTGAGCTGGCTGCCAAGCCTGCGGAGACGCAGCCTCGCCCCTCTGTGGACTGCCCTGCCCTCTGTCGCCAGCTCAGAGTCTGAGCAGACAGCCTGGGGAGACGTTTGCTTACTTCCCCAAAGGGGGCTGGGAAGACACACTGCTGATTGTGTCCTTTCCACTCCCCACTTCCCTCTCCTCCTTCCTGTAGCTTCAGGTTTGAATGGAGCAGGAGTTGAACCAGTACTTCGAGCTGCGCCTCACTTCTCCGTGCTGCTCTGCTGCCACCTGGCGTGCCTACGCATAATGCACACAGCCGCTAAGGAAGAAAGGAGTCTGAATGCAAGTGGCACAGAACTACATCCCATGGAACTTTCTGTGGCTATTTAACAGTCAGACAGACACCGTCTTCACTGTACACACTAAATCATAAATGTGACTTGGGCTACACTACTACTCAGATTCTATTAAAGAGCTAACTGGGGCAAATGAAATTTCACAAATAATTTATCTTCACAAATTCAAAATGCCATAGTTTAATGCTGATATTACTTACAAAGGCATACTTTTTTGATCCTATAGAAAAGCACAAAATTCCACAGAATTAATGCATACAGGGTTGGGCAAAAGTAGGTTTATAGTTAAAATACAAATAAATAAATATAAATTAGTGATTAATAAACTATAATGTAAGAATAAATTGTGTTTTGCATACTCACAACTGTAAATCTATTTCGGCAACCTCTGTATTTATAGACTAAAACCCAACCCAAAATCATGGGGTAAAAAATAATAACCAAGTTATTTAATTTCAGCCTTCCTATCCTCATTTGTAAACAAAGATAATGTACCTTCCTCACTGAACTATTTTAAAGGTTAAATGAATAAGTGACCATGAAGTACATATCACAGTGCCTAGCACACAGCGGGTGCCTAAAAAATGGCAGTGCTATCTTGATAATGATTGTGTATTTATCTATATTTCTATATCTGCCTCCAACATGTACTCACACACACCTGTCACACAACAAACAAAATGTGTTTTGTTTTTGTTTTTTTCAGTAAGATGTTCTTAAATCCCTTAATTTTAAAAAATGTCACCTGATGGTTATACAGCCAGAGAAAAACACAATGCCCAGCTGACTGTCCCTCAAAAAATCATGTGTCCCGCTCCTTCTGCACTGAGGCAGGGCCCAGGCACCATGGACTGCTCGACACCACCCGTCTTTACAAACAAGGGAACACGCACTCTGACTGCTGCACTATATAACCAAGTATGAAACGTTCAGAATTCTTCCCGTCAGAGATACAGAGGCATTAAGAAAGGAATACATCTTTTTCAGGGGTGGGAAGAAATGGAAAAGAACAAGCCACCTGTTAAAAAAAAAGCACCAAAATGTTCACTAAAATTGTGAAGAGTGGAAGGGTCAGGTTAGAAGAAAATAAGCAGTGCAAATTAACTACGGCTACAGGGAGGCAGAGCAAAATCCTAAGGAAGCTTGAGGTGGAGAAGGTCCGCAGGCTCCGGTCCGTTCTAAAGGCAGGTCTGACTAAGCTACTCTCCTAGAGGACGGGGGGCGGCAGCCAGACCGACGCTGGGTTTACCTTCGCTCTTGTGCCTGGGCTTAGGAGGGGTTTTGCCTGAAGGAAAGAGAGCTAAAGCCACACAATAAGAATGAAATATTTTTAAAGTCTTTTAAATTATAATGCTCTACTAATGTTTTATTCTTAACGTTTTTATTTCCCCAAGGAAGTCATGCAGAATAAAATCTTATATAGCATAGGATATAAAATAAAATGCAAAAGAATTCACTAAAATCTCAGATGCTATGAACAACTATCTTTGTAATAAATGTATGTATTTTGGATCCACATTATACAAAAAGATAAGTATTTATAAAGATTGTGCTTTTAGTGATTATTCCATAAAACCACCTAGTTTCCCCAAAGGAAGAACTAGTTCTACCAAATGTAATATTTATACAATCACCAAGTGAAAATGAAGGCGGGAGATACTGTTTGATTTTAGTATCTAAAGTAAAAATGGACTGTAAGACACCATGCAGTTTTGCCTTGAAGCACTGCAGAATGACTGTGGTCAATGCCAAGAACAGAGTAAATATATAGATAGTGTAGGGAAGAAAGCATATTTTTCTCAACATCTGAGACTTCTTTGCACAACAAATAATCTGTACTCTTTCACGTGACAAAAGTTGCCTAATTCATTAAGCTCAATAAACACAATTACCGGTAACCAATTAAACAATTTTCACCCATTTCCATAAGTTAAACACAACACTGGTGAATGAGGAAAGATCTTACGCTCCTTCTTTGTTTAAAGTATATTATTATTTAGTAATAATCACTTGAAGATTAAATCTGTTCATGATAAAATCATATACAGGAGTGGGCAAAAGTAGGTTAATGATGATAATGCAATTATTAATAAATAGCATACTTACAACTGTAAACTTACTTTTGCTCATCCCTGTATATACCTTTAGAGACGTACTAAGTTTTTAAGAGGAAAATTGAAAAATACAAGTAACCATCCTTGAGCATTTGGAAAGCTGGGGTACAGTAAACATACAAACTAGATTCACTGCTAATTGAGAATGGAAGTTACTGACACATATCACTAGAGTGAGAGTTTCAGTCAGCCTCGGCTCACCTGTGACTTGCGGTACGTATGGCACTGACAACCTCTCAACGCTATAGCCACTGCCACCCAGGGACTCCGCAATCTTGTTGGTCAAAAAGTACAGATTTTTGTCATGCTTCTCCAAAGATTTTGGGAGCCTGTCAGATTGATCAAACAAAAGTAATTCAGTGTTACATAAATTACTGAGCAAAAATAAGTTATCATTCAAACATTCCAGGTCAGAGCTGAAATATTACCAGTGATCTGTAATTAGCAATAGGCACAGTATAATTTAGAGGGCTCATTTGAACTCTTGACAGCACCGGGCACGGGGTCCCTCTATGAACCATTCTGCGGTGACTCATTCCCCTAAGTGTTCCAAGGGTGAGGTGCGGCTTACATTGTTCTGTTGGTATTCACACATTAAATGATAAAGGGGACCAAATTCAGCTTTACCTTGCAAGGTGATTAAAATCTACTGAGAGAAGAACATAAACACGCAGTCTCTGACAGTTAATGAAAAACAGTATGGGCCAGCAAGGGACAGGAAGAACTGGCCCAAGCACATGACGTTTCTCTTTCTGATCAAACGACCCGATTTTATCTCATGCTGATGCTTCCAATAGAGCCCACAAGTGTGAGGAACACATTGTTCACTTATTTGTTTGAATGGCAAGGAAGAATGCAGCGTATAAATGATTAATTTTCCTTAATAGTCTTTCTCCCAGGATTTTATGAGTATTGTTATCTATTATGGAAAATCTTGAACAGGATATTGTATTTCTTTAAATGAGTGTTCACTTATATGAGAACACGCTATTTAGGAGATGTAGCTCCATACTAAAAAGATAAATATTTTTTAATCAAAGACTGATCTATGTTTGCACAAGCCTATATTTAACACGTGTAAGAACTTCTATAACAAGAGAAAGAAGTGAGATGAATTAAATGCCAGAAACATAAAACATGCTTATTAAAAAACACCAGAAAATTATTCTCATCAGCTGATTCCTTTACAATCACTAACTGGTCTCTCAAGTCAATATCCCGCCTTACAATGTGGAGATTTACATACGTGCACTTATCTCTGAACACGTGCTCTGGCAGAAAATAAGGGGCTTCCATCGTCCGAGTTTCAATAACCTGAAAAATACCCAGAAACAAAATAAAAATAAAAAACCTCTCTTTTCAGGACCTTGCTATGAAAACATGGAAAGTTAAAGTAACAACAAAAAAAACTAAACGTATATAAGAAATACCATCACTTTATTTTTAAATGTAAACTATGCTTACAGCCCAAAGGCAGAGTTCATTTTGTTTTTACATTGTCTTCAAAATTCATCAGGTAACAAAATCCTGACAATAAAGTAATGCATGTGGTAAAAACACAATGACCCACTACACCTGATTAAACGCACTGCACAGGATGGAACACGTATTTTCTCAGATGCCTCTGCTTTGGCAATCCCTTCACAAAGCACAGGCCCGGGCCCCGGACATACCCTCCCCCACACTCCTTTGGCAGCTCCCGTGAGAGGTCCCAGTGCCCCGAAGTCTGGCTCCTCCATCAACTGTGAGCAACCGAAGGGGGAAACTTGCTTTCACAGCATTAAATATTCACTTGTTTAGTGAATGAATGAGTTTTATTTCTTAGAAAGCACTAAAATCCAACTAAGAGATATACTCCCAATTCCATAAAATGAGGTTCCCCTAAAATGTTTTTAAATCATTCAAGTCATTATTTAATGAGTTGCTGAAAAAGCCAAATATAGTCAAATGGAGAACAAATCTCTGAGAACAAAATTATTCAACTTTTGAGATCTGGCTCAAGTAGATTGGTTTAAAACAATAACAATAAAAATAGTAAAATTTTAGAAAATTTAGATACTAAGACTCAATTGTTTAATGTAGTTTCCATTTACAAAAAAAGATCCAGAAAAGACCCAGTCACTGCATAATTCTATAGAATTATCTGAATTTGATACATAACCATCAAAATTGGAATTAATCGCCACCAAAAGAAAACGAGCCACGTCTGTACAGAAACCACGCTGCGGAGCCTCCCGCAGTGCTGACCTTGGTAACGTGCTGGCAGAAGGCGGGGACGGCGATCATCTGGCTGACGAAGTTGAGGTAGGCGGCCACCAGCGCCATGATGCCGCAGCGGTGGAACATGGGCAGGCTGTCCTCGTTGAGGATGGCGCTGTCCTTGAACAGAAAGCACAGCACAGGCTTAGGCTCCCAGCTTCCTCTCTGGCGCCACTGAAAGCTGGGGTGGTTTGGAATGCTAACCAAAATGTCACCTTATAAGAATGTATTGTTTAAAAATTCTGAAAGGAGAATAAATGCCAATCTATAGAAGAATAAAATCTCTCAACTAGCTTTTCCTAAGAAAAAATAGTACATATATATTAAATATATAAAACATCTCTCTCTGATATACAAATATTATACACATATTGTCATTGCTTACTGTCTTTTTATTACATAACCCTTAACCCCTAACCAAACTATAAACATAGTATTTAATCACTTATCTTCCCCACTGAGCTCCAAGCATGAGCTCAGGGACCATGCTGTCTCTTCATTACAGGATTTTCCTGGGGACTCGAACAATGTCTAGCACACAGTCAAACAAATGCTCTTTCAACATTTGTTAACAAAACAACCGCCTATGGTCATTGTCTTGAGTATTTTATTTATTTTTTATTTTTTTTAAATATATTTTATTGATTTTGTACAGAGAGGAAGGGAGAGAGAGATAGAGTTAGAAACATCGATGAGAGAGAGTCATCGATCAGCTGCCTCCTGCACACCCCCTACTGGGGATATGCCCGCAACCAAGGTACATGCCCTTGACCAGAATCGAACCCGGGACCCTTCAGTCCCCAAGCCGACGCTCTATCCATTGAGCCAAACCGGTCTCAGCTGTCTTGAGTATTTTAGATTTAAAACCAGACACTCTCTTTTAAAAACTCATGTCCTTGTATAAATGCAACAACACTTTAAAGATGGTATCTGTTTCATGTAAAAATGTTTTCCTCAATGAAAGGCTACGAAAACATACCTGTAAAGCAATGGCTAAGCGAATGAGATCAATAACCACTTCTTCATTCGCCAATTCAATTGTCATAAGAGCAAGAGAAGTATAAAGTAACTCATAGTTTTTCTGAACATTGTCTTCCTCTTTACAGCCCAGATATATGTGCCGATATAGTTGCTGCCCATTCTGAAAAGGGTCATGACAGAGGAAAAAGATGTTTTCTTAAAATGCAGTAAAGGCAGATTTCACATGCATATAACTCTTATAAAGTAGCTATCTTCTTACACAATATACCGTGGAAGATAAACTGATAATCAGATGGTCAATTTGTATTCCCATCATTAACATCAACAAATATAATATACCAGCGTACAACTACAAACTAACAGAAGAGTCGAAGAACAAGCCTTAAGTAAAAACAGCACGTAGGAAATAGTTCAGTGTCAACCATGAAAATATTTTCAGTGATATTTGAAAAGACAAAAACAAATTGCAGATTGATATAAGCAAAAGCTAAAATGGATGGCAGGATTAGGGAGCCTTGGTAATGACGGGAAACCTGGTGGAGGGCAGAGGTGCCAAGGCTGCCTGGTCTGAGAGAGGAGTCTCCTAAGAAGCGGTTAGCACTTGTCCAGGGAGAGCCTGGCAGGTTCCACTATGCGCTGGTGTGAAATCCCCAAAGGCACGTCTATGGCTGACCCAGAGGGGAGAGCTGGCCGAAATTCCCAGGGACTGCACAGAGGGTCCCTCGAACCAATCCAGCCTCCGCCTGTTAATGAAGTGTGGCTTCATTTCAAGGCCACATGTCAATATAAAACTACTATTCAAATGGCTTTCACTGAGATCAGTATTTAACTTCTATCATGCATTATTTTTTAAAAGATAATCTTACCTTTTTCATGAAACTTGCGTCTTGTCTACAGATTTTTTCTCTTTTGATCTTTAGGTCAGCTACATCAGGTATTATTCTAGAGATAATCCAGATATAATTTTTAATAAACAGCACATTTAGTTATAATATCACAGGTTATGTGGCAAATCAATAGCTATACTTCGGAGTCTGAACTATGTAACACTCATTTCAATGAGCATGTTAAGTAAGTATTGTGTAATCATATCGCTGACTTAGGAAGTTTAATTAAGAATTTCATAAAGTAATCTTGACTCCTAATGCCATTTCTAAGTTTAAAGTAAAATTAAAACTCATGTAACTAGTGACCACTGGTAGCTGAGATCTCTGAAAGACCTCTAAACATTTGCTATCTTAAACAATACTGATATTAAATACTCTTGATACCAATTAAATAAAACTCTGGATTAATAAAACCCGAAAGTCCTAGATTTAAAAATATCACAACACTTAAAATACGTGAATGTAGAAACTAAAAAACATCACCATTAAGCCTATTTCAAGCTGGCACACTACCTGATCCCTCGAAGCTTTGCCCTGTTGTCATGGCGATCCATGAGGTTATGCATCACTTCCAAGACTAACTGTCTCAATTCATAGTCCTCCATGAGGGATGGTGACAACAGAGGATCCAGAAAAGAGCCAGGTAGCGCAGTAACAATGGTCTTGGCTTTGTACCCAGAAGTGACCTGATCACAGGGAGGAAGATCAAAGAAAAACAAAATGCCTTTGTCGTAAGTCCTTGTTTGGTAAAATTCTCAAAACCATTTTATGAGAGGCACAAACTAAGGGGAACAAGTATGAACATCAGCCTGAATAAAATAAATAAAAAGTTTTGTAAGGTAATGAGGCTTTTACTGAATTTACAAAAACAGCATTCGTAAGGAGAGTAACACATGACAGCTCACATTCTCCACGTGCCAGGAAGGGCTCGAAGCACCACCTGCACCAGCTGCATCCTCCCCACAGCCCTGTGAGGTGGGCATGCGTGCAGCCCCGCTTCATCCGAGAAAACTGGGGGTCAGAGAGGTTACGAATATAGGGGATAGGTAATCAGTACTAAATGAATATAAGATTAGCTAGCAAATGGTTCCAGTAAGAGCTGAGAATGTTTAAATTGTTCTTTTATATTAAGCAGTTAATAGGAATACATTTTCAGTTTGGAAAGTGATACTTTTATTACGTACTTGAATGGACATTTCTGAGTGAATCCCTATATTCTAAATTGTAAGCTTTTCCTATCTTCAGCATATCTTAAATGCTGTTAAACATTTTAACTATATCACACAGACCTTCATTCAGCTAACTATGTGGTACAAGTAGGATTAGGTCAAGATGATCTACTAGGGAATTTCTTTTAATGAAAAATAGGACCAGATAAAATTTGAGGCGGTAATTTAAATGTATATTTATATTTGCAAACATTTGGAACATGTATTATAGGATCGAGGTGATCTTATAAGCAAGCAAAGATATGGGTGGGACAACTGCTACCCCCCCTAAAAATTAAAAATCTATCCCTGTCCCACACCACATATAAAAATAATCTTCAGATCAAAGTTTTAGATGTAGAAAGCCAAATTTTAAAAACTTTTGTAAGAAAATATAAACAAATATGCTTATATCAGAAGAGGCAAGGAGTGAAGACACAAAAAAACAAAACACAGGAATGAATGATAAGTTTGGCTATATTAGAATTTAAAATTTTAAGTACCATGAACAGGAGCAACATGTACCTCTCCCTGGTTTTGAAATACTCTTTTTACAAGGTGAAACCATGGACAACGAAGATGTGCAGATTAACTGTTGGGAGTACTGCCAGAAAAAGGAGACATTCCAAACAGTAAGCCCCGAGAGCATTAGGTGAGGGGTCGCTGAGGCAAAGAATATGATTACTTTAACATGAGCACAGGGCCTCCCGTTAGACATGCTTTTCCTTCCCAGCTGCTTAAGGCTGAATTATTTCCCAAATAAGAAGCCATTATTTGGTCAGTACATGAAAGAAGAGCACGATACGTAGACACACACTGGATTTCAAGCCCATGAATGCCAAATAAGACGACATGAGAATAAATAAATAATAAGAGCATAATAATATATAAGAAAATGAAAGCATAATATTTAATTATATAAACCACAGAGAAAAGAGACTCATAATGTGAAGATGCTTTCACCTCCTCAATAATGTCAGGAGGAATGCTCTTCACATTCGTAAATGTCTTACCATAAGCAAGGATCTCAGCAACATTATCTGAATCCGCCTGGTTCCCAAGTCCCTAAAAGATATAGCACACTAGCATTATCTTATTAATAGAAATTAGCATTCACATTACTTAATTTACTTATTATTTACTGATTTTAAAACTCTACTCATATTGGCTAAGTAGATTTTAATAATAGCTAAGTCATGGCTCCTTTTATACTCTAAATTTAATATGAATTAAAGAGCTACATGTAAAAAATAAAATTCAAACAAAAATATTAAAGTTATTGTCTTTCAAAGGAAACAGATCTATGCATGTAATGATATGAAAATTAAAGCATGTGAATATATAACAAAACAACATAAAAAGATACTTTAAGTTGGGAAATATATTTACTGCAAATATAAGTGACTAATATTTCAAGAGATAAAAACCAGATGATTCAACAAATGGAAAATGGGTTATCTAATTAACTAAGAAATGAAAATCAAATAAGACTATTATTTCCTTACTAAAGTAGCAAAACACACAAAAATATTCACAAACTAAAGCTTTAGCATGTTGTAAAATCAAATCAAATCTGTAAAATGAGGTGACCAAGACATATGATTTTTAAAATCACTTTCAGTTTTAGAATTGTAGGAATAAATCAACATTCCTGCTATCCTGATTTTAATTATTCAATTTTTACACAACACTTGAGGCTTTACCCTAAATACATATGTATATAGACAATACCCATGTACATAGACAATACCCAAGCTAAATAAACCTTCCACGTGGTCCATAAAAGACACAGAAAATTATGAGAATTTATGATATGCTGAAAACTGATTTTACAAGCACACAGTGCTGATTCTATTGCTTAGCAATCTAGCACCATAAACACACTACTTTTCACAGGACGTTTAGTACCAGTGATTAAAGAAATAATACAATACTTTCCAGATTTCTTTAAAATGAAATTAAATCAAGATTAAGTTGAAATCTATAGCTGGAAAACTACATATGCATACCCTAGTTGACTGACGTCCAAAGTATGAGTGGATGTTCCAAAAACTGGTACCTTCCCCATAATGAACATCATGATTTCTGACCGCTGATAATCTGGTAGGTTACTTCCGAAGAACCCTAAAAAAATAATAAGATACATTTTACAAATGAAATTTCTCCATATAGTAAAAAACTGTATTTTAAATCAAATCTTTCAGTATGTGATAAACAATGTCTTCAAACACTAATGAAATTAAAATTTCATTTAATCAAAATCATTTAATCATAGATAATATAAGATTTATATAATTGACTAATAAGTCTTTTGCATATAGTCAATAATGGCAAATCATCATCAATTTGAGTTGGAGTTTTAGAAAAAGAAAAAAACACCTTTTGTTAGTATTGCTAATGAACTCTTGTTCATATACTGTGAGCCTACTTCTTTATTCCAATAAGGAAGTCAATAATGAGGACACACTTAGGTAAAGAGGTCAATAACTAGGTCACTACCTTGGTTTTCCTAGGATTGTTAAATGTTTTAGAATGTCATAATGGGCCACTCTGTGAGTTAATTCAAAACACATAATTCAGTGACATTAAAAAACAGTAACTTGTTTCCTTGTCATTTTTCTCATGTGCTCTTGGGTTTTGTGGATATTTTAAGCTTACGTTGCTATAGGCTTTGAAAGCTTACTTTCTGGTCATAAAATATTTACAAAATTTAATTAACACTTACTCAAACTTCAAACTTTGTTGTTTCTTTGAAAAATCAGAACAGATATCCAATCACTGCTATTTTTGTTCAGATCTTAAAATGTACAACACAATCTTTACAGAGACCTTCTGATTTGTAATCAGCCCCAATCATTCAGCGCCATCAGCAGGTGTGAGCGGCGGCTGCAGGCCCCAATTGTTCCTCAGGGTTTCTCTACCTCCCCGATCCTGAGTTGCCTCTTGCACCTGCTGCTCCACGCCATCAGTAGGTGCGAGTGGGGCTGGTACTGTCAGCATGTGGGAGCGGTGGCGGTGGGGTGGGAGTGTGGCTGCCAGCAGACAGGAGGTGGGGTGGAGGGTGGCCACAGTGGGAGGGGCTGGGCAGGGATGCATAAGATGGGCCGAGAGCGGCACCTGAGCCCACAGCAGCCTCACAGCCCACAATTCCTTTTAGGATGCACAAATTCATGCACTGGGCCCGAATTGGAGTTAATAATAATCTACTTATACAAACTCAAGTTGTTCTACTCATGATTTTAATTGGATATGAGTTAAAAATCATTTCCCATTATCACATACTTTAGCAATAAAAAAATCGCATGATCTTATATTATTAAATCTGCATAAAAAGTATTCTTCTAGCTAACACTTAAGGAACACATATTTCAGGGGAAATAAACTCCTTTGTATTTGGACCTCACAACAACCTTATGAGACTAGTTACTATTATTAGCCTCGGTTTTGTCTAGTGGACATGAGGACAAGAGAGGTTAAGAACTCACGTAAGAAACTACACAGCTAACACTAAGGCCTGAGACGAGGCCTATGCCATTATCACTCTCTCCTTCCTCCTTATAAGGTACTTTTAACTCTCCAAGAACCCAATTAGAAATGTTTCCAATCACCCTACAAAACTGGACACTGACTTTCTGTGCCGAGGGAGTCTGTCGTTACCACCAGGACAGACTCCCTGTGAGGAGAGTCCTGGAATTAACTCGGCCTCTGTACCCACTGCTGTACTGGAACTGCTGGATAAAAATGCTAATGATCCCCCAGAGACACAGCAGGGAGCTATGTTTTGGTAATCTGAAGGGAAAGAACTTGGCCAGCAGCCTCCGAACTTGCAGTGCTGAAGCCACAGCAGCGTGTCCCGTGGCCCACAGCCAGGAACATGCACCTCCCTGCTCCCTGCCAGGGCACCGAGAACTCCAACAAGGAAACCAAAGAGCGGTTTACGTGGGAATCTTACTTTCTGTGCGGCACTGCATTTATTTTGTCAGGTTTTAATTTTCACATTTTATTTCTGAATGTGTTGTGTCACAGAAATATTGCTCAAATCTGCTGTACATCCATTTATAATGAAATACTTGAGAAACAATAAATTAAACATTCTAAAGTAAAACAGTAACACCGAATGAACTAGAAGCTGCAAAAGCAATTTATATTGACTTTGTGAAAACAAGATGAGCTGATTTGATATACCATCTTAAAATACCACTACAAATCCATAAACAATGGATCAATTTAGGAGTACAATTAAAGCTGAGTTTACTACACACTGATACCAACTGTTTAAGCAAAAACTTCTTAACAAAAGGCTGCTTCACGTGAGCGTGTGGAAAGGGCCAGGGACTCACCTATCGTCTGGATGATGGCATTCTGCACGATCTTCTCGTCGTTGTCTTTGGAGGCCGAGTTTAAGCTGATGCTGCCCATGGATCCCCCCTGGCCGTCGTTGGCTTCGAACTCCACACTGAGGCGCAGGTGCTTGAGCAGCGTGTTGAAGACCTCCAGTACCGTGGGGCCTGGAGGGGTCACGGAGGTGAGCACACACTTCCCAAGGAGCACTCCAGGCCACTCCCACATTCCTCCAGGCCACTCCCACATTCCTCCAGGCCGCTCCCACATTTCTCCAGGCCGCTCCCACATTCCTCCAGGCCACTCCCACATTCCTCCAGGTCACTCCCACATTCCTGAGATCGCTGGATAGGTTCTAGGTAACTGGAAATACTCACTCATTTATGCACTAACCAGTTCATTAAGAAAGTAAGTGAGACTTATCTAACTAAAGCCCCAGTTACTCCAACAAACATTTACTGGCATCTCTAAGCAGCTCACTGTTTGAATCACTGTCTAAGCCACACAAAATGTGCACACTTATAAAGATTTCTCAAAACTGTCTACATGTCTAATCTTGTGTATAGGGAAATTTAACTTGACTGTTGTGCCAGAATCCATGGAATTATGATATTATAGCCCGCTGTAGCACAGGAAAGTTATTTTGCATCTGTTGCAGCTGAAGAAGGAAGACTTTGCTTTAATTACCAGCCAGCCAGCCACATTCTTTTTTTTTCTTCTTTTAAAAAAAATATATTTTATTGATTTTTCACAGAGAGGAGGGGAGAGGGATAATGTTAGAAACATCGATGAGAGAGATACATTGACCAGCTGCCTCCTGCACACCCCCTAATGGGGATGTGCCCTCAACAAATGTGCATGCCCTTGACCGGAATAGAACCCGGGACCGTTCAGTCCGCAGACCGACACTCTATCCACTGAGCCAAACTGGTTTCGGCAAGCCAACCACATTCTAACACTTTCTGGGATGTACAGAGCCCAGAACATGGCGGCTCACACATAACTTCCTGTGATATAGCCACTGCCATCTCTTTGAGGCAAGTTACAAGATAAACAGTGAGAAGTCATATCAAAAGGCCTATTCTTATTTGACAGTGAATGAATGAGAGAATGTTTAAGTAGAATATTTCCACTTTTTGAACCAAAAAAATATAACCAGATTTTCCTCCTAATGCCACTAATTTCGTTAAAGGCTCTTCCATTCTTCTAATCTCGTGTAGGTAAAAAAATCACGATCTGTCCCATCCTTTTTCTTTATCCGGACAGTCAGCTATGAAATCCTGTTGACTTGACATTCCTATCGCTGCCATTGACGTTAGTCCCTTCCCTCATGCCTACCACGATGACAACCCGCTATTTCTAATGTCCTGCATTCTGCAGCCAGATGAATTATCCTACAACATATCTCTGACCAAGATTATGGTGACTCTTTAATGAGTATCAATCAACTGCAGACAGAGCTGCCTCTGTGAGCTGGCCACAGCTTGAACATGAAAGCCCCTTTTCTGACATCCTCTGCACGGCCACCACATCTTATAGCCAAACCGGCTGCCTGGTATTTGCTCTTGCCAATCCGTTTTCTCGCTTCTCTGACCCTGACTTTCTTCTAGGTGATCCAACTCTGCCTTTCATTACAGTACTAGGTAAAGCTATTTAAATCCAAGTAAGTAATGTTTCTTTTATGTGTGTCCTCCCAAATCTTTAGCATATCACTGGCATCCAAAAATCTTTATTAGAAAAAAAGGAGGAAGAGGAGGAGAGATTGCCTTGAGGGGAAAATGCTTAATTAACTGTACACTGAGTAAGTCTGAGAATAATCATGTGAACCCAAAGTTTCAACAACAAAAAATTACAGCACATTTAAAAGCATTAGAAATATTTTCAGAGGGTTTTGCATATACTGTGCTATGGACAGAAAACATTCTGAAAAGATTAAGGCAGCAGTGGTCGCTGTTTCTGATTTTTTGTAGGCACTCACCTATGGAACCTTTGGCAGCAATGGCGACAGCCTCTAACAGAACCTGAATAATACCTGCTCGAACCCGTGGAGAATCTTTTTTACGAGCATCCAGGTGCCCTAGAATCTCCTGGATCACATGGTGAGAATACTGAGCCTGAAAGAAAAACAAAAACAAAAACAGCCCAAAGACATATGAAAGTTATATGTATCCCAGCAGAATTCATAACAAGACCACGTGACACTTATCGACGTCTAAGAACAGGAGCCAGTACTCATGTTACAGAACAACATGTGGCCATTAAAAATCATCCTCTTAAAGAATAAATATGGATACTGGAAATATTTGGTACCCTGAGTGAAAAACGTAAGTTGCAAAATATTATGTTTAATAAAATTCAATCTGGATTTTTAAGAGTATAAAAGACTAGAATTATATATACTCAAATATTAAAGCTGGCCATTTCTGGCAGAATTCATGAGAAATTTTTATTCTCTTTTTATTTTTCTGAAATTTCATAAAAAACACATACATACTCTCAGAACAAAATGTTGTTAAAAAAAAGACATGACATTTACAGTACCTCTCTCCTACCCAAACTAGATAAATACTACTTTTTATTGTGAATACAAACAATGCTAAACAAAGCTTTAATCTAATCATGAGCCATTATCAAAATGAAAATCTTTTCAATGTGTACCTGATGAAATTGAAATCAAGAAGATATAAAACTTGCAATTTACAACAGACATTTTACCAATTCACATAAATTTGATCAATAACTGTAAATGACGTTGGGATGCAAGTCTAAAAAAACGTTAAGTCTTGTAAATATTATAGCACACCTAGGATATAAATCCTGGTATGACTGACAGTAAAAGCTGTGTTTCTTACAAACTTATCTCCTTTGAATTAATGACTTTTATGGTAAAATCCCACTAATACTGAGAGCTAACTGGTCTGTTCTGGTTTGGAGGGAAGACAAAGGGTCCCTGCAGTAGCCAGGAGTGTCCCAGCACAGCTTACAAAGACCAGGGTTAACACAGGCGCCACTGCAGAGTAGATACTCAATGAATGTCGTTGTTATCAGCTACATCAATGTCACAAATATCAATTCCATTTCTAGTTTATCAGTGAAATATAAGTGCACAATTGTAATTAATAAATGCACAATAACAGCACGATCATACAATCATTTCATTCTTTATATTACCTATTGGCAAATAAAAACAAGTAGTAAATAAAAATAAACGAGACAATTAAATTAAGAACATGTTTTATATCTTATAGCAGCAATGTTCAACCTTTTTCATCTCATGGCACCCATAAATTAATTACTAAAATTCTGTGGCACACCAACAAATGTATTTTTTATCACTCTGGCTAAAAAAAAAAAAGGTATCATTTTGATTTATTCACACTGAAAGGCTATTGTTGTGCTGCCTGCTGTCATTGTTTAAAATCTGGCAATCTAAGGGAAAAGAGGTGGGTGGCCCTGACTATATAGTCAGGTAGGTACTGCCTGTTTTAACAATGCTGTGGGACAGTGTGCGGTGGTACACTGGTTGAAAAATCACTGTCCTACAATGTTCTATAACTCTGATGAAATAATTATCAGCACAGAACCAAAATTACTTACCTGAATGGAATACATTATAATTTTAAAACAGTGAACTGCAAATTCATTGGGATCCCACAGTTTGTGATGATCTAAGTGCCTGTAATTAACAGTAAGAAAATTAATAATTTTTTATTAAACTTATTATTTTCCTTTAGAATCCTTGACATGCAAACCTTTGCAATCAAAAAATTATTTAAAAGAAAGTCAATGTTCTAATTCCAGATATGATATATATTTCCCCCAAATGCCAAATTCTTTCATAAAACACCACCAATAAAAGGCTAGAATATGTATAAGACTTTTAAATACCCAAATGAGCTGGCAAGAAAGAAAAGTCGCTCATTCCAACTCCACAAAAAGGCAAGAATCTGGACAGTTGAGTATGCACTGAAGCCACCGTTTTCTGCTCTGTTCACGCACCTCAACTTGCTAAGACCTGCTGCTCCAGCTAAGCCTACCTCCAAAGAAACCACCCCCATATCCCCAATTCAACTTGAATTCTGTACTTTAACCTGCTATAGCACTTTTTGGCCTTTTCTCATAACTTATATATTGTATTTCATTATAAGTGCATGTCCATTAGCCATCAAGTTTGTTAAGGACCAGGACAGTTTTATTCAGGCATATATTCCCCAAAATACCTGATACCTTACTTGCAGAGGATGTTTAATATTTAATTATCTAAACAGCTAATACATAATTAACTATTTCATTAACATTAATTAATTAACCATCACAGAATTGGGTTTTAAGTCCATCAAACTCTACATGGAATATAGTCCACTTCCATGTTATTTAAGTGCAGTATAATTGGGTAATTTCTACCTTCCAGGCTAGCTCTATAGATTTTTTAAGGCTTTACACTGTACTTTTTGGTAAAAAAACAAAAAACAAAAAACAAAATTAATAAAAATATTAAGATAAAAACTTGAATTCTTAAATCAGCAGGTCTGGTCATTAAAAAGTAAATCTGCCTTTAGTTATAATTGACATCATTTTGATTATTTCTTAGTATATTTTTTATAGACGCAGAGTCCTTAAATTGTATTTTTTTGGGGGGGGAGGGTTTAGGTGGTGAAAATCACAAATCCTTTTGAAAATCTAATAATTCTGATTTTTTAATAAAATTTTGTGGTTTACATATTTTTATAACTTAAGTTCAACTTTGAACCCAAGTATTTCCCCCAAATAAAGACTTCTAGAGGTTATATTCAGACTGCTTTATATATTCCATAAACACATTCTTATAATCAGGAAGGGAAAAGAACAAGGCAAGTGATTAACAAAAGAAAGTCTTGCAAAGACGTGCAGCAATTACACGGAATATTAGTGGTAGCTCTGTCATCTGAAGACTGTTAAGCCAACGCCTTGACAAGGCTGGAAAGATGGTGTGTGCTCGGAAAGCCTCACAGCTCACAATCGTGTTTTGCTGGAGGGAGAATACACGCACCAATCAGAGCTACTGTTCCTGCTCTGACTCAGTCACTGCTAACAAGACCTTTACTCAGAGCACAGGATGTGCCTAGGGCAGCCCGGCCACTGCAGAAAGCAAGCCAGGCAACAAGCTAGCCAATAGGAGGCCTCGACCTCAGAGGTTAGTAAAACGGATACCTGCTGCATGGCCGCTGTTGGTTTTAATAGTTTACGTGGGTATGCATTTCAAGGTCTGTGGGCAGAAATTCAAGATAAATGATGCACCTGGCATCAGCATGTGACTGCACTTCACTTTTAGGGGAAAAAAGCTGGGGAAGCGGTTGGACCAACTCAAATGTGTGGTATGTGACTCAACCCTGCACTCTTCCCATAATGCTACTGTTCCATTAGTAACTCCCTCATACAAGAAATGTACTGTCTGTCTGTGAGTTAACACAGAACACGGCACAGTCACAACCAGGAAAAGACCCAACCACTTACGCAAAAACCGGCCTCACAGCATTATTCATATTCCCAAAAGTCGCTCGGCCCAGCAGCTCTCTGAGACAGTTTTCAGCCAGCACGGCAGGATTCTCCTCTTTGTCAGCTGCCGAGGGAGAAGAAGGAGGGCCTATGCGACTGGAAGGAAAGAGGAATAAAAAACACAAATGTGAGAATCCTAACACTGGTGCCAAAGTTCGAGCAGATTTTACTTCTCAGAAATGGCAAAATGACACTTTCTTTTTCTCCCCAAATATCTTAAAGAATGAGCAAGGAATAAACACAGTTTAACCTATTTATTTATTTATTTATTTATTTATTTAATATATTTTATTGATTTTCTTACAGACAGGAAGGGAGAGGGATAGAGAGTTAGAAACATCGAGAGAGAATCATCGATCAGCTGCCTCCTGCACACCCCACACTGGGGATGTGCCTGCAACCAAGGTACATGCCCTGACTGGAATTGAACCTGGGACCTTCCAGTCCGCAGGCCGACGCTCTATCCACTGAGCCAAACTGGTCTTGGCAGTTTAACCTTTTTATTAAGAAAATTATAAAGTAAATAGCTGCTACTATTGTTTTGGTTATTTCTAACTTCATGAAAAGAATGCTGGATCTCTAAAGAATAACAAAAGTTTAGCTATAATTTCTATTTCTTACACTTGTAACTTTAAGTAATACTAATTCAAATAACTATTTGGATGATCAATAATAAATTACAAATAAAGTATAAAATTATTCTAAAGCAAATAAAACTTGAAGTGTATGAGTACAAATCTGTGGTTTACTTAGCCTAGTGTGATCACAAAAGACGAACAATCTTTCAGAAAGGGCACATATTTACCGGTAAACTCAAGTATACAGACCACCTTTACATGATGCTCAAGGCAAAACTTTCTTAGCCTCGTGAGCAAGCACACATACCTTACACAAAGGCAACGCAGCCCCCCTAGCGCCCTTATTCAGTACCTGTCCACCTCCTCTATCTTCTGCATGTTGAACAGCAAGGATGGAACAATTTTATCCATGTGCTGGGGTTCCCAAATGGTAGCCCGAAGTTCATCATTAACTGTTTTGCGAACCACACCTTGAATACCCCTGATTCCAGCAATTCGAATTCTATAAAAGAGAAAATGGAATCATGAAAAAAGTTATAAACAAGTCTGCTTGTTTAGCTAAGAGAATGAATCCCAAATAAATATTGTTATCTCAAGTCAATAAAATGAAAACAACACAAGTCTAAGAAATTAAAATCTCAGCAATCTAAGATGGACAAAGAAATGAGGAGCTCCGAAAGAGGCTTCCTTTCAGTGCTATCCTTTAAAAGTCAGCATGTAAAGTCCAAAAGGACCGTCATGGTCTACATATAATTTCAATAAGAGAATCCAATCAAAAGCATTAGTTTTCCTAAGAGGATGATGATAATTGAAGCAATGAGCTAGATTCTCTCCATTTCTCGCCTAGACAGCTCGGAAGCTGTGCAAAACAGGATTTCACTCTTTCTGAGCACTGAGTGCTCCTTCAGACTTCTCTTCCTGCTGCCTCCCAAGGCCCTTCCCGCCCAGAGCCCTTCTAGATGGAGGACTGCAAGACCAAGCTGGTTCCTTAAAGGTCTGACAAATGAGAACTACCACAAGGGGTGCAGACAACCTCAGCCATATATACATATCCGTCCCTATATATCTGTGTGCACTGACATTTACATTATCGTGTGCTTCTGTGACTTAATATTCATTCCTCAGGGAGACAATGCAGCCCACCCTTCAATCCTGATCCACAGCCCCAACTTCCTCACTCTTCCTTATATAAAAAGATCTATAGGTTCTTCTAGAATAAAAAGTGACCAGAATATAGAATGGTAGCCTATTGGCCCTAAAGCATGTTTCCTCTGGCCAAATCTGGTGACTTTCTTTTTCACTACAACCAAAAACATTCACCACTGAAGGTTTATTCAAGTCATCCAGCACTGTCTTCCAACACCTACAAGTAGGGTTAGAGAATGGCAGCTATGGGGAAGAGGGTGGTAGCCCTGGGGAAATGACACAGGCCTTCCGGGGAGCAGATGGAGAATGGGAGCTGCAGTAATACAACACTGAGCAGGTGAGAAAGTGAACTGGGAGATGCGAGACCAAGTTTGCCTGTTTTCAAGTTGTGTCTATTCGTGCTGCTCCCTAAGCATAAAGTCTCCTACGGCTATCACAAGTGGGCAGGCCTGACGTTACTACAAGGTGGCTGCTTTATGCACCTGCTGTTACTCCTTGGGTGATGACAAGGTGGAGCAAACAAGATGACACAAGAATGGTGGCTGGTGCCTCGTGACACAGGAGCCTAAAAGAGTACAGCAGAGCGAGCTGCCCCTGTCTGAAGGAGGTGAGACTACCTATAGCTACCACAGCCGCACAGCTGGCATCCATTCAGGTCTAGTATCTGGTCTAACCAATATATTCTAGTCATGACTTCAAAGAAATTTTATAATTTCCTCATCAGTAAACTAGACCAACTGTCTTACCGAAAGCATAGAAATGTTTGAATGAATTAAGGTTTAAATGAATTAATTCATGTAAAGTGCTTAGTCAATAAAGGGTTAAACAAATTGCCCAGAGTAAGCACCCAATAAGTGTTAGGTAAGCACTGTGATGATGATGATGTTAATGATTATTTCTACCACAGTTGAGGTTGCTCAGGAATTTAGAGTTTAAGACTGTGATACCTGACTTTACGTGTGGGAACTGCTCCTGCAAGACAAATATTTTAAGAAAATCTTAACAGTTATCAGACCCATTCCCCATTTCCTACTGCACAGGCCGAGTTCTATCTGATAGGGTTTGCTAAAATTAAAGGGATTGATAATAAGTTTCTCAGCTAAAACCTAAAGAGGAATACAAATATCCCTGAAGAAAACAAAAGAGCTTTGACTTAGGCAGAGCAGGAAAAAATCTAGTCCGGGAAGTATGGTAAAGCATTTTAGTTTACTCACTTGTTTTACAGGCACTGCAAATGAAATGTTGTCATTTGGAATTTCAATTACCACAAAATACTAGAAAAACCTACAATCAGAAAAAAGAACTACAAGGCTCTCTCATTTGTGTATAGAAAATGTCAAACTTCTTTTTGTAGACATTAATGAAAACTGTTACATGAAAATGTTCAAGACAAGATCTTTCAGTAGGGGGCGCTACATACTTAAAAATACGATAATGTAATAAAATTTGGAATTTCCTAAACACATCCCTTCATTGATTTTATGGATCTCATCAACACTTTTCACCTACACTGGTTTATATGTGAAACTCACCTTAATCAAAATTTAAGAAATGTCTATGTGCAGTTTATTAATCCTTATACTACTAAACTGAAAAAAACACACACAACACTATACGTTCTGAATAATTTCTGTATTTTAAAAGAAAGTAAAATTGTTATAATCTTTAAAAAATTGCCATTTTCTTTAGCTAATTTTCATACTTTTTGCCCCATTAACTTTTTAATGTCAGCCCCTGAAAACAGAGAACAGTTTTATAGAACATTTTTAACGTCCTTTAGGGATAAAAAGAGGTATTTTAGTGGAGACTGGGAGACATAGGAAATTAATTATTATAAGATAGTTACCTTTACATTTCTAAGGCTTTACCCTATAATAAAGTCTAAATGGCCTTGAGGAAAAATTATATACAGCATCCCAGACAGAAACAAATCTATCTGAAATCTCTCAGCTTTCTTTCTCCCAAGTTAACTTTTATACTTGCTTTTGCTTGTGTAAACCAACACTGTAGGTTATATACTAAAAGCTAGTTAGTGGTTTTTTTGCACATTCCCTTATTTATTTTAAAAGAAACAGTAAAAATTATAAAGCATGCTAAATCTTGCTAAACTGGCCCGACATAACTATGAATTCAGGTTAGTTTCTTTCTTTCTAGTGTATTATGGAAAAGCTCAAATTCCTTTATTTACCAGGGTAATTTTTATTTTTAATTCTTAACTTTCAGCTATATGTAGACTGTGTTTGCAGATAAGTATTTGATTCCAAATTATTACTAGGTTGTATTTAGAAAAAAAGTTTAAAAATGCTCCAATTAGTTATGAGAACCTGAGATTGACAGTGACTAGTAATATACCATTCACTCTATGCATTCATTCAAAAGGCACTTACTGACAGCCTACTATATGCCCAGTACAATTTCAAGTGTCAGTGAGACAGCAGCTCTCAAAATAAGGCTGCTGCCCTCCTGGAGTTCAGAGTCCACAGAGAGCAGAAGACAGAGTAACTGAGATGGGATGGGAGGGTTAATATTTGACAAAGAAAAGGTGGCCAGGGCAGGACTCTCACGATGAGGCGACATTTGCAGAAATGTGAACTAAGGTAAGAAGGGTGCCCAGGAGGTATCCTACAGAGACCACGCAGTCAGAGGTGCTGGTGTGTTCCAGAAGCGGCTGGCTAGAGTATGGGAGGAAGAAAGCTAGGCTGACAGGCTCTGACACTGGGGTGGGGGTGGGGGGCGCACTCTGAGTTACAGTAAAGACTGAACTTTATTTTCGAAGAGTTAAGAAACCATGCTCAATTTTGCTACTTCAGTCAATTCTTCTAACAGCAACAGGAAGTTGTACTTCAGGAACAAAGCATGCATTTTCACGTTTCCTTTAGTAATCCTTATGTAATATATAAGCACGGTACTCATTAATAAATCGCGCTATGGCTTTAAATTATAAAGTTAACCAATACATACTCCGTTCGTACGTCTGGATCACTATGGCAGGAATGACACATGGCACTGAAGCGAGATACAAAGAAGTCATAACGTCTGTGATAGGATGGCGTGTCTTCTTCAATATTTGCAAATTTGACAAACTAAAGAAAATAAATATAAACATGTTACCACCTTTTGAAAGTGGACCAAACACATTTACTTTCATTCATTACTTGTCACATTAACAAGCAATGTCCAATTAAGAAGCAATTATCATAAATACCACATACAGATACAAAAAGAATTTTGAACAAAGAATGTTAGAAAATCAAGGCTGCAGCATTATATATATTAATATAACTGGCTAATCCAGCTCCTGTTGAGTGAATGAGCTGCCTCTCTAGAACAGGGGTGGGGAAGGTCCGGCCCCTGGGCTGCATAAGGCCCACAAAATCATGTGGCCTGGCCCTGCCAAGGCATGAGGGGTGAGTTAGTGAAATGTCTGACCCAATGCAGCAGGCTTCTTTCTTTCTTTCTTTCTTTAATATATTATATTTTATTGAATTTTTACAGAGAGGAAGAGAGAGGGATAGAGAGTTAGAAACATCGATGAGAGAGAATCATCAACCAGCTGCCTCCTGCACCCCTCCCCCCCCCTCCAACTGGGAATGTGCCCGCAAACATGCCCCAGATCGGAATCGAACCCAGGCCGACGCTCTATCCACTGAGCCAAACCGGCTTCGGCAGCAGGCTACTTTTTAAGCTGATAATTCTGTATGGCCCTCAGATGACGTTATAAACATCCCAATGGCTGTGAGCGGAGAAGAGGTCCCCACCCCTGCACGCCTAGAAGGAAAGGTGTTGCTCTGAAGCTCGCCTGCATTTCCTGGGAGCCAGATTTCGCAAGGAGCACCAGCAAAGCCAGCGACAAAGGGACCGCATCGCCTCCATCGGTACAGGTGCCAAATGCCCGACCACAGCGTGTGCCTGTCCCAGCTGAAGTGTTCTCAGAGACTAACTCTGAATATGCTAATTAAACTTAAAATCCTAATTACTCACAGAGTTTGTTCCAAGAACTTGAAGCTTTGGTTCCCCTGATTCCAGCAGCTTTGCTACCATATGAAGAAAGCTTTCTACAAATGGCTTGATGCTTTGAGAATGGCAAGCCATGAGAAGTTGGTCCAATGCCTCCATAGCGATTAAGACATACCTACGCATGAGAGAGGAACAATGTCAAAGCCCTTCTAGCTGTCTTAAATCTAAGTGCTTGTCACTGGAAAATTTAAAATAAGTTGATTCAAATGACAAAACACAGCAGGGCGAATGCAGTAGTTTCTGGGTGAAGTCTCCCTGCTCACAGCCGTGAGGGCTTAGGTTATGAAACAGCCCTCATGCTGAGACAGGAGCGCCCGCCGGCACTCCTGCCTTTCTCCTCCTGCCAGAACTCTGCCTCAGTTCTTTAATGTGACCTTTGCGTACATTTGTCTCTGCAAACAGGACATTTTGTTTTCCAGGTTTTTAGCCATATTTCTCTGTAACCATAAATATCATAAGCAATGAGCCTAGATTTCCAACATAATCTATATTTGTAAATGTGAATATATAAAACATTACCAGCAACAACAGAAAAATGTCCCATAAATGTTACCTTACAATTCACTGAATTTTAAAGCTTGAACTAAAAATTCAAATTCAAATTCAGACTTTAGTAAGCTTTGCTTCAACAATCAACTATAAAACCATTTGTATCAAGACACCCAAAAATGTTCTCCGTGGTAACAACTGGGAGAAATGCAATAATCACTTGGGAACAGAGTACCCTAAAAACCAGAATCACAGAATAATATGGGAACATAGTTACTCCAATTATGCAGGTTATAACTGTTCACGCCCAGAGAATGGATTAGGTAGACTTACTTATAGGTGGTTGTACACCACGCACCATTTCAAATCAGCATGCTTACAGCTTCTGAACCTTAGCATCCAAGCCCACCACAGTTCTCTTATTACTCTTCCCACAGGTAAAACTGAACTGTGTTCCACAAATCAGTTAACAGGATCGTTCTTTTTTTTTTCAATTTAGACATTGTTTTTTAAATTACTGTGTCAGACTAACAGAGTAAGGGAGTCAATTTCTACTATTACCATTAAGAAGTCTCAGAAATTAATGATGCTTCAGCTAAAGGCAACTCCGTTAACTAACATGAGTCTATTCTTAAAATCTGCGCACCAGGAAAGAAAGAAAAGCTGCAGCATCTATATGATATGACACATTTCCTAGTGTGGTAATACAGTGTCTTATCCTCTACCTATCACTTTTGCCTGACTAGATAGCAAAATTTTAATGAGGAATAGTTTATATATATTAAACTGCACCCGTGAATCAACATGTATGTTCCTCCCACATGTTCTTGTAGCTCATGGTACTTACCCTTACACTCATCTCTACTATCATGAGTCGTCACATCCGTTTTTCAATCTTAAACAAATGCTAATCAGGTGCTAACTTGTGATGGACACCAGGAATCAGCAAAATAAGTTAAAGGATGAATTTAATTAACCTACGGAGAATTTTCCAAGATACAGTATTAGCAGCAATGACTTTCCTTACCCAGAACGATGTCTGACAACATCCCTGCTCAACCTTTCTGCCAGGTAAGAACCAATTCGATCCAGTTTCTCTGGAGCAGACACTGCATAAAATGTCAGTTTTTCCATATCAGCTTTAACAAGGCCATCCTGAAAATATAACAAGTTAAACAGGTTAACTATGTTTTCATGCTTATTTTCTTTTTATTTCTAAGTATTGCTTACTGCATATTTCCCCTTTCTGGATTGGTAACTAAACCATATTTATGCTGAACCTTTCTGGACATAGCTTTCTTAATGCTAATATTCACAATTCTAGATACATAGAATTTTAAAAAGTTAAAGAAATGCCCCATTTACACAAAGCATTGAAATATACCTTCATAAGCAATGAATTACTCTAACACATCATCATTTAACATGGCTGCATCTCATCCACTTTTTTTTTTTTTTTTACCCCTTACCAATTTTAATGAGGAATAGTTTATATACAATAAACTGCACCCGTGTATATACAATTTGAAATATGACAGCTGTATACATCCTCAGAACCCCCAGGAACAAACAAGATACAGGCTATTCCCATCATTTGCAAAAAGATGCTTCATGACCTTCCCTCTCCGGTGACCACTGCCCTGCTTTCCTCGCCATGAATCAACATGTATGTTCCTCCCACATGTTCTTGTAGCTCATGGCACTTACCCTTACACTCATCTCTACTATCATGCTTCGTCACATCAGTTTTTCAATCTTAAACAAATGCTAATCAGGTGCTAACTTGTGATGGACACCAGGAATCAACGTGAGCAAAGAACTGTGTTAATTCACTTAATCCCCATGAGATCCTTATGAAATCAGTACTATTTATAACTTCTACTTCACAATGAGGCACTGACCATATTGCTACTAATTTTAAAAAATGGGTTGGTTATCTGTCCCCTCACTACAGAGCTCTCTAAAGACAGGGACACTGTGACTGAAGCCCTCTGTGCCTGGGCACTTACTATCTGATCCATTTTGGATAGAGAAGATTTGTTTTGTTTAATAAGTAAAAATTAAGAAAGGTGGAATAATATGGGAACGTAGTTACTCCAATTATCCAGGTTACCTATGCAGGCAAGGTTCATGTAAATCTTTTTTAATTTTCTTCTACAAATTGCTAATTAGATAAACATTATCTAAATACTTGGTAAATATTATTTCTGTAATCACTCTCTAAGTTATCTGTCATCATTCCCATGGTCAAGTTTTCAAAGCTCCCTCCCCACCCACAAGTAAAAGTGCATAAAGCAGACAGCCTGCCTGTCAATCCCATTCCTCTGTATCTGGCCTCCACCTCATCTTTAGTAACCATTTGTCTCAGACGACTGAGAGAAATGATCTGAATATTCAGCCCATTAAATAACATTACTGGAATTTCCAATCAGAAATTGTGCAAAACATAATTACCACCCAACACTCTACAATTTGAAGGCTCTTGATCCCAAATGTGCCTCTCTCTTGCTTTCCCATGCCTTTTCTCTCACAGGGCCCATCACTTGCAACAAAGAGACTAACCTCGACTTCTCCAGATGGTGTACATCCTGCAGAGCTCACAAAGCTTTCTTTTCATTTCTCTGAGAAAGCTTCCCAGAGATTGCCAGCCCAGTGATGCCTCCCCTGCTTTCTGGGGGAAAATACCACCTGCTTCACATAACTTCTCCACTTTCTGAATAACGCACCGGGACTTACTATTTAGTCTGTTTTGCTCTACATCAATGGATAGAAAGCTCCTTACAGGCAGGAACCACATCTGAGGGTTTTATATGCCACACATTATGCAGAGTATCTGGCTGCCAGTGGCATTAACTGATTAGCCTCCTCTCAATAGTTGAATGTTTAAATTAGATTTGACTAAAAATGAGATATAGCTTGAGATATGTAAATTAATGTTAAGATATCCAAAAGGTTTCTATAGTTGGCTACATTTTAAAATAAAACAAATTCTGGAAATCAGACACATGTTAACAATTTTTATTCATGTCCATTAACACAAGTCTAAAAAAGTCTTGGAAAATTTAAACTAAACCCAGTTGCTTAAAACCAGTAATCTTCCACAGTAAAGTGACTTTTATAAAAAATTTACAAGAATTTCAGTACAAGGAGGACAAACTCGCCCAGAGGGTTCTTACTTTACATCTCAACTCTCTTCTCAAAACTGTGTTCTTTGAGTCTTTGCTTCATTTATTCTTGCTTATTCTTTGAGTCTTTGCTTCATTTATTCTTGCTTCATTTCCTTCAGCCTTTCTTTTCCCAAACCCAAATCAGCGGCCATTCCAACCCACTCAAGCAGCACCCCCTGTGCTTCCTGTCGCTTTCATGCCATACTGTAACTGCCAATTTACTTGTCTAGGAGTGTGGGGAGAGCAGAGCCATGTCTGTGTTCCCAGATACAGTCCTAGCATTTTATACAAATAACCTGGCACCAGTTCATAACATTTTGATGAGTATTACTTAAATTCAGGAGCTATGGAGACAAAGAATATCACCTATCCACCATTTCAAAGTCATGCCTAATCTATGAGAAGGATCTAAAAATTCGACAAGCAGGCATTTTAAAGAAAAAGGAGAAGTATAAAATAGTAGTGTACATGGTGAGATTCAGGAGTAAAAGTAGAAAAATGAAATTAGGGACCCCTTAGGAAGGTCAGCAGAGTAAGGATGGCAGCAAAGAAAAGGACAGTAGATGTGGATCAAATTACCTTTGGGTCTTCAGGGAATATGTTGTCCACCAGGCGTTTGTAGCGAGGACGCAAAGCAGAACAGCAGCAACACACTCCTGTTCAAAAGAGAATAAGAGCACAGAGTACCGTGTTATTCATATTGTAAATGGACTCAGAAACTAAGCTTCTGCATTTTAATGGGTTCTTTAAAATAAAGGGGAAAGTTCAAAATGCCACAAACAAAAAATAAAGTATGCAAATTCAATTATTGATTAAGAAATGAAAAAGTTAAATTCTTCTCCCCTCTCCAAAGACACCAGGTCAAGATGAATATACTAATGAGTTATTCCAAAGTTCCAGACCAAATTGTTTAGGAGCGTGTGTGTAAATGTACACACATATACACACAACACCTGCCAACTTCATCCTATAAAGCAATTACATAATTTGTACCTCCTCTACCTCTTCTCAGATCTCATCTCATATTACTCTTCACATCCCTTACACTCCAAACCCCCCCAAACTCCCCTGCTGACCAATCCACTCAGCTCAGGCCACGGTGGTCTTAAAATGATAGTTCTCTCCTAGAGCAGCTGGTCATAGTAGTGAATATTGTATCTACATAATGATCATATAAGGAACACATAGATGGGAAAACAAGCTCAAAGGTGAGTCCAGGAATTTTTAAAAGCCCTCAAAGGCTGCTGTACAAGTCTCAGTTGTTGGTGTCTTAGAAGGAGCAAGGGGTCTGGATCCAGAAGCCCTGGGCTCATTCCAATTCTTTAACTCAAGCTCCTACATGGCCCCAGGGAAAGCAATCTGCTCTCTGGAAGAACTATGTAAGTGGGAAGGATCAGTTTTCTTGTTCTGCAAACCAATAACTTAATAGCAATATTGGTCCTGAATCATTATAAATTTATTCTAATAACTGATGAAACTGGGATATATGTATCGCTGTATAAGTGGGCATTTGTATGTATTTAAAAACCAAAGTATGGGATGAGGGAACACTTGAGCAACAAGTTAAAAGAACTCGTATCTAAGTAGACATCTGCTACTCTCTTATCAAGTAACGTTATGCAAGAGACTTGTCCAGATCTCCCTCTGCTCTCGAAGTCTACATCGTTCCCGCATGCAGTCATACCCATCAGCCGAGTGCCCAGCACAGGGCCAGACAAGGTCCAGATGTACAGCAGAGTGAAGCCATGAAAAGTAATGTGAAAGCAGGCCAGTTAAGATTCATACGGCATCTTCAGAAATCATAAAACATGCATGCACAAACTTATACACATAAATAATGCATACGTTATTTAACATACTCACAAACTAGTGAGGTATTGTAATTGCAGCAGAACTGACCACGTAATTCTCTCAACAGCAGTGGCTGGTGAGAACCCAATATCTAATTCTACAAGCCCAGGCTCTTTCCACAACACACGATATTAGTGGTCAAATCACTCAACTGCCACATATTTCATTTGCACCCACTATGTGGTTTCATGCTAGACGCCAAAGATACAGGAAAGCATGAAAGACACAAGCTCCTTGTCCCTGAGTTTATAAACCGCCATTAAAAAACACACAAACAAAAACAAACAAACAAAAAAACAGTGAATAACTCAGCAGTGTGTACTTAGGCAAATAATATAAAATGCTATTCATTGTTTAGGATGCTTTTTACTTTAATAGAAGGAAAAACAAATGCCGGAGTGCATTAGGGGATTTTTTCCCCCCTTCATATTAATTAACACCAAAAACACCTGCACTCTTTTTAGAGTCCAAAATCAAAACACAGGTCTGATTATTACAAAGAAAATCAAGGGTAATAGCCAAATAAGCCAAAGTCAGATTTCTGTGTTCACTATACGTAACACAAATATACTTCAGATAAATGTTAAGGCACTGAAATAACTTAAAACCAAACTTCTCACAGGGCACTAAGCCCTAGCCAAGGCACTGCTACACTGAAAGGAGATGACAGTCTGGTAAGAAAATAGACACTTTGCTAACACTGATCTGAGGCCAAACAGTAAATTCAGATCGCTGTCACAGCAAAGGGGCTAAAAACAAGCCTCAGGGCTTCCCATTTCCATCAGGATGGTGAGTTCCATTATGCTCAGTAGTTAAGGATTCTCAATACATTATGAAGTGTCAGTTACGACACTCTTTGATATTATAAATTGCTTTTAGTTTAAAGAAGCATCAAAAAGTCTGAACTTAAGATACACACATTATCCAGTTCCTAATTTCAGAAATCTTAGCTCTACTGAGGGAGACAGCTGAATAAAAAGGCACAATGCCAAATAGGCAGCATGGGGTTAAAGGGCATGGGCCCTGGAGACAGACAGACAGACCTGGGGTGGGCAGGTTACTTTCCCTTCTCATTCACTTCCACAATAGTTACATAGGTATAACCATGCATTTTTCCAATCTACTGGGAAATAAATACAATTACATATGATGTTCTTATGAAGGGTGTAACATACAATAAGCAGTCAATAAAATGCTCGCTATTCCTGGCAGTGCAGTGAGAGAAGCATTACAGGTATTGAGACCCTTGAGCAAGTATTCCCTACAATGGCAAACCCTTGATGTACAGCAACCACCTAAAGCTCCCAACCAGTTCACATGGGACTCACAAAGCTTCCATAACTTCCGCACCCGGCCCGGGACCTGCTGCCCTGGACATGGGTGCAGGGCTGGCCCGCGCACATACCAGCTTTTTCATTGGCTTTGCTCATGCTCGCAGAGCTGGTCACTATCCTCTGGCAAATGAGGGGCGAGGCTCAGGGCACCACTGGTCCCATCACAGTTGGCAAGGAGAGGAGCTGAGATTCCAACATCTCTGATGCCTCCAGAGGCTCACTGCCCACTACATGCAAGTGCTGAACAACTTCTAAATTCCTTAGACATCTGAGCACTCCACATACCACGACCAATGAACACACACACGCAGGAATGTGTCTACCAGATGAGGAATGCACTTCTGTGCAAGACAATAAAGATCACATCAAGTTTCTCCACAAGACTCCGCACACACAAAACAAAACACCCCCTGACCACTGAGCATGACTGAAGAACTTCCTACGATAGAGATATAAAACCGGGTTTGAAATATCCCAGTTCACTCGGGTTTCTATAAAATGAGACCGTACTGAAGATAAGGTTTAAAGGACTATGGCAATAATCACAAAAGAAGTAACTACCGGCTACTAGAAAGAAGAGGATACTGAACACACAAGCATCACAAGAAGAGCGACGGGGACCGCTGGACCTACGCAGGCACAGGAGCGCGGGGGACTCCCGGGCCGGAGGCAGCTCGTAGGGCTTCTCGAGGTCGGCAGCGGGGACCGGGACGTAGTCTCTCATGCTGGCGGGGACTCGCCGAGCTCCCTGCTCCGTCCGTCCTCTGCCCGCTGCAGGCAGCAAGCGCCGGCTCACTTTACTGGAATCGATTAGCAGAGGCACCAGCGTAATGGAACTTCCCCGGCTGGTGACTGACTTCAAGGTAAAGCTATCGAGAACTTGATAATCTCTTTATCGGATTCCGCCAGCAGGGCCAAGCGGCGTCAGCAGGACGGCATTCAAGTATTGGTACTGCTAGTTGAAGAAAAGCAGATTTTCATAAAGTTCAAGTAAGAAAATACAAGTTCTTAAGCCCGTATTCCTTAAAGCATTCCTTTAACCGCCCTCTTCCTACTTCTGACCTCTTCCCAATACTCTTTTCCAAGGAACAAAATGGCCTACGCACATCACCGAAAGCCCGAAGCAACTGGCAAGTCCGAGCAACAGGAATTCTCCCTTCACCTCTAATCCGCCCGGACAGAGGCGCCACTGCACCCCGGAGCACGTGGCCGTCGGAGCCCGGCTAACGGTGCACTCGGGAGGAGAATCACCAAGTGCCAAGTGGAATAACGAAGCTGGGAGAAAATGCAACCGGGCCAGCGTTGGAAATAAAAAAATTATGATCCCCCAAAGTGCAGGCTTATGGGGCAAGCTGTTCAATAAACAGAAAAACCCTTCTACCTGCTGCTCAGGGTTATGAGTTCTAAATTAAAATTAAAATTTCCTACAATGTAGAATTCACTTAAAATGGGTTAATATTTTTTAGTAAAATTTGCATATTCCTGTTAACCAATTCTTTATTTTTTATTTTTAACCATTTCTTTTTTAAACCCCCCAAGACAAGTTTCCTCCTAGCTCCCCTAATACCACATCCATGGGGACTCACCAATGTCCCCTAGCCCTCGCCTCTAACACCTTCCCCTTGATGGTAAGGTTTAGAATTTCTAACCTGTCCTAACAGAGCCAGCCATAAGAGGATTTGAGGAATGGCGCGGAAATCCTCCTGGGATGGATCAGGCACCTGGGCACCCAAAGGTTCTGGAAGAATTCTGCGTCACTGTACGTGGCTAGTCCATCAGTATGTACTTCGAATCTGTGATGACATTTGCTTTCCTATGCAATTCTGGAAGTAGGGGTTTGGGTAATTAATAAAGACCCTTTTACAATAAAAATAAACTACTTATACTTTGAATAACTATATTACTCAATGATAATTTAAATTTAACTGAAATATTAATGTCTGCACTATTAAACTGTTATTAGTCTATTAATGCCTGTTATTAAATACCACTATAGCACTGGGTACTTGTATAAAATTATCCTCGAAATAAAAATAACTTGCCAGCACTGTCACTGGACCTGAAGAATGCTTAGATCCCAGCATGGGAATCAACTGTACGACTTTGGATCAGGTTGATCTTTAAGAGCAGAAAATAACAGTATCTATACCTTCTATTGGATACATAGTAATTGTGTCACCTTAATTAATTCTAAATTGTAATGTATTAGGAATTCATTGACATTTTTAGGGCTCATTAAATGTCATACTTTTAAATAGGGTTTTAGCCCTTCATGCATAGTTCTACTATAACATTTGTAACAATTTATTGTGTGTGTGTGCGTGTGTGTGTGTGTGTGTATATATATATATATATATATATGTGTGTGTGTGTGTGTGTGTGTGTGTATATATATATATATATATATATATATATATATCTGACTTTACCACTAGAACATAAGATACTCCAACATAAAGCCCCTATCTTAT